ACGCCGTAACGGCATGCTCTTCGCGTTTCATCACGCCCCGCCTACGTTGCCCGAGCTCGCGCACCAGCTGCAGAGATGCTTCGACGACGCACAGGAAGGAGACCCGCTTGACGATGTACGACGCGCCATAGAGAAGCTCGAGTCCAGCTGATAGATTCCTTATGGTGGTTATCGATTTGGCGCGAGGGCATATCAATAACACGATTTACGAGCCTTCTCAGCGCCCAATATACACGACTGCTTGTTTCTCTCGCAATAGATCCATAGACAGTATATAATGCTCGATACACGTACAAGAATACTCGATACCCCTTCCCCGATGTTTGTCTACGTACTATTGTAAAAGGCTTTCCTCGTCAACGCCAAGACGAATGTGCTGAATGGCTCGGTGATGGACCTCTGTGATCATTCATCGACATCCATCAGACCAAAGCGACAAATCGGGCTCCCAGTGTGAGCGTCACTGGTGTCAGGGATAAATGCGTGCGTAAATACATAGAATGAATAAGGTAGAGTGTGTAGCGAAAGTACCAGGCGGGGCAGATTATGGTAGTCTACACGGAGAACGAATGATCGATGGACACTGTGGCAGATACTGATATACGATCGAAAGCAATGATCAGGTGCGATTGCGAATGAAGATGCCTAGCAAACGGGGTAGATGACGGGGCGACCAATACAGGCTTCTAGTCTGCAAGATGATCATGGTCAGTACGACTGATCATAGATGCGCTACCGAAGAGGGCATTCACCTATGATGCTAAGGTGTTCCAACCCTTCTTCAGTTGCTGTGTAGGCATTCGAGGTCAGAAACTGATACGCAGGGTCGGGCCGGGCGGCATACCTCTAAGAAAACGAATAGCAAGACGGTGTTGGGACCGAGACGAATGAATGCAGGTGTCCAACCCTTGAACAGGAACCGAGGGCCTTCCGTTGCCAGGGATTCCTTGAGGATTGTTATCGGGTGCGCTTTGGCGTTCTGGGACATCAGCCGAGATTTCAGAACATCGGCCGGGGCGCAAACAGCTATACACCCTGTCAACACAAGCTCGGATATCCACTGCGCGTGACGTACTTGTGGCGACAAGTCCAGCAGATAGACTTGATACGCTATGAAGCAGGAGACCATCTTTGAAGCGGTAATCCGATCCAGGCAATCGGTTGCCCAAGAGTTTGCTCTTGAAGTAGTCGTACCTAGCAGGTCAGGCGTCAGCTGATGCACTATGTGAGACGCGGTCGTGCTTATACTTACGAAGCCACTTGCGATGCATTCATCAGTATAGCACGGAACTAAATGGAAGAGATGAACAACCGCAAGACGTGGATGCCACGAGAGACACCATACCGTGTTGGTGCCAATACCTCGTGTCAGGCCCTTCCAACCCTCATTCCGTGTCAGGCTGACCAGACCTGAGAGCGCATTCGAATAGTTGAAGCGTTGCTCAGGTGGTCGAATGGAGTCACTCGTCATGCGAACGAGGAGAACGTCTGCGGGATTGCCAGCCATCCCACCTAGTCCCCCCGCAGCCATTGCAGCCAGCAATAGCTTCCCGGAAGAAGTCTTCTTCCCGTCCTTCGAAAGTCGGTACTTCATGTTTTCATATGCGCCTATGCGAACGAGCGAGTAGGTCATCTGGCGGAAGATGGACGCGGAGATGCCGGTGAATAAGGAGCGGACGCCGGACTCAGCTACCGTCGTGCGGATGACATGTAGAACGGATACATGACCACCGGATGGCGGGATGTATGTTTGCATGCGGCTACACACAGAGGTCAGCGAGAACCTTAGTGACAAGACTTGGCATGACATACACTCTTGTCAAGTCCAGAGGATGTGTACAGCATGCTGCAACTGTGGAAACACAGTCAGCGGCGTTTACTATGAGGGGACTGCAAGCACTCACGGGAAGCAGCGACACCTGATCAACGTAGGTAAACAAGGAGCTGCGTTGAGTAGATCTCCTTCAGAAGGAAGGAGCGCGACTAACCTCCGAGCCTGCCAAGGTTGAGTCTATGACCTCATCTTGTGACTACGAGGACGTACCAAAACGGGTAGCGGTTCTCGGGCATAGCAAACACAGTCTCCCGGTGCACGAACGAAAGCAAGGAAGTCTAACAAGTCTATATGGCCAGAGTACGGCCCAGAAGGAACGCCGTTTTCAGTGCTGTTGAGATAGCGGAGGCAAGCCGCAAAACCGAAGCCGCAACGACGCGCGAGGGCTTCCGTGCGGCGGCCGGGAAGCGCGGCCCGGTCTAGGGTGGCCTATTCTATTCATTTCTCGGCCGAGCACATGCTTCGCAATAGCGGTAGACGGGCACGATCTTGAGAGAGCATGCAGAGGTCGTGAGAGGTTGTTGGTTGCGTACTTTCGAAGAAAATGACGAGAGAGTTCTGACGAGGAGTGTTTAGACTAACAAGTGAGGACTAGGTAAGAGGCTAACTTGTGAAGTTGAGCCGGGAACGCCACGCCTCTGACGCGACGCGTCGTTTGTTGCTTTCGCCACGACCACCATCTCCTCCTCCCCATTTGACTTCATATCTGCTTCCGTTTTACTCTACTGGTCACCATGAGCGCACCCGACAACGAAGAGCTTATCGACTACGAGGACGAGCAGGATGTCGTCACCAACGGGGCGGCTGCCGGTGGGGTCGCCGTCACTGGCGATGCTGAGGACAAAGACAAAAAGAGTGGCGGCTTCCGTGGTATCCACTCGACTGGCTTCCGGTATGAATAGTCGAATTGAATTTATATGACAATCTCCTGATATTTCTTTTCCTTCAGCGACTTCTTGTTGAAGCCGGAATTGCTTCGAGCGATCAGCGACTTGGGTTTCGAGCACCCGTCTGAAGGTGAGGAATTATTCCATTTGAGAGGATCAATATAGAATACTTATATGATATGCTCTCAGTCCAGCAGGAATGTATTCCGCAAGCCGTACTCGGCATGGACGTTCTGTGCCAGGCCAAGTCTGGTCACGGAAAGACGGCCGTTTTCGTGCTCGCGACGCTGCAGCAACTTGAGCCAGTCAATGGAGAGGTCTCGGTCATTGTTCTCTGCCACACTCGCGAGCTTGCATACCAAATCAAGAACGAGTACACGCGTTTCGCGAAGTACATGCCTGACGTTCGCGTCAGCACGTTCTTTGGTGGCACTCCCGTGTCAAAGGACTCCGAGTTGATCAAGGACAAGACCAAGTGCCCCCACATTGTCGTTGCCACTCCTGGTCGTCTCAACGCCCTCGTCCGCGACAAGGTTTTGGACGCCAAACACGTCAAGCACTTCGTTCTGGATGAGTGCGACAAAATGCTCGAGCAACTCGGTTAGTCATAAGCTTCGACATCTCACCTGCACCACTCTTCTTCGCGTCCATCACGTTGCGTACGACGGTTCGATGCATATTGTCCGATTCCTGGCTTGCCTTGGCGTGGCTCTCGAGTCTGGCACGATTGCGGTTCGACGGCCCTTCGCGACCTGGCGCCTGGTGGCGAAGCGGTCCCGCCGGAGAGGAGAGGACTTCTTACGGTCAAGCGTCTACGCTCAAGGACAAGTCTGCGGTTGCGAACGAGATTTGGCGCCAAGTTCGAACGATCGTATACTTTCCGCGATCCCCTCCCCTTCTCGTTGGTATTTTATCCGTCAAGCAGCTTTCTTACCTCGCCGCCGCCCCTTCAGACATGCGCCGTGACGTCCAGGAGATCTTCCGCGCCACGCCACACCACAAGCAGGTCATGATGTTCAGCGCCACCCTCGCCAAGGACATTCGTGTGACTTGCAAGAAGTTCATGGCCAACGTATGTGTTGTCACGGATCGTCGCAGCGAGACACTCGCTCATGAATGATTGCAGCCCCTCGAGATCTTCGTTGACGATGAGACGAAGCTCACGCTCCACGGTCTCCAGCAACACTATGTCAAGCTCGACGAGAACCAGAAGAATCGCAAGTTGAACGAGCTCCTCGACACTCTCGAGTTCAACCAGGTCGTCATCTTCGTCAAGTCGGTCGCCCGTGCTACTGAGCTCGACAAGTTGCTTGTCTCTTGTAACTTTCCGTCCATCAGCATCCACTCTGGTCTTCCCCAGGAGGAGCGGTACGCCCCACTCAAGGAGAAATTAATCATTGATCTGACGAATTGTGACCAGTATCTCGCGCTACACCGCCTTCAAGGCGTTTGAGAAGCGTATCCTCGTTGCAACCGACATATTCGGTCGTGGTATCGATGTTGAGCGCGTGAACATCGTCGTCAACTACGACTGCCCGGGTGACGCTGACAGCTACCTTCATCGTGTCGGGTAAGTTCCATACCGGAGACTTGCTCGTTCCACCCGCTGATAGCCATACACAGTCGTGCGGGTCGTTTCGGTACCAAGGGTCTCGCCATCACCTTCCAGTCCTCCGAGGCGGACCAGCAGGTCATGGCCGCCATCCAGTCTCGCTTCGAAGTGGCCATTCCCGAGCTGCCCGACCACATTGACCCGGCTACGTACAGTGCGTCGCTTTCTTCCTCTAATCACCCGCGATGGATGTTGATGGGCATCCACAGTGGCATCTTAGGTCATGTTCGCTTATATCTCTTGCCTGTAATCCTTGCTGTCGAGTCTCCCGAATTGTCTGTAATGATACGCATATTTCACCTTATTGATTGGCATTCGGGCGATGCAGCGCCCCTAAACCCCAACGAAGTCGTTATAATGACATCTGCCAAAGCCTTCTCACAGGACCGCTCTGAAGCAGGTTTGTTTGTCTGCTGGGGGGCTGGTACATGCTTGTCCGCAGCTCATTGCGAGCCTTGTGGTCGCCCCCAAAGTTTGCTCAACGGCACGTGGTCTATCATGCTGACAGCTTTGCTGATTTCATCCACTGCGCTACAAATCCGGGAGCTCGCGCTGCAACAGTCGTTGCCAGGTGCTATCTCTCCACCACTCGTCCATACCCGCAATGCGGTCCCACAAAGCCTCCTCATCGACACCGTATATCTCATACCTGCCGCCGTCCAACGGCACGCCGTCGCGGCGCGCTACCTCGATCGCGGCCTTATTCTCGCCTCTGCAACCGATAGTCAGCGAGACAGTACGAGAGCTCTTCAGCGTGAGTACGTACTTGAGCAGCTCAAGGAGCTCTTGCCTGTCGGGGAAGAATAGCCTTGGCTCAAGTACGGCCAGCATGGCTAAGCACGCTCGGTATACGAAGCTGTCTCCTTCAAGCAGTATCACGTCCCACAGCCTTGCGCACGCCTCAAACGGGAGGTGGTCCAGGAAGAGAGGGAGTATCCAGTCAGGTAGATATGCCGCCGGAGAGATTTGATGTTGCTTGAAGTTGAAGTAGACTATAAGTGGTCAGCGGTGTGACCCCGAACGAGAAGAAAAACACGCTCACTCTTCGGCATGCCATCCGCGAGTAACGTGTCGAAAATCCTACAGGGGACGAACATCAGTGACTGAAGCTATGGGGTCCAGAGACTGGACGAAGTCACCTATAATAGGCGTCAACCTGTACACTTCGCAATCAACGTTCAACATCCGATGATAGAGAGCGTAGGCATGGCGTACTCACGTCGTCCTTGCTATTCGGTAAACCGTAGAACGCACGCATGCAATGGCGCTCCAGGAGGTTGCGGAGCATGATGAAGCCCTGGGGCGCGGCCATGTTCAAGATGATCATGCCCGCCAGTCGCGCGATGCCCTTGGCATAACCCAGCCCTTCGTCCGAACGTGATACCACCCAAGCACAGAGCATGTCCTTCAGATCCTCGTATAGTGGACCGGTTTCAGGATGGAAGATATGTAATGAGGGTAATGTTGATCTGACGTCCTCGTCGATGAGCCCGAGGGTCGTAGTGGGGAATGTTCCCGCAGCAATAGCGCGTTTTGCTCTAGACAGACAGATGCGATAGCTATCTGTGCGGTATGAGCACCTGACCTCCGCACTCAGAGGAAGTCGTGTACCTTTTGATAGAGCCAGAGCGTTGCCAACAGCCCGTTCCCACATCGTAGACCGTAGTTTAGTCGGTATGCCCGACCACCACATAGATCGCAGACGCGGATTCTCCCGTACTTTCGCCCAGTTCGGGACGACTTCCTTCTCCCATACGTGTAGCGACTGTTCGACCTTAGCTTCTCGAGCTAATCGGCGCTCTTGTGCAGCTCTCCTCCGCTTCTCCTCTGCAAGACCTTAGATACGATCTCATATGCGATGGAGGATACAGACTCACCCGCAGCACGAGATTGACGCATCATGGTCTCCCAATCATGCATATGTTTGACATCCTCCTTCTTAGGTTTGGGAGGAAGGAAAGACGGGCGAGTTTTCGACACGACTTGCTCAAAGATGCTGGGACCCTGAGCGCTGCGCGTCGAGCGATGCGCCCGTCTTGAAGAGCTGTCGGAACGGGAGACCGGTGCGCTGGACGGGATCGCAGGGAGCGATACGGCCGAAGTCGAGGCCGTAGCAGCCGCCGAAAGTGATGTTGATGTCGACGGTACCTCCTCCGAGTATCGGGACGTTGATGGCGTTTCTGGCGGAGGCACTGGCGGAGGGGAGGTTGCGGGGGATACGTGAACGTCTGGAGGCACGATCCGCTCTTGTGGCGCGCCGAAGTCCGCGACGTCTACATCGTCCCCGTCCTCAGGTGGCGCGCCCACTTCGGAGCGAAAGCCGCGAGTTGGGTCCCGTGGCGTGCGTAGGTCACCGTTCGTACCGGGTTCGTCCAAGTCCACTTCGATCTCTGTAGGAACATATGTATCCTCCTCTTGGTTGTCCTCTTCGTGACTGGATTCACCGCCCAGCGGTATATCATCAAACATTGTCGAGGATTGACGCGAAGAAGGTGTATCTGAGTTCACAGACAAGTGCCTGTAGCTCAATTAGCACTTCGGCTGCGTGTAGCATTATATATAGCCCTAACCTTTCCAGCGAAATGGTCGTTTCTTCCAGTTCAGGTTCAGGAGACTGGAGGTGCATTTCGGTCACATCATCGTCCGCACTCTCGGGTTCCTCCGATAGAGCTAGGTTTCGCGCAAGCTGTGCACGGACTTCTTCTGGGGAGAATGTGTATTCCGCATCGTCGTCCCGGTCTTCGAAGGCATCATCGTCGAGATCAAGATGGAAGTTCGGGCGGGCATTCGGAACGTGCTGCAAGTCTACTTCCTGGTCGCCGTCGCCACGGCTCTCGTCGTCGTCTCCGGACATGAGTGAGAGTAAGCGGAAGAGATGTCCGTCCGCAGCTTCGCAGGGACGCGCTCAATCACAACGTGAGATGTTTCCGCGACGGCGCGTCGCGACGCGTCGATCCCAGTCGCCACAACTTCCAAGACTTTCCTCTTCCGCTCATGTGCGTGATCGCGTTTGGCGAACCACGTACCGGCCTCGCGCGACACTATTCCTCGGCTCCCAGAGCCTTTGCGCGAATATGATCGCGGAGGTGCTCCTGGTCTTAGCTGGGCACGAATCCTCCCTCTTTCCAGACGGCAGCAGTCTCCACCCCGCTTTCGATCCACTCCTTCATCCCGGCGAAAAGCAATGCTTAGAATCCCTAGGCTCGCTGGCATCTCGGTACCGCAATATCAAGTCCACTGTCTCGGGCTTGGCACGGTCGCAGTCCCAATATCTCTGTGCTTTATGCGCCACTCTCACCCAGATCCTACGCGACGAATACGAGGCATTGGTCGTCACCACCGAAGCACAGATCCTTAATCGGGATCCTTCGCTAGTGGCGTCCGGCTCGTATGTGCCGTTATCCGCTCTTAGAGCGGCCTTCGCCCACTGGGACGCGCCTCTAGCAGCTCTTGAAGTCCTACTCGCAGACATATGCGGTCGACCAGAGTCCCAGTGGCCCCCAGGACTGCTGATAGACACGCTACTATCTCGCGCGTCAACAGGGACACACAGCATTTCCGACATCATTGGTAGGCTCGCTTGTGCTGTGCAACGTGTTTGGCAGACCGAGATCATCGCTCTACTCGTACACGGCTCTCTTTCGTCAATCGAACCTCTAGCCGAGAGCGATTACACCTTGCGCGAGGGATACGTTCCTTCTTGCGTGTCGGCTACTTCTAGAGCTGCCGTGTCATATGTCGGTCGCGCTTTAGGAACAGTCAAGGCCGCGCAAGCCCAGACCAGATTACCTCGCGAGCTGGTCGCCAGACATACAGAGATACTCCAGGACATCTTGGTGCAGGATACATACAAGTTCGATCGCGCCGTTGGGGAGATACGGACGAATGTCAGTGAATGGCTCTGGATGAACGTTCTCACTCAGAAGAACGTCGACGAGGCCGTTGATTCACTGTACGTGACGTGACGCATACTCGTATTCCTTAATTGTATTGACGTGCTCTAGGTCCAACTATTTCCTCCTGAGGAACGGAGAATTTTCCACTGCTCTAATTCGCGAGTTAGAAAGGCTCAAGTTTACGCGTCTGACAACACGCTCCAACCTCATCCGCGAACAAGACCTTCATCTGGCTCTTCTTCGCGCTTCACTCGGTACATCCGCTCAACATGACCCGTCACTTCTCCGTCTACGCTTCACCCTGCCCACGGGTCCTCTCCGCCCCCTTCTACCGACTTTGCCGAAAGCCGCCGACATCACCGCATCCGCCGAGATGGAGGCTACACCAGCATTTGACGACCTGTTGCTCGGCACTCCCTTACTTCTGAGTTACACCGTCTCGTGGCCCCTTGACCTCTTCCTGACACCGACGGACCTTGCACTATATGCAGCCCTATTTGGCTACCTCTCTGCCCTAAGACGCACACATGCTCGCGTGCACACTGCATGGGCTTCGTTGTCCAACGCGCAGCGCGCAAGGAGGAAGTGGACGGGTCTCGGAGAGGGCGGTACACGGGAGGATCTGGAAAGCCGTGAGCGCCTGTTGCGGTGCGGATGGGGTGTTGTACGATGCATGGGCTGGTTCTTGGACTGCCTTTTGGGGTACACCATGTCAGACGTCGTTGACGCGGAGTACTTGAAGCTAAAGTCGGCCGTGGCCGGAGCGCCGTCGACGAAGGGGCAGGGGCAGAGTAACGACGCCAAACGACGCGCCAGAGCCTCATCTGTGGCATCTGTCGCTCAGAAGAGCACGATCAGCAAGTTGGACAGCGCCGAACCTGGAGAGGCGCTCGATTTCACCACGTTGCGCGCGCTGCATAGCGCTTACCTTGAGCGACTTCTCGCCGGAAGCCTACTCGGGAACGCTGCTCTAGCGGCTGTACTGCGGCCTATATTTGAGTTGTGCGACGCGTTCGTTGCTCACGTTGAGCGGTGGGGAGGCGATGTTCTTCCCGCGCTTCTCGCCGAGGGGAGCGTGTCCGGTGGCGGTGATGGAGTTGGGAAGATGGTCAAAGAGCGATGGGAGATTGTCAGCGAGATCAACGAGGTACGCCATTGCTATCTCTATATCATATGCTGTATGCTCATGCAGGCACGCATAGGCGCTTAATACGTTGCTTGACTCGTTCTACGAGCAGCTGACCCAGAGCACGGCCCAACCTATCCGACCCGATATCTCGCGCTCCGTCTTCAATGCGACAGCAGCCAACATGACGTCTGCGTTCAAGATTGGAAACACGACCACAATGCGCCGCGACGCTCGTTTACGTGAGAATGAGGGTGAGACGCGTAGGCAGATTGAGCGTCTTTTGCTGCGTTTGGATTTCAATGAGGAGTTCACCCGTGTACGAAAGCGGGAGGGCAGAGATCAGGGTATTCTGAAGCAAGGCGGTTTGGCATGATATTTCGTAGACGTCATGTATCTGTATCACTTGAGTGTATCCACCAAGATCAAGTAAAGCTGCACATAGAGCCTATGGCCGACATTCACGTGCCCGCCAATCGAGTCCTTCAAGGGTGGGAATCGCCACAAGGGCGATCACCGCAGCAGACGCGCGACGCGACGCGACGCGCTTGGACCTGCTTGGACCGAACAACCATTACCGGTTACCCCTTACGGGCACACATCTAGCTTATACACATCCTAATATTCATGTCCAAACAGAAGTTCTACGCCGTGAAAGTTGGTCGGTTTGGACCGGACATATACGAGACCTGGGACGAGGTAAGCTAAGCGTGTGATTGCGGACACTGCCCACAGTCAGGGAGCTCAACGAGTTCTTGTGCTCAGTGCAAAGACGCGGTGAGCAGTCATCAGTTTGATTAGCATTCTTGAGGGACTGAACACAGACACCGTCACAGGTGCATCGCTTCCCCGGGGCAGTATATAAGAGCCACTTAACGCTCAGGGAGGCTGAAGATTGGCTCGCGCGTCAAGACGCCGTCTCCAGGAGCAGAGTACCATCGCACGGATACACTCTTCAAGGCGAAATGCCTGTTGCTGGACGATCAGGCAAGTCTGGTGACGATTTCATCAGGCTGGAGCCTGATGAGCCTCGGACCGGGATGAGCACCGGTGGTTCTATATCCCACCGTGCGTTCCTCTACATCATACAGCGAAGGGGATTCACTGATGCATAGCGCTAGCTACGGGTGTAATGCCAACAGGCGGCGAAATTCAACTTTCTGCCGAGCAACGCGCGATACTGGAACGCGTACGCAGAGGAGAGAGCCTTTTCTTTACTGGTCCAGCCGGTGTGTAGATCCCTCGAACATGCGATTTCGACGCGAGATGATCCTCATTCACGAGACGTCTAGGCACCGGAAAGTCCGTTCTCCTTCGCGAGATTATCAAGATGTTGAGGGAGAGACCTTACGAGCATCTGGCCATCACCGCCACGACAGGTGTTGCTGCGCTGAACATTGGTGGTCAGACCATCCACTCTTGGTCTGGAATAGGAGTGGCGCGGCTCGAATTCGAAAAGCTAAGATGGAAGATACGCATGAATCCCGACCTGAATGAACGCTGGCTCAAGGCTCGTTGCCTTATCCTAGACGAAAGTAGGCTTTCTCGCTGTACAACTTCTCTAGGTTATCAGAGAGCTAATTTGAATCTAGTATCCATGCTGGAGGGACGGATATTCGATCTTCTAGTATGTCGTCGGTGGGGGCGCTCTTCTCTTCTAACTTTGATCATAGGAAAGTCTAGCGCGATGGCTCAGGGATGATGAACGGCCTTTTGGAGGAATGCAGGTTCGCAATCAGCCTGCCACCTGATCTCTTGCTCACCGTCTACCAAAGATCATCATCTCGGGCGACTTCCTCCAACTACCTCCCATTCCTGATCGTGACAGCAACAAACACGTACCTGCCTTGTTCGCATTCGAGGCACATTCATGGGAGGGGTGTTTAGGGTCACCCGTGCACTTAACGCAAATATTCCGACAGAAAGATCCATGTTAGTAGGGGGCATATCGGAAGATAAAGTTTATTAACAATCTCTCCAGCGTTTGCGTCGATGCTCAGTGCTGCACGAACTGGCGATGTCACGGAAGAGATCGCCAGGAAGTTCAAAAAGCTGGCACGCCCAGTCCACTATGACGATGGAATCGGTCCCACAGAGCTGTGGGTGTTCTCTGAAGTATACACGAGCTCATGTACTGAATGCCTAAATCCACTAGCTATCCTACGAAAGCTGAAGTCTTCCGGGCGAACAAGCAACGGCTTGATCTTATCAGGGACACCATGCACAACTTTGTCAGCCACGACATTTCAGGTGTCGACGACGACGGCAAAGAGCTCACGCGCAAAGAAAGGGATCTTCTTCTAGACAAACAGGTTGCACAGAAGACGATACAACTCAAAGTCGGCGCACAAGTCATGCTCATCAAGGTGCACTTCTCTCGCGTCCCAGCGATCCCCGACTCAGCTGACGTTTGCATGATCAGAATACGATACAGGGTGTGCTTGTCAACGGTTCAGTTGGAGTGATCACGGCCTTCATGACAGTTGCCGAGGCTGCGCGGCACAAGATGACCGTCGTAGACACGCGCACAGAGAAGGACGTCAAGCAGAAGAAAGATGCTGTTCCAGCAATCGTGAAACAGCGTCCAGAGGCTGTCTGGCCCTACGTACGTTTCACCAACGGGCGCGAGATGCTTTGCATCCCACAGGACTTCAATCAAGAAAACCGTAACGGCGATATGGAGGCCAGCCGCGTCCAAGTTCCGCTCATACTTGCATGGGCTCTTAGCGTGCATAAGTCCCAAGGCCAAACACTTGAGAGGGTGAAGATCGATCTTGCGCGGACGTTCGAGAAGGGGCAGGCGTACGTGGCTCTTTCCCGCGCCACGAATCTGAAGACGCTTGAAGTGTACAACTTCGCGGCACATCGTGTTGTCGCTCACCCTCGCGTTCTTGCATGGATGAGAGCGCAAAAAGGACGTCCTGCGGTGCACGCCGATTCGGATTCCTACGATTACGATGCATTCATGGACTGCGAAGAAGCCATGCTTGCCTATCATGGACCCTGATCAGTCCGGTCTAGATCATATGTCGATAGTCGTGTAGTGTGATGCATTGCCTTCTCATCTGCTCTTGACGGAGCGGCGAAGAATACCAATGCTTCGGCATAAGGGCATCACGGTCGTGGGTGAATCCGGAGTTTCTCTCGGGCAACACTTCCGATACTACATAGGCGGGTATTTGTCTTCTTCACGCCGGCCGCTTCATATGAAAGCGGTGATTACAGGGTGAACATGGCAGTATTCATCGTCCCAGGAGCTTGTGAGAGTCCCCTCACGCGCGGCTTATCTACTTGTGGTCACACCTGACCACAGCTTCTTGACATTGTGGGATATAGAAGTCGACAGTAAGGTGTTCAAAAGCTTGTGTACGTCCCTAACCGTTCGCAGCGGCATCCAACCTTTCACCCAGCACTTCGCGTTTCCTCATGTCCTCTGCCATCTTTACCCACCCGGAAGTCCCTTTCGGGCTCAAGCTACAGTTGGCCCTGGCTATACGTGAGTCTCCTTAGAACGCCTTTACGACGCTGTATGCTATGCGCATATATAGCCCTTGCCGCTGTACGAGGAGTAATTTCGAACGTCGGTCCCACTCGACGCTCATGGAAGCGAGCCGTCCATTTGTCCATTGTGCGAGCGGTACTGAGAAAGCTCTACCGCGGCGACCCGCCCGTGGCCCTGAAACTTGTTGGAGGGTCGACTGGAGATACCTACCGCGCGTGGGCATCGGCGAGGGGACTCCCTATCACCTCGGAAGAGAGCGGCGAAGGCGGACGGCTTCATTGGATCGGGGAGAAGCGGTTGAAGGGCAAGGTGTTACTGTTCTTCCATGGTATGCTCGGTTCTTGGATACTTCTGCGTTTCACTGACAGATTCTTGAGGCGGGGGATATGCTTTCCCTGCGGCAAACGACTGCTACAATTGTGTGCTAGCCTTGAAACAAGATGCCGAAGCAGCTGTGGGTGGTCTAGGCGTGGCGTTTCTCGAGTACTGTGAGTACGCGTGCCTCTCAGCCATACATCCACTCATCATTGTTCGCTTGGGCAGCGTTGATACCGGCCGCGCCATTTCCGGCTCAGCTTCGCCAAGCGACGGCGGCCCTGTCCCACATCCTCTCACAAGGTGTATCAACGGCTGACATAGTTCTGGGCGGTGACTCTGCAGGAGGAAACCTCGCTCTCCAACTGTGTTCGCACATTCTACACCCTTTGTCCGACCTTCCTTCCCCACCTCAGCTCTCAGCGCCGCTCGCGGGCATAGCCCTGATCTCTCCTTGGACGTCTTTCCACGATCGTTATGACTCTTTTAAGACGAATGCATCAGAAGACGCAGTCCCGCCGCGCGCTTTCACATATCTGGCCGCGACCGCATCCAGGGGGGTCACTGAGAAGATGCAACACCATCTTGAGCCAGCGACCGCCCCGTCTGGATGGTGGGCCGGTATCAGCGACGTCGCTTCAAGAATGGTCATCACGATGGGCGATAAAGAGTGTCTCTACGACCAAGATATGGAGATAGCTCAGAGCTTGAGCGCGCATACACAAGTGGAGAAGGTCGTGCAGACCAACGGCGTGCATGAGGACTTCATCTTCGCATTTGGAGCCGGGCCGCGCGAGGGTAGAGCAGGGGATGACTACAAGGCAGTGGTGGCGTGGTTGAAGTCCGTCTTGAGTTAACTTCGTCGTCGTTCGCAATGCGAATGCACCATGTTATGTATTGAATCCGCATGTATAAAACTCAAGTCACCTTTGCTGGAGCTGTCGGCGCCAGCCGTTGAGTGCTCAGGACGATGTTATGGGGCGGGATTCACGGCTGTCAGAATCAAGTGGTATGTAGCAAGGATGATGTGAGGCATGTGCGGGCGTGCTGGCCGATAGCCTGCGCTGAGAGCTCTTCTTGGTCGCTTACAAGTGACTTCCGAATCCGACTGCGTGAACTGCCATCATTGATGACACAGCAACACTCACGCATCCGGAGATGTTGCCGGAATAGCCGGTGACAGCTCCGGGTTCTTGACCTTGACGTCCAATTGACGTCGAAGAGTTGTGTAGAGGTTGACGTTGATATAGTCAGTCCTTTGAGTAGCGTATCATGGTTGCCCAAGTGCACTCCCGCGCGATCTGTCCGCCCAAGGACCCATGTCGTCTTCTCTCTTTACGCACCCAGAAATCCCTCTATGGCTTAAAGTCAAGCTAATATTGGCAATCCGTGAGTCGTACCATCGCCGGTTGTGCACCATGACCATGTCGTCTCATATACTGTGTAGCAATTGCTGGAAGTTGGGGTGCAATTACATGCATCGGCACCAGACGGTCTTGGAAGCGAGCTGTCCACCTATCCATCGTGCGGCAAGTACTCAAGCTCCTCGCTCCTGTCTCTTCAAAACTAGTCGGAGGCTCGACTGGTGATACATACCGTCTATGGGCGTCGACGAAGAGGCTTCCGATCTTCTCAGAAGAAAGCGGCGAGGGCGGACGTCTTCACTGGATTGAAGAAAAGCGGTTGGAAGGTAAAGTCCTTCTGTGGTTTCACGGTGCGCTCTGTCCCTTGCGAACTTTGAGGAGCTACTTGACAAGTCATTCAGGCGGAGGATATGCCGCGCCTGCGACTGATGACTGCTATAATGCCGTATTGGCGATGAAGCAGGATACCGGAGAGGCCGTTGGCGGCCTAGCGGTTGCATTCCTCGAATACTGTGAGTTCAAGAGCGTCTTGGGTTCTAACCATCTGTCATTAACCACTTCTGCAGCGCTGATACCGGCAACGCCGTTTCCAGCCCAACTTCGTCAGGCGACGGCAGCTCTAACTCATCTGCTTTCGCAAGGAGTATCGCCGTGCAACATCGTCCTGGGCGGAGACTCCGCCGGAGGCAATCTCGCACTGCAACTAAGTTCGCACATCCTACACCCCTTACCTGACCTCTATCCCCCACCTCAACTATCAGATCCGCTTGCTGGCATAGCCCTCGTCTCTCCTTGGACGTCATTCCACGGTCGATACAAGTCGTTCAAGACGAATGCGCTCGAAGACGTCCTCTCGCCGGACGCGTTCATCGACCTGGGCAAGGCGATATCCTTGGGTATCACAGAGAAGACGCGCCATCATCTTGAGCCGGCGACAGCTCCGTCTGAGTGGTGGGCCGGCATCAGCGGCGTAGCGCCCAAGGTGCTCGTCACGATGGGTGAGAAAGAATGCCTCTTCGACCAGGACGTAGAGATCGCGCAGTATCTGGCGACGCACACTCGAGTGGAGAAGGTAGTGCAGATAGGCGGGGTACATGAGGACTTCATCTTCGCGTTCGGGGCCGGGCCAGATGAAGGCAGAGCTGGGGACGACTATCGGGCCGTTGTAGCGTGGTTGAGGGCCGTCTTCCTGTAACTCAACACTGCACATCGCTTAAATCATTAGAAATAGGATAATTGTAATTGCGTACAGACAGGCAAATGAATGTCAAATATACAAGTACAGGTACAGGTACATCATCGAGACCAAAACACATAAATGTCGAAATAACACATCCCAAACAAAACAAGGCACGGACGAGAAGTCCTGCGGGTATACATACCTAATAGTGTTCATGATAAACAAGCGCTTTCCTCCCCTACGATCTCGAGGACTGCTTAGAATGCCTAGAGGCGGGTCTTGAATGTATGCTGGCAGCTTCGACCTCATCATGGGTAAAAGACATAGCAGCAATTGCGTCGCCAGCGAATTGCTCGTCGATAGTCACGTCGCTCACACCACGGAGGGTACTGGGCGGGCGAGAGCCTCGTACCGTAGCGAGTGGATCGAAGGGCGGAGACTGATCGGTATCCTGCACCAGCGACGAGGCGGAGTCGCGTCGTGGTGGCGGCATGCTGCCCGGACGTTCTTTCGTACGAGCCCCGGGTGGCGGACTCATCGGCGCGCCAGGCGTCCGCGCAGACGGATGTATGCTATGTTGAATTTCAGGGCGTGGCGGAAGCTCGGGTGTGAAATCTTGCTCGACGCGAGCTGCAGTCGGCGCCGAACGAGGGCCCTCGACTGGTACAGCGGGCTGTATCGGCTGTATCATGCCGGATGCTCTGGCCTGAGCAGGGTCCATGGGGTATGGCGCGGTCGCAGGAGCCCTAATGGCAGAGGGAGGGACGGGAGACGCTTGAGGATTCTGCACTCCCAAGACTAGTGGCGGCGGTGGAGGTGCCATCTGGGAGCCGTTCGACGGCTGTCGTGGAATCTGATGTTGCGGAGGCATCTGTTGGGGCAACTGCTGTTGTGACTGCTGAACGATCTGTTGGGATGGCGGCAGCTGTTGGTGTGGAGGTCGTTGAGGTGTTTGAGCTTGAGCCGCAGTACGGTCGTCGCCGAACTGGAAGAGCTGATATGCGTTCTCTATCAAGTCCTCCATAACCGTGTCCTGTGGTTTGGTATAAGGACCTAAACGCACGACTGAGCATATGGACTCTCGTACCTTCCATGACGCCATCCGGATGAGATCATTCTCCCCCGGTGTCGTCTCTTCTTCACCAAAAATGACAGTGCTGAAGACGATGCCCAAGTTTTTGGAGTCCATTTTGTTCTGCTTGACATGGGCCACAACGCGGGCCAGGTGCTCAAGAACAGCTCGCAGACAATGGCGGTTGATCGCCGGTAGTCGCCGGATCTTGCCTCGCAGAAGAACGAAACCGTTGGCGCGGTGCTCGTCATTATCCTCCGTATGCTTGATGCGCTCCTGAAGAGGGAATCTGAACAATGGGTCGGGTAGCGATCGTAGGTACGCCTTCAGGAGCGATGCAGCAGCATGCACATCCTCCGCCTCCAGAGTGAAGTCTCGCTCATTCCGTTCGAGTCTGTGCTGTAGAGAGCTAACGACCGCGTGTCGACCGGATATCTAGAAGCACAATCAGAAAGCGAACCTGGTCATCATGTAAAGGCGATGCTTACCCTGTATATACCCTCAACATCCAAGCCACGAGCGTCGACCTCTGCAATGCACAGTGCCAAGACTCTCGGGATCTCGCCCTCGGGAAGACCTCTCGCTGACGCATAATCGGACAGGTTGATCCCAAACGTGAGGTCCTTGCACACACCAACCTCATAATTATGATAGAGTTGCTTGAAGACAGTCAGCAAACACCATGCGATGTGTGAACGTGGCGAACATACAGGCGCAGGTACAGCTGCCTTGAATAATTGGGGAATTGGTGCGGCTAGAAGTTGTTGATCTCGCTGCGGATTGACCTGTTCGATGGCGGCGTGTGCATGTGTGGCTAATGCTGCCTGGGTGGTAGTCGTGGCGAGGATACTGTCTGTGTAAGTCAACAGGGTTCTCTTCAGTGTCGCGGACGCCTCATAGAACAGGGTCTCAAGGCTCTGGAGCATTGTGAGTTGAGATGGACATGATAGTGAGTTGTATGCGCTCACATTGTACCCAGCCTGTAGGGTCTTCACTCGTCTGAGCCTCAGAGTCTCTGCCCATACAACACCCTTCCTGTATTCGCGATCTAGCAACATAGTCAGGCGCGGCGCAACCTATGGTCAGAATAAGGAGAATTACCCGCTTCGTCCGTCTCACGCTTAGCTCGAACCAACTTCAGCGATGATTCTGCGTTTCTCATGGTACCATTCTTGTCCAGAAGCCCCATGAGCTGATTCAACTGTCGTTTCCCTACCTTTGATAAGCGCCTGCGTGGATTGTATCTGTGAAGTGTTGACATACCATGCTGTGCGATATCCTGGAAGGTGGTAGATGATTGCTGCGAAGAAGGCGACCGATCCCGATCCCTGTGACGGGATGCACCGAGTGATGCGCGCCTCTCCACAGGACGTGAATGAGGTGGGGGAGATGAGGCGTTCGATCGGGACAAGAAATGATGGTTCCCTTGCTCAAAGACCGGCACTTGTGTTGCATTGGCCTCCTTCGTGGAGGTAGAAGAGCGGTAGTCCTCGACTTCTTGCGCTTTGCGGACATAGGCCCGCTTAAGCGCCGGTAGTGTCTTATCCACATACTCTGCATGCGCCTGTGTAGAATCCTTGATATCCTCCTTAACGCGCTTTCGAATGCGATCTTGAGAGTCCTGTGCGAATACGTTCAGGTGTCTGATAATATTCTGAGTGGGAACGCACTTACCCTCAGAGATTGCAATGGGGCTATGACGTCCTCTGAGAGACTATGGAGAAAGGCCTGGCGGGTCGTCGTCTCTAGTTCAACGGATTCACGTCAAGTCAGGCGTCATGTAGCATAGTGCACACCTCTTTCAACGTCGTCCCTCAGCTCCCCCCATGCCTTGCGTGCAGTGCTGAGATCACCCTTATCGTCCAAGTACAGGTCGATGGTGCGCGTGCGCGTATGCAGTTTGGCCAAGGAGTCGATATAGACCTCCTCTATCCGACGTCTGACCAGCTAGATAAGAAGGTGTCACCCGAGGCAGAAGGTGAAGTTGACGCACCGTTCGTAGAAGAAGGCGAGATATGAATCCGAGAGCACTTTCAACTGGAAGTCGAACTGTTGAATGGGGCCCTGTTGCGGCACATCGAGAGATGTCGCGCGCGAGGAGGGCGCGGAGTCCACAGCATACGCCATAGGCACGTCGCGAGACCCGAGGGCGTTTAAGTAGCTGAAGGCGCCGGACAAGGAACGAATCTGTCCAAGCGCGTCAACTCTTCTCAGCTCAATCAGTTTCACGTGGGCGCCGAGGCTTGGTTCGAGTTTATGTTCAGGACGTCATTCGGCGTGCGCGACCGACTACTTATACCGTGCTTCGGTATATCCGATTCATTGTATGCGACGTGTACGGTGGTCTTCAATTGCATGGCCTCATCTCCAGGCTGTTCGACGAGGATACCTCCAATTGGACGTATGCCGACGTCAGCTCTTGACTTAGCTCGCACAGCAATCGGGACTTCCACGCCGGTTCCACTGAGCATTCCCGCGCGGGTTGCCATTCGTCAACAGCGTCATAGCTTCAAGAAATATATTGTTCGGTCATAGATTGACACGCTACGCTACTGATGAAGAGTGGAATATGGATGGGAGTGGTGATGTATGGACTCATAGTCGACCGCCTCACACTGCGAGCACGACGAGCGCGCACACTACGAGGCGCTCCGGCTTAATTGGGTCCAGAAAGTGCTTTAGTGTCTCCTCGTCCCGTCTACCCAAAGGAAGTACGACCCAAAGAGTTACTGTGCTACGAAGAACACAGCCGTGGCTGAGGATGATTGTGGTTTCGCGCAAGTTTGAAACGCGTGAAAATATAGCGGCGCGTATCCTCCCACGATCTTGATGGACAGGTCGCGTACCCTTGCGCCGCGACGCGTCTTGACTGAAACGGTCTCTTGCTTGTTTTTCTGGTTTTGCATGTTTAGGTTCCCGGTCATACGGCGTGGGATTCCTTGTACTTCTAGACGACTCTCAAGCATGGCTACAAAAATATCCTTCAAACCGGTGAAACCGGACCGAATCGTGATACCCAAGGACATGAGCGTGACGCTGTCAGAGCAAGAGGCGCAGCTGTGTCAGCTCCTCGATGAGTGCACACGCAAACTAGAAGAAGAGAAGGGCGTCAAGACGTCATGTCGCATTGCCGGAGGCTGGGTCAGAGATAAAGTATGTGATGCGCATCATATTGCTTCATTGCGTCGGCCTTACGCACATTGCCAGCTCCTGGGAGATCAAAGTCACGACATCGATATCGCCCTGTCAGACATGATGGGCTACCCTTTTGCCGTCGACTTCACCGAGTTCGCCAGCAGCAAAAGCTTAGAAGTTAAACCCATCCACAAAGTCAAGGAGAATCCCGGGCAATCCAAACACCTGGAGACGGCCAAGACGACTGTACTCGGACTTGAGCTCGACTTCGTGAATCTCAGGGCGGAGGAGTATGCGGATAGTAGTCGGATCCCTACGAAGATGGTGCGGGAGCACGCGTCTGTCATTGTATCTATGTACATATGGATTGAGTTTTGTCATAGACTTTCGGTACACCTCTGCAGGATGCGCAAAGGCGTGATACGACGATCAATGCTCTCTTCTATAATGTGCATACTCGCACTGTGGAAGACCACTGTGGCACGGTACGTTGGCTGGTCTATATTGTGGCCTTCGAGATCTCCTCAACGATGACTGTCAGGGTTTAGAGGATCTGAAAGCAGGTATCATACGCACACCTCTGGCACCCCGACAGACCTTCTTGGATGACCCTCTACGTGTCATTCGATGTGTGCGATTTGCAAGCAGGTTTGGGTTCGAGATGGTGCCGGAACTCATCAAAAGTGCGAGTGACCCCGAGATCCAGGTATTTGGCATGCCGCCCATACATGATATACGCTAACAGCGCGTCTCAGACAGCTCTTACGCAAAAGATATCCCGAGAACGTGTGGGCGAGGAGATCGACAAGATGATGTCCGGTGGGGTTTTTGTGCTCGTCAGCTTCTGCATTACTGACTTGTCCCGCAGGTCGCAATCCTCTGCACTCAATATATCTGATCGACTCGCTGAAACTCTTCACGTCGATATTCCACATACCTCCTACTTCTACACCAGAACTCTCCTCAGAACCTGGTCCCTCAGCTACCGCCGTAGCTGCAGCATCCATACTATACAGCTTCCTTCATCCAGAACGATCGATCTTCCCGCATCCTCCTCTCCACCCACTCTTCACGTCGTCACTATCACCATCTTCTATCCCACGCCTCTATTTGGCATGCGCACTGACTCCTTATGCCGGCGTGACCTACATTGATTCCAAAGGCCACGAGAAGTTGGCGGTGGAGGCAGCCATTCGCGAGGGCCTGAAGAGCGGAAGGAAGAACCACTACGAGGATGGTATCCCGGAGCTCTTCCAAGCGGCCTCGAGACTGCGCGAACCACGTCTTGACTCGGAGCGTCTGCCACAGCCAAGCGACCGCGTTGCCATTGGTGCGTCCCATTTGCCGATGTGCTATACAGTAGCTCATGACCGCCACAGGCCTTCTTCTACGGGACCCGATCGTACATAATCCCTCCGTCAGGGACTCGCACTGGACGTCGTCGCTACTGTTCTCCCTCGTTCAAGAGCTTGTAAGCTTCTATGACATTGAACACGACGTATTCGATGTCGAGAAGGCTTCCGCTTGCATCGGCGTCTACAACAACTTCGTGCGGCGAGTGGAAGAGCTCGACCTCGTCTCAGCCATCGACGCGAAACCAATCCTCGATGTGAGCATCTCACCATCTGCACATATGTACAAGCCTGACTTTGCACTCTAGGGACGCTCCTTGGCACAGACACTCGAGCTGAAGCCCGGTCCATGGACGGGCAAAGTCCTCGCAGACGTTGTCAAGTGGCAGCTTGGTCACCCTGAAGGGACGAGGGAACAGTGCGTCGAGTGGCTGAAGGAAGAGGTTGCGGCGGGCGCTTGGGCGGAAGACCTTCGCGCAACGGCGCAGCACACTGTCGTCAAGCGCGCCAAGGGTGCACCCAAGGACGGAGGATCGAAGAAAAATAAGCATTAGACCGGACCACTTGTACGGTGTCATTTCGCGAGCGTTGTTTTGCTTCGCATTATCAGGGCTTGCGCCATTTGTCATCCTTCGGTCAATGGGAGGTGTCATGTCGCGAAGCCAAATCAGGTAGCTGATAGATTTTGTGTATGGGTAGTAAGTACATGTGAGGCGATGGGAAAAGCAACATTGCGGCGGGTTACAACAGGATCGATCGAGGCTAATGGTACAGAAATCAAGGCGACCAGAAGAAGTACAGACATTTCACACGGGACTGTTACATTGTGGGCAAGTTTTAGGATGTGAAGAGCGGGGATGTTATACAGAGGGAGAAGAAAGCACGGATCAGAAAGCATCGGTGTTGATGAACTGGTTGAATAGGTCGTCGGCGGTTGACTCGAAAGAGTATCCCCAGCCGGGAGCCGAAGGGTCGAAGGGCGGCGGAGTCGACTCAGGAGAAGAGTAGTTAGTGTAGTTGATAGTCGGCTCGTGCATCGGAGGGAACGTGTCCAGGAACTCAGTCATGTTAGCGGGCGCGTCATACATGGCGGGAGGCAGCTCGCCGGTGTAGTCGGGGGCGATCAGGAAGCGCTCGTCGGCGGCCATCTCGTGAGGCTCGACGACCTTGCAGGCGGAGAACTGATGGGCATGATTAGCTAGCTGTAGGAGTGATGAATGAAACTGATGTTGCTAACCTTGTGAGTGAGATCGTCGATGAGAGGCGCAGGGAGCATCATGGGAGAGATCTGGTTCGTGGCCGTGAACGAGAACTCGGGCACAACAAACTCGGCCTCAGGGACAGAGCTCTGAGTCGGCGAGACGTCAAACGTGAAGAGCTGCGAGGGGGAAGGCATGGCGAGCGTCGGAGTGGGCATCTCGAGCTTGAAGAAGGGCGCGTCGAGCGAAGGGGTCGGAGACGGAGAAGCGGTCACGGCGACGAGAGGCTTGCTCGAACGGCGCTTCTTCGAGCCCTTCTTGGCCTTGGAGCCGGACGCCGCCTTCTTCTGCTTCCTCTCCGTCGAGGGCGTGTACTTGTACGCAGGATACTTGATGGCGTGGCGCTCATGAACGATCTTTGCCGCGTACTCGAAGGGCTCCTTCTGGTACGAGGGGAGACTGCGCCAGATCCGACCGGCCTGCTGGCTCAGGATGTTGTTCTTCTTCTCGACGTGCGGGTCGTTGGCAGCGTGATGGGAGCGGAAGAGGAAGAATGCATTGGGCGGGCGAGGGATATGGTTCGAGTCGCGCTTGGCGGAGTGCGAGGACGTCTTGCGGAGCGGAAAGGCGGGCACGACCTCCGACCTGCAGTACTTCATGGCGGCGGGCGAGCACGAGATGATGTTCCTGACATCATCGGTGATGGGAAGCGTGAAGTTGTACGACGCCGATGAGGATGAGAAGGTAGGCGAAGACGGCGAGCTGGTGATGTCCGAGTCCGAGTCCGAAAAGTAGCGGAATGGCAGATATTCGTCGTCTGTGAATATCACGTCAGAGAAACGGATGGAGCTGTGCAGAAGGTTCACGCACCGAGCGCCGTCATCGATAACTGGCCGGAAGACCGGCGGCCATGGCCACGTTGCGTGCGGGTGGGAGGCATAGTGAGGGCGGAGGGTGCTGAGGACGCGGGGGATGGACTCTGGGGCACTCGGAAGAGCAGAGGGGGCGCACTGAGCTGAGTATAGCCAGCATTCTCGAGACCGCTTTTATCGTCGTCGCCAGCGATGTCGAGGACATCTCTCTCTCACATCCCCTGCTCTATAGTCACATCTCAATCGTGCGGTGAAACACGAGGTGCATCAATTCACACTCGTGTTATACATGAGGATGCAGGGTTCAGCGTGACCTGGTCTTCCCGGCTGCGAACAGACGGCGTGAACGCGAGCACGAAGTCCTCGGGAGAGCAGGAAGACAGCAACCTACTGATGTCCTACTCGACGACTGTTGCTGTGAGCCTTCATGAGCAACAAGCCACAGAGAGGCAGCAGACAAACCACAGAGACCAGCGAATTAGTGCATAAAAGGCAAGTATGTGATGGAAGTATGGCGTATGATAGCCTATATGGGGTGAGTTCCAACATAGAATATGATCTTCGCATCCTGTCACTGCGGCATACGCACACCGCCGTCTACATCCTCCATGTGCTGGTCGGTCAACACTCGCCTATTGTCTCGGTCTGCAGCAGTCGAAGCAGTGGCTGTACGTCATGAATGATCCATCGCAATATGACGGCAAAATAGGGTAGAAATATGAGAAGATATACAAGGCGCCTATTTTTCGGCAACTGCCGGGCCACCATCTGTCCGGTCGGATATTAACGACTCTCGGCCCTTCTCTTTCCGCCTCTTGCTGCCTGCAACCATGTCTCTGTTCCAAGTTGAGTCAGCGATAGCGCGATAGTGCGGGTGTAGAACGCGAACCTCCTCTTTATGGCTTCGTCTCGACCGATGCGCCGCGCTGGGTTGACGGCGTCTGCACGTTTAACTTTGCCCATCTGCTTGCGCTTCATCTTGGATGGCTTCGGAAGTTTGACTATCCAGTCCGGCACGGAGAAGCCGGACTGCATGATGACATTCGCCACTCTGTGTGAGATAGTTGTCAGTACAGGGACAAGAGGCGGGACTAGTGCGCACGATTTGATGTACGGAGCATCTTCGTTCGTGAAGTAAGTCACGGCTTTTCCTTCGCGACCAGCTCGCCCGGTACGACCTAGGTCACCGTTAGCGTACGTCTCCGTGCCTATCGGACCCCGGGCTAACCAATACGATGAACATAACTCTGAACGCTCTGTGGGAAGTCGTAGTTGATGACTTCGCGCACGCCCTTGAAGTCCATGCCTCGCGCCATGACCTCAGTGCTTACGAGCACCCAAGTTTCTCCTCGCCGCATGCGGCTCACAGTCTCCCCGCGCTCTTTATCCGTCATACCAGCATGCAGGCAGTCGACATTCGGGATGCCATGTAACACAAGCTCCTCGGCGAGCGAACTTGCACGTGGTTGAGTCGACGTGAATATGACGACCGGAGGGTTGTAAGGTCGCGCCAGATGCGTGAGTAGAGTAGGCAGTTTGGACGAGTCGTCGGCGACGTAAGTCAGCGCCTGCTCGATGAGGGGAAGTGGTGTATCTCTGGGGGACGTCAATTAGATGGGTCAATCAGTGGAGGCGGGACCAACGCACTTGAGACCCACGACAATGCGGATGGGATTTCGTAGCATGTCCATAGCAATCTTCTCCGCGTTTGCTGGTAATGTTGCACTGAAAACGGTCTTCTGTACTTCAGGATGGGTACATGCTGCGACGACCTCTTGTACTTGATCCAAGAACTCCGTATCCAGCAAGCGATCCGCTTCGTCGAGCACAATATGCCGGACGCTAAACACATCATGAGACCAGGAATTCACCGCGAAAGTGCGACGTACCTGCCAAGGTCAAGATTACCAGACTGTAAGGCGGCGACCATTCTTAAGGGTGTGCTGATAATGATGTCTGAAAACGTGTGAAGACGATATGCGGGGAGAGTTTGGGTCTCACGAACCAACTTTGTCCCGAACAACTTTGTCGGCGAGGGTAGCAGCTGTAGCTTTGCTGAATAGCACGACGCGCCATTTCCGCCCAAGCGCCAGCTTCAAGCATTCGTTATGTATCTGATGTGCCAGCTCCTTGGTTGGGGCCAGAATGACGGCTCGAACTCCAGAAGCCGTCTCCGTTTCGGCGCTGGAGGAGGGTGCACGGAGGGCGGACATGATTGGCAGCAGATACGACAGGGTCTTTCCAGTACCTGTGGGTGAGATTGCGGCGAGATCTCGTTTCTGCGAGAGGGTGAGTAGATGTAAGGAAAAATATTCAGCGATACTCACCTCAAGCAAGATTGGACAGCCATAGGACTGAATCCCCGTCGGTGTCTTGAAGCCAAATTTCTCCAGATTTGACATGACATGACCAGGTATATCATATCGCTCCTTCATGCTTCCGAAAGATGACGCTGGGTCCGGAGCACCGTCTCCTTTCACTGTCACACGCTGTCCAGGTACTCGGGCGTTGCCCTCTTCTTCTCCTTCCGCCTCGCTATTATCCACTCCCGACTCGTGTTCCGACTCAACCTCATCCCCGTCCTGCACTTTCCTTCGTTTCCTGGAAGTTGATTTCGCAGCGTCGTCAGCCTTGCGCTTGGGCTGGGCGGACTGTGTGTATTTAAAGAAATCGAGCTCGCTCGGTAACGAGTCGGGGACGGCCTGAGTACGAGCATCACGCCCCTTCAAAGCTACGAAATTTGGTCAACGGGTTATCCACAAGTGGTACACAGACTACGGACCGGATGACTTGTTGAAGAGGTTCACGTCAGACTTGAATCGACGCTTGTCAAACTGGGCGCCTCCCCGAGAGAGCAATTGAAAAGCCTCCATCGATACGGACGAGACGGAATAGTTATAGCAAGGTCTCGCTTTTGAGTATAGACTTGAAGCACTGTACAGAAAATGGGCAGGGAAGGTGGAGGTACGCTATAGACCCGGGGCCACATCTGCTGAAAGCTTGAAAGTTTGGATCAAACGCGGTCACGCGGGTTTTTGACGCGTCTCACTCAGAGAGAACAGACCGGCGCGAAGGGATGGTTTAAGGAATCGCCCGATCAACGCAAGAGCCGACAAATTGAAACGTGTATATATTTGCGCAAAGCAATGACAAACGAAAGCGAAAACTGCAGGGCTCTATAATGTATATGTTCCGAAAGATAGCGCACAAACGTAGTGAACATAACGATTACAGCGTGTATGATGGTCATTACAGAGGTATATGGGGTTACGAGTCGTTAGAATGTGCAATAGTAGTACAGAGATCAAGACAGATTATGAGACCACCAAAACATAAACCCTAGAGAATAGTATAGTACATATATGATGCTACGTAACTTCCGTCACAGATATTCCTGGCACTGGTATCGGGCCTGAGCCATAAGAGGAGAGTAGGGCGTTGAGATCAGCTAAGACTTGGGTTAGCATCGGGTTCAGGCGATGAAGATGAAGGTGAGGACGTACGTCGCCTGAGGGGCTTGCTGAGGAAGTCGTTCATGCCAGCACTCAGACACAGGCGTTTTGTGCTGTCTTGCGCATCGGCAGATAGAGCAACGACTGGTTTGATCTATGAGTGTCGACCATGATACATCAGAAGATAAACGCACTGGGTAGCAGGAGCTCCTTTGGTATCTTTCGTCTGCTTTCAAGCACTCTCAAGCGTTTCGCGGCCTCCACTCCATCGCACACCGGCATATGATGATCGAACAATGCCAACGCAAAATAGCCCGGTTCGTGCGCGGACCATTGCGCAATCGCTTCTTCCCCATTCGATGTTGGCACCACTACCAGCCCCAGACCTGTCAGTTGCTTGATGAGTAGTCCTTGGGCTATCGGATTATCTGCGCAGCGAACTGTGAATATCATTCGGTACATAAGACCCAGAGAGACTCACCCTCTGCAATCAATACGTTCCCGTATAGTGTTCGCTCAGGTGCAGGTTCATCACGAGCGCGTGTACTTGAACCGGCGGCGGGAGCCCCGTAGCTATCGGGCGATATTTTGACAAGACCGGCCATTGTCTCGAAAAGCTTCGTCGTGCGGGCCGGTTTCGGCAGCCGGACAAGATTCTCGATGTCGTTGCGAACAAGAGGCCGGCCCGTCGATTTGTCCGATACGGGTGTGCACAGATGAATGACCTTCGCGCCGCGCAGTGGGGGAGTACGCAAGGCATCAACGAGAAGCGACACGTCCTGATAGTCGTAGATGATGAACTGCCTAGAGGTCATCATCAGGACCAAAAGATTGAGCATGGAGACGTACGTCGATGACTGTCATTGGTAACGATCCTCGTGAGACCAATTGCGCGAGGCTTTCTGTAAGGGCCAAGCAGGTGACACGGAAGCCGCGCAACATGTTCGTGAGCAGCGCATGAGTCGCGTCAGATGGAGAACAGACGACGACAGTGGGTGGGCGGTCGCGTAACAATAGGGTACGGATGTCCTCCACCTTCTTTGCTGCACTTCTGGAGTCCTCGGAAACATACTCGCGGACAGGTATCGTGAACCAGAAGTCGGAACCTTTTCCCAGCTCTGAGCGTACTCCGATGACGCCGTTCATCAATTTGACCAGTTCGCCTAAATTGGTCAAAGTTAGACGCCGGCAGTCGGGAGATCAATTGATCACGCACGACAGATCGACAGGCCAAGCCCAGTGCCCCCGTACTTCCTGGTTGTGGAGTTGTCGGCCTGCGAGAACGGCTGGAACAGAACTCCTACATCGGCCTGGGATAACCCTATGCCAGTGTCCCTGCTTGCGTATGAGCTCGACGCCGACGATTGAGGATAAGAAAATGGCGCACTTCACGGTGAACTTCAAGTAGACCGACTTGTCTGAAGTATCGCTGACAGTCTTCAGAGCGTCCTTATCGACAGAGCAGTACACCTTCACAGAGCCGCTCGCAGTGAACTTTACCGCATTACCAACAAGATTCTAAGCGGTCATCGATGAGAGGTCTGAAGCATTACAAGGGGCCGGGAGACCCCACCATGATAATCTGCCGGACACGCTCATAGTCGGCGAGTACCCAGGCGGGAACGGATGGGTCGATGTTGTAACTGAGATCGAGACCATTCTTCGCAGCAGTGGGCGCTAGGAGCTCTATGCAATCCGCAACGACCGCTGCAAGGCATCAGCATCCCACGTGGCATGACGATGGTGACGCCGTTCGGCGTACCTTCAACAGCAAACCCCGTATACTCAAGCTGCCTGACGCCACCGGCTTCAAGCTTGCTGTAGTCGAGAATGGAGTTGATGACCTTCAAGAGATGAGAGCAGGACTCTTGCGCTGTTTGGACTGTTGATATGGGTGTCAGCTTGAGGGGAGGAAGGAATCGCGCTCGCAAATACCGATCTCGCGTTGCCCAGGTTGCAACTCCGTTGATGACAGGAGGTCCAGCAACCCGTAGAAGGAGCTAAACGGCGTTCGTAGTTCGTGGCTCATAGATGCCAAGAAGTTCGACTTGATCTGCAAGCGTCGCTCAGTAACTGACGCTACGACTGTCGCGGTATGAGGGCAAGCGAACCTTTGTCGCCTGTTCCGCCGCCGCCCGCGACTGTCTTGCGGCCTCTAAGGCCTCGCGTTGGGAGCTGATCATCTTCAGGTTCTCCCTAGTTCCAGATTGAACCGAGCGGAACAAGAGAGCATTACTAATCGAGACGTTGGCTTGTTGGCATAGCAGTGTCAGGAGCGCGACCTGAGCTTGAGCGAACGAATATTTCGAAGCGAGAGCGATAGCTCCGAATGTCTGTCCGCGATTGCCGTAGATGGGGAGCGCTACCACAGACCGATGCGTGCTCCCTTTGGCGGCAAGCGAGAAGCGAGAATCTGCGCCGGCATCATTGGTTGCAACTCGCTCTTTGACACTCAGACCTGACGATAGCGCATCAGCAGCAATATGACAACGCAGGATAGGAACCGCACAATGCTCCAACACAGCGCGTTGCAGAGGGTCTTCGATCGTGCGTATTGACGGCATGTTCCTACATGTGCTTGCTAAATTCGTGCACAGTGCGAAAAGCACATTGAAGACTCACTCGAAGATTTGACAATGTGCCGGAGGTTCCATAGACGTCGCCACCGCGTACTCGCCACCACCACCAATGATGACTATAGAGGCACTCTGTGCACCCGAGGCTTCGACGGCAATCTCAGTTAAACGCTGGAGGGCTAAACAGTTTATGAGCGCGAAGTCGCAAATAGAAGTGTCATCGCTACGCACCGCTGAAGAGTTGAATGTGGCGGGATATCTCTTTACTCCATCTCAGGACAGCAGCTAGCTGCGGTGCCGACAGTGCCCGGACCTCGTCTTCTTCACTGCGCAAGGGTTCAACATCCTCGTAGGACAAGCCGGCGTCGGCTTGTATTCCGGAGACGGAGTTATCCGTCTGGATTCCCACATCAGCCGTGAATATATGCCTCTTAAGCAGCTCTTGAGGTTTTGCACAGATGATTGACGAGAAGCGAGCACTGCGGATATCAGCTTGCAGTCTGATTGGGGACATGGGCATCACTCACACGAGACCGAGCGCACCCCACTGAGATTGTCGGGCCAGTCCACGACGTTGTAGTTCTGTGCCTAGGCCATCTACGCCATTTCTCACGAAGTATGACCCTTGTAAGAACAGAGCCAGACCCTCCTCCAGCAAGAAATCGTTGTTGACGGCGAGTTTCACGGCCGTATCGAAGAGCTTGTAGGTTTCTGGAGTGCCATCGAGAGACGAGAGTTCAGCATCCTGTCGCAATCAGTATCACCGTGAGAGCAAAAGGGGAAGGGAAGAGCGCTCACAATCAGCGCAATCCAAGTGCTGTTGTTGACCGGACTTGGGCTCAGCCACTTCCGTAGGTACGACATGTTCTTATGCGCCTGATCCAGATATCTCTTCTTGACGCCTTCTGACATGGCTCCTTCTCGTATACACTCAACCAGAGCAAGACAGTGAAAGAAAAGAGCGAATCGTGAGCTGCGATGACTGCGAGGTACGGAGCAGCGTTAGCGCGTGTTGCCCAGCGATTGAAATTGATGAGTAGATGCGTACTTGGGTAGCGCCTTCCTCATCTCGTATACAGTGAAGCCGAGTTCCACCGCCTCTGAGATGTAGCCGAGACAGTACAGGGCAGCTACCTTATAGCTGTAATGCCTGTAGACAGATATCAGCGTGAGATGACGTCAATACGGACGACGTCTAATCACCATGCAAGGGCCATTGCGGAGAAGTCGCTCGTTTGCAGCTCGACGATGAACTCGGATTCACTGAACAGTGTCGTGTCGAAGATAGTAGCCGCCGATGTATTGATAGTAGCTCCGGCAAACGCGCGAACGCAGCATAGAAGACTCATCGAAAACACGGCGACGTGGCCTTTCGCTGCCCAGACATTGATCTTCGCATAGCTCTACAAGCTTGAGTCAGCCGTGTGAGATACGAGGAAGAGGTAATCGTCACAAACCTCCTCGGCCGCGGCGAGCAATTCGTCAACTGCAGGGCGCATCAGTACTTATCCGCCATCATGCTGTCACATGACCTACGATGCTCGGCAGTGAAGAACCGTGTCTGGATGGCGTACATGCTGGCCAATGCACCATAGACACGGTCTCCGGCTGAGAGTGCGTAATCCGCGGCAAGTTGGAGCCTGGGGTTATTGGCGCGTATGTGCGCGTTGTCATACGCGGACACAACGGCTGAGAACATCACAAGGCTTCGGCTACAAGGGCATGTGAGGACCCGAGTGGTCGATAGTACGTCGATCTTGCTTACCACTTCTCAGAGTTGGACCCGAAGCGATCTGATATCCGCAGAGCCATCTTCCCCAGGTCGCTGGAGAATCGATAGAGTTCACGGGTCTCCGCGCTAGCCTGAAGAACAAAGAGGAAGCCTAAGCCCGTGCCGGGTGACATTCCATGCCGGAGAGCAAGCCTGATGATCTGGGGGCATAGTGAGCTCCAAAGCACAAACAACCGATAAGTTGTGTGAACTAACCATGAGTCCAGCAACATCAGTCATGACCGCTCGGCTTTGCCAGTACGACCCGATCCCAGCATCACCAAGCAGATTGACAGCCAAGTCGATCTTCTCATCTTGACATCGAGGCATAGACAAGATGGCGTCGAAACCCGCAGCAAGAACCTGCAATACTGTGTCAAGCTCACGAGAAAAGCCAGTCTCAAAGCGCATACCTCGTTCTTGACTTGCTCAAACATCGTATTGACTTCGTCTGGGTCTTGCGAGAAGTCTAGATCAATGCCAAGGGCCTCCAGCGCTAGTACAACGTCCTTCATCGACGCATCCGCTCGGTCGTTCTGCCAGTGACATTGTGATCGTAGCTTCAGTACTGTCGCCTTGTCGATCGGTTCTTCGGCTCGAGGAAGGCAATCCGAGATGTACTCTTGTGCGTCCTGTAGGTCCCCGCGCCACAATGCGAGCCTGGGAAGCGTGAGAAGGAGGTTTCATGATATGTTCCCAGTAAGACTGACTCTGCTAGCCGTAGGTACAATGACAGCGTGCGTTTGATATTGCTGGTCCACATATCCGAGTCGAGAAGCATTTGCGCAGTCAGATATGACTGGTAAGCTTGCTGTATATTGGCACGGTTGAGCGATGCCTCGATCAGATGATGAACGACCCACTTCGTGCGCGCCGCGCTCTTGAGCCGCTTCTCCCGCCGCGATGAGAAGGTTCAAGAGCTCGCTGCGTTTCTGGTGTCGACGCAGTAATGGCAAGCACCTGCGAGCTTCAGCGAGAATAACTGGCGCAAATGGTATATGACGTACTTCTGAGTGTGCTTCGCTATCTGGAAGATGTCCGGGACGGGCTCGGCGAGCATGATCTAGTAATTCTACCGTCAGGGGAGAAGGTACCCTCAAGCTCAGAAGAACAGACCATGAGTATACGGAAGGACATCCTTGCAACAAACCCATCTGGCAACTCGTCGGCCTCCCTCTCGGCAGCTTGACGGTACGCGTCATGGGTGAAGCTGCACATCTCACGCCCACGCTGGATGACCCATCCCTCTGCAATGGCAGTTTGCAGACCGTTCACGGAGGCCCGACTCATTCCGTCACTCTTGCTCGTGCGCCGCGGGTCCCAGTCCGTTTCGTCTTCTTCGCTTTGACTACCGGAGCTGTCGTCCTTATCCATGACCAAGCTGACGTCCGTCGCCTTGAATGCGGATCCAAAGAAGCTAGCCCAGATGATGTAGGTGCGCGCATCGTCCGGCAATTCACGGAGATGAGACCTGAGATAGGTGATGTCGGAGGGATCGCCTGGTACTTGCTGGGATGTCAACGCAGATTCGACTGCTGCGAGGTCGTAGCTTGAAGGGTGTCAACAGAATCGGATACACGCACGAGGAGAGAGAGACGGACCGCCATGCGTTTTTGTCACCGTCGTAAACGAACTAGATGGGATGATTGAGTTATCAATACCCAGAGCGTAGCAGTCAAAGTTCCATACGAGCTTTTGCCGATGCAGCGAGACGATCACGCTCCTCATCGCGAACGCATTTCCGCCTCCAGCAGCATGAATCAATCGAGCGAGAGGGGCTACGCTTTCCTTTGACTGACGAAGGACCCGAGCGCACAACGTTGAGACTGCTTGGAAGGGAAGCGGATCCAGACGTAGGCGACTCGTGCGCAGAAGAGAGAACATCGAGTGGACTCGATCAATGACGTCACTGATTATACCATCAATGAGCGGACAGGTGCTTGAGTGCGGGGTAGACTCACGGTTTATCGTCACGTACGGTTATGAAAATCAGCTGGCAAGCGCTGAGTCACGTACGGCAGGCACTACGGGAGAGAAACGTACAAGGGGGGTCTTCAGATTTGTAAGAGTGGTAATGAGATCGATGCTGCTGGGGTCTGCCTCCTGTACATCGTCGAGGAAGAGAGCCAAAGGTCGAGTTTCCGCCAGGACAGAAAAGACAATCTCTACGAGCGATTGGAATCGGACGCGAAGCTCCTCTATGGGCAAAGACTCTTGCTGCTGATGCGTCCCAATATCGAACAGCTCCAGGATATCTCGAAGTTCGGGAGCACTGGTGTATAGGAGCGGTATATTGCGCGCATGAGGGCCTAATTTGGTCTTGAGAGACGTGATGAACCGATGTAGATCATTGCTGAAGGCCATCAATTGGCGAAGGGCCGAAGACAGACATGTCATGAGAGCCTCAAACGGAGCGACAGACTTCTCCTGGAACTTCGCATGTCCCCATAGACCCTGCGCACGCCAGACAGGCTGCATAGCCAGCACCAGCGAACTCTTGCCAGCTCTAGTAACTTGTCATGATCTTATTCCGAAGAAGTACACGCAGAAAACTTACCCGGGTGGTCCGACAATGAGAACACCATGAGTGCGAGGACCGCGTCTTCGAGTGTGTAGGGCCATCCGGCGTATGCCGTCACTGGCAACGGTAAGAGGCGATCCAGACGGCGGAGGGCTGCTGGACCTCAGAGAGCCTGATCTGAAGGAGTGCGTCGTATGCAGATCCTCCGAGGCATCTACAAACATCGCATTGTCACTACGCGACGACTTCGAATCATCCTCATCATCCAGTGCATCCGGGGTGCTCTCCTTGGACGACGCCTGACTACCGGTTGGTGTCAAGCTGATGGCACCGGTCGCTGAAGCCGTATAATGCGAATACTCCGCGGTAGTATTGCGAATAATGGCACGAAGGGTATCCAGCTCCTTCTCTCGGCCCACCAACAAACTTGGCATCGTGAAGTTCTGGAGACTGTCAGTGGAGAAGAGATATGCGGACGGACGTGTGACGTACAGAGTAACGATCGTGACGTCCAATTTCAAATTGAGGGATGAGCTGATTCGCGTCAGCAAGAAAAGCAAGACACAGGACAATGGTTCTCACATCCATGCTTTGCTCAGAAGCCGAGCTCACTGCGGCAAGTAGGCGGCGTTGACATTCGAGGAGGTCGACTTTCAAGCCATAAGCACTCTGATATCTATGGTCCGCACTCTTCGCCAAAAGTTTCTCCACGATCTGGGACAGCACGAGGGGTACACTATCTCGGCGGACTTCGTGCACTGGCACGGGTTTGTGATGAACACATGCGTGCAGCATTTCCAGTGGTCCTCCCTCGAAGGGTAACGTCCCGCGACCAACGATGAGACTCCAGAACAGGATACCGAGGGCGTATAAATCGGTGCGCGCGTCCTCGAGTGTGGTCTCAATGCTACCTGTCTGTTCGGGAGGAAGGTAACATAGAGCCTCCTTCATGCGCTGCCTCTCAACCTCCTCGAAGTTGTCTGATCGGCAGACCAATGACGAAGGTGCCCCAAACGTCTCCAGAGAAGCATGACGGTTCCCCATGTGGACGAGTCGGACGACTCCAGAGTGAGAGTTCACATGAAACGCGTTAGCGCGAACTATCGTCGGTAGGTTAGCACGCTCATTCGCTGCCAGCTTGCGATCGTCACGCACTCTCTCGATGAACGACGCCACACCCGTGTAAAACATCCAGGCAGTGCGTGGCCTGGATCGCGAACCTACTTTATGTTAGCAACCCGTGTGAACAAAGGCAAACTGAAAGGTTCTCACTCCAGAAATGTGGCGAGATCCATGGTATCTGGCGTACTCTCCGAGTCCTCGAAAAAGGTTTCCATATCCTCGTCCGAAAGAAAGATATCGGTTTGCAGACCGCCCCGAGATACTGGACGCGCAGCCGGTGTAGTCTCCGAAAGGAGCAGAGGGTTGATCGAGCGAGGGAAGTAATGGCCGAGCTGATTAGGTCCTGGATGTACTAGTAGCAAGACTGTACAATCGCCACTGCCCCGCGGAAGCTTGAACATGTCTATTGGGCGAATAGCTGCGCCGAGGCCTTCGCGCGAGACCTGCAACAGATTCAAACTTAACAGTTCATTATGTGAGGAATAGCGCTAGATGACGAGGGACATGACACACATATGCGCTTCTCTCTCGAGCATGACTGAGGCGTTCGTGTGTGCAGGTACGATCTTGGCCAGTACGGGTGAGCCATCCTTGAGACTGCTGCCCTCCGCAAGTTGGGTGAAGCTGCCGGTATCCTCCCACGGTACAGCCTGTTCAAGTAGTAAGTATTTGCAAAGCCCGAGACTAATCGAGCCCTTTGCGTACCTTCTCGAATGCGTACCCGGGTACGGACAAGATGCCATCGCCTGTCCAAAGTCAACGCGAGATAAAACTCCTAGTTCTAGATGACCGCACGGAAATAAAGCGTAGGCATTGTCGGCATCGTAGGCTGTGCCCTTCTCCTGCCCAAGCGACTCTCCTCCCTTCCTAAACCCATCATACTTCTGAATACAACCCCTCCGGACGACTGCCGTGCAGGCGTGCGAACGCGCGAAGATAGCCCGAGATTGGGGGACGCTAGAAAGTGAATAGGGATGTACAGCGTCGAGGTCACTGGGCGCGCAGGGCGCAAAGCCGATGAGAGTTTAGGAAGAGATCAGAAAAGAACAGGAGTCCGAGTGCTCGATGCTGGTTGGTCGTGGCCTTCGGACGCTGACGAGCATCTTTTCGTTCGTGTGTGCTTAAACTCCCGCGACTACCACAATATCGACGTCACGGGCAAACCGCTGGTTACAACAAGCTTGTGAACCAATGATCCGGGATCGAGATCTGTGTCATCCGGATTTTACACCCTTTCGCCGTTATGAAAGCGGGACGGGATCTCACAGCGTGGGGTAGAGGATATCTACAGTGACAAATATGGCTATGCATTGGAGAAGTAGGCTACGAAGACCTCCCTATCGAGCCGTCCGCGCCCGGTCCGTCCGACGCTGGTCCATGGTCGTCAACAAGATCCGCGGAAGGAGATTCTTCTAGAACTTCGATGAGCTTCTCATCGGCTTCTCCCGGCCGCAGCTCAACGCCCTCGAGAAAGTCGTTGTCGACCAAGAAGTGTATGGCTTGGGATAGGTTCGAGACCGTCATGCGAATCTCGGTTGATAACAGCTAGAAAGACATGAGCAATGTGTGATAGGGAGGCGTAGAAGTGCACCATACGTTTCGTAATAAGGACGACTTGGGACCGAATGGGTTTGCGGGTGGCTTCCGTGGCTGCGCTGGCTTGGGCCGCGGCATCGGAGTTTGCTTTGAAGTGCCGGCGGCAGTGATGGGAAGGCTCGCGTCCTTTGGAGCGTCTTGCACAGTGATCGGCTGCTGCAGTTGAGTCTCTGCAGGTTGCGCCGGTTTGGAAGAGGACTCTTCAGGCGGCCCGTCATCATCCTCTGTGTCCGAGGAAGATGAAGATGAAGACTCGTGCGCAACAAGTGACGGCTTGGGTGGTAGACCGGCCAGCCCCAAAGCAGGTACATGGGTTCCAGAACTCGCGAGATGGCCACCACGTCCACCACCTCTGTCGGCGCCTCTGCCTCTCCCCCGACCTCTTCCCCTTCCTCTATCGCCGCCCCTCCCACCACCATTATCATGCGAACCATCATCTAGACGCCGCCTCTTATTGCCTCTTAGAGCAGGATCATCCGGGTGTAACTGCCCTCGCGCGACAGCTTCATCCAACCGTCGCTTCTTTTCCTCAACACGATCTGCGGTAGGAAAGCGACGCCGGCGTTCTTCAATCCACGCAGCAATTTCTTCTGGCGTCTCGAGCTTTTGTGAAGTACCCTGGATAGGTATTGGCTTGCTGCAGGAATGTCAGTACAGATCATAAGGCCGACATGAAACATGCTGTAGCGCACCCTTTCAAACTTGGATCCGCGTCCCACTCCTCTTTCTTTTGCTCCTTGTAACCGGGCGGATAGATCAGGTGACGATCCATCTTATGCGTCTCAACCGACTTCGCAGATCCCGTAAAAGCGCATCCAGGCTGAGAGCATCGAATATTGCCTGGACTGTACCAATGAGTCTGCACACTTCCACCACGACCTCTCCCGCCTCTTCCGCTAGAAGATGCGCCGCCGCGACCTCTTGCTCCCGAGTTTTGGGTAGCGAAACCTCGCGAAGGCCCAGGTTGTGGAGCGTCATAGCCAGGTAGCGGGTTATACGAAGTCGAATATGAATACCCCTCCGCCGTAGTTTGCGCATTTGCATAGTGCCTCGCGTATGCCTGGGCGTAGTGCGAGCTCACGCCAGAGTTTTGGGCAGCATAAGGATTTGCGAGGGCGCTAGATACTGCTTGAGCAGTCGCAGAGACGTTCTGCCAAGATGATGAATACTGAGAGGTCTGTCCAGTATTGGGTCGAGGGGGTAGTCCGTGCATGAGCGTAGGAAGCACGGGCGGAGCGGCAAATGTGGCCCCAAAAACCCACGTGCGCCCGAAATGCCGACGGCAAGCGCCTACACAAATCCACTAGAGCCTTGCGGCCTATGAACTGTATGCCCAGACCAAGATACGTACCACTGATATGCATTCAAAGCAGTGTCCAAACCGTGTGCGATGCGGCGCAAACGACTGCAAACGAGTCCGCACCGAGTACATATTGGGAAGAGCCATCCAGTGCACGTTTATTGATTTTTGTGCCCGTAGGCCAAATATGCATAATGAGTAAACAACCGAGAGAGTAAACAGCAAGTTAATCATATGATACAGGGGTTACAGACTTCTGCGACGATAAGACCTGGGCGACGACGAGTAGCAAAGGAGGACCTAGTACGAGGGGGTGAGGGAGCGGGGAAAGCGAAGCGAGAACGGGCATGAGCATGTAAGCACTAGCGTTCGAACCTAGGACAATCTATGATGGGGAGGGGAGTAGCAGTACGGACATAACGCAAGGAGAGAGCGAACATAGGCATGAGCAAATACGTCAAGAGATCAAGCATGATGAGACGGTCCGGCGTACAACCCAGCCACATTATACCCTTCATGCCCCGACGGGGGTCGCATCTGCGGCGGCGCACCCATCGGATCGTGCATCTGCGAAGGCCAGAAGCTCTGGGCCACGTCGAAGGAGAATGGGATGGGCATCGAGTTGGGAGGGCTGTTCGTGCTCGTGCTATGTGGCGACGGCGTATCCTGTGACTGCGCACCGTTCACCATCCCGTTCGCGATCTGTTGCTGCATGGGTTGCTGCGACGGTCCGGCCTGACCGTTCGGTGCTTGACCACGAGGCCACCACTGGTACCCCGGCAAATAACTCGTACTCGGCTCAATACCAGGGATATCCAAACCCAGGATGTGCTGTAGCACACGGTCCGAAGCCCGCTCGTCGCGAACGGGTTGCTGCTGCATGCCGCCGCCCGTGCGCTCCTCGAACGCCTCCTGCTGCAGCACATCGCTGACCTTCTCCCCGAGACTGAACGCATCGTCGGCGCCGCGCTTTTGTCGCTGTTGGCCATTCACAGGCATGCTCTGGAACAACGGGTCCGAAACGGTCGTGTGCGCGCCCGAAATGAGTTCCCACGCGCGCTGTCCAGCCGGCCAGCGAACGGACATCTCCTTCAATGCGTTGAGTACCCGCTGGAGTGCGATCGATGTCTGCACATTCGATGGGCGCATCGTGAGGGTCACGACGTGCATGATGCTGATAAGTTTGTCAGTAATGACTAACAGACGTAGTGAAGAGGTCGACGCACCCAGCGGCGAAGAGGTGTTGAACGACAAGCATCGAGGCACGCGTGAGTGTATATGTGCTCTGATAGGCCGCGATGATGTTGGTCATGTGCGTAGCTGCGCTTTGACAGATATCAAAGCTCTTGAGAGCGAACGTGTCCTGAGGAACTCCGGCGCGAGGGTGGCCTTCGGGGCGCCATTTCGGGATGCTATCTCTTGATCAGCGTCAATCCGATTCACGAAGAGTAGTCGACGTACAAAGCTCGATGAAGGACCAGGACGCAGTTCCAGTACTTGACGTGTAACATCATCACGCTCGGCGAGGGCATGAAGCGGGCGCTAGCCACGTCAAACATGAGATTGTCGGGTAGCCCGGTGTACCACCGGTCAAGTCGGGCTTCGAGCTCAGATAACGCCGCACGTTTCACGGCCTGCGCAGTGGGCCTAACAGGGTATATCCGCTCGAGTATCTCGCCAAATATGACCACTGTGAGTACGCATTAGCCTTCATTCCAATATAGGTGTACGCGGATCGATTAAGATGAACAAACGTACTTTGCGCCGAAGCTTCGCGATAGCACGCCATCACATGTCCAGGGATTGGAGTGAAGTCCACCGATAGCGGGTCAGATGGATGCGGTGCCCAAGGCTCATCTGAATCGACCTACACCGCCAAGGATACACAGGACCACAGTCAGCCAAGCTCTACCTAGGCAGAAGGAAGACCCGAGGCGCCTTAACGTACCTCCGGCAAGGGGGTGTCGTAGGTGGCCTCGCTGAGTTGTGGCGGGCGCCCCATATAAACGGCGGAGTATCTATGATACAAAGATGAGCAGCTCGATCACATATAAGGGCACCTCAACGGGGTGGTGATAGGACGCACTTGTCCGCCTTTTGGCACGCCCACCAGAGTTGGCGTCGCGCTTGCACCTCCATTGGCGTGAAGATCTCGCGCCCGTTCTGTTTCCAGTGCGATGCGTCACGGTGAAGTCCAAGATCAATGGCCTGCGACGAGGCATGTTCGTCTCTCGAGTTTCAATACAGATATAATGTAAGTATGTGCGCACCATCCGCAAGCCCATTCCTGTGAAAAAGCGACGTCAGCCATCGAAGTGTGGCGTTAGAAGAAAGTAGCAATATACCTGTGTAAAGCCAACCGTGTTCCATCTGGCCGATTCCGAACTCGCGCATGCCGAGTAAGATCAAAGCCTGGCAAGTCGTGGGGCGGCAGTAGTGGTAAACGCGGTCTGTGGAGTGAAAGACCCAGGTCAACGGCTCGTCGTCGAGACAAGCTGCCGGAAAGCTACGCACTCAGAACTTCGCGGGCGCGGACCATGTAATCAAGCCCAGCCTCCCAGATCGTCCCGGGTTGAGGCTCCTCATCGCAACGGTCGTACCGCGCCGCTGTTGCGAACATGGAAAGAAGCAACAGCTTGGAGATGACAGGTCTTTCGTTCCGCTGGTTTGGCGGTGGTTGAGGAAGTCTATGCCCTCGAGTCAGTTCATCATTCGTAGCTCGTGTTTGTTTTACTGACGCATGCCTGCCAAAGAGCGTGAGTACATAAACTCATGTAAAATATCGCGGGAAAACTCACATGGCCTCAAATTCCGTCCAGAACAAGGTCTTGTGCACCGTGGGCAATTGGATGTGCACGTAGGTAAAGTACAGTTCGAGCAAATGACGCTGTACAGCTACCGGCGGCATCTCGACGTCAACGCTATCCTCCGGTATGAACTGGTTCGCAGCGGGCGGCCACACACGGGCCATCGGAAGGTTCCTTTCCCAGGGTGAACTCCTATTACCGCTCAGATATGAAGAGATCGACGTACCAGATGCCGCCTGAATTACGTCGATCCGGTCGTTGTGGGTTCGCCTTCGTGAGTAGATGTAGCCCGCTAGAGAAGCCGTGATAGCGCAACTACAAACGCCAAGCCCTTCAGATCAGGGTCATGCCCAAATCGATATACGCTACATACCTCCTTATTCTCGTCCAGTGATAGCTGACCAAGACCGTTCGTAGCTTCCTCTTCTTCTGTGTCTGGTGGTGAGCGCTGGAATGTGAGAAACACACCCGCGCAGTCCTTCAAGCCTACGCACCCGACGACGGTTTATCTATTCGGTACATCCTGTCCCAGTCCGGTTGCCCAGAGCTCGAGGGCCGGTCGCCATCAAGCCGTCTCCGTTGCGAGTATGGTAATCCGGCCATGTCAACGGAGCGATCACGCGAGACAGGACCAATACGGGCAAAATGGGAGGACAGACGATCTTGCCATTCCAGGGTCGGACTAACGAGGGAGGAGTTGTCTGTGACCGTGTATAGTTAGCGCTGTGTCAGGTGCGGTCATATTTTTGACAGATGATGGATCGCGGGAAGACGTCTTGCGGCGAGGCAAGGGTGCACGGTACAAGGGGAAAAGGGCACAAACTCACTTGATGAAACAATCTCGCGCGACATGCGAGACTGTCGTCGTGGCCGTGACGGATCGCGTGTTTGTGCCGCCTCGGCGCTGTTCATGATGGAGGCGAAAAAGTCCTCCTTTGTTACGGCGACGGAATGGTTGAGCCGTCCCGTGGGCCCCTAGTAGAGCGTAAGGATGGCTGCACAGCAACAACATATCACCGCTGTTTGCATACGAATGGCCCAGCATCGACGCGATTGAGAATATCGCGCGCGAGGTCGTCAGTTTTGATGTTGTCGATGAGAGCTTGGACCTGTGGATCGGGCGAGGCGAGGATGGCACCAAGAATAGATTCGACCTGGTGCCAACGCTGCTCAATGGCGTGAATGTAACCTTTGGGAGGACCGCGCTTGAAGCTCGGCCCTAGTAAACGGTGTTAGCGGGCGATGCAATGCGTATTTGTGCGCAGGGAATGCACGCACCGAGGAATGTGCAGGCTAAACGCGCGGCGGATATGCGGGTCAGGAACATGCTTCATTACAGAGCCACATCAGGAAGGACGCACCGACGCCTGCAAGAGAACAGCTCTTGCAAGGTTCCGTGTCCCCTTCGAAGCGTTCGCACTTGCTTTTCGTCTTTCTGCACTGGTCGCAAGCTAGTGTAGCAGTGATCCCTTAGCATATAGTGCATATATAAACTCTAATGACCGAAACGTGCCTCTGCTGCTCCTCTTCCTGGACGAATCTGCCTGCGGAGACGGACCGCCGTGCTCATCATCCGAGTGCTCGGCAGAATGCGATTGGCGTTCTTTCGACATCACGCAGAGACTAGACTACGAGCGAGGCAAGTACCGGGGAGCAGAAAGTAGCGCACAGGGGCGCGTAGGAGCGACGGGCCGAGTGGATGATGGGCGTATGAAGCAACCCTCTCCGGCTTGTCTTGCAACTTGCGAAGGTAGCGCGTAATGGCCCGGTAACTTCCCTCGCCCGAAAGGACGGCTCGCCATCAGGGCCCAGCGTTGTTGTCCGCGGACGGACGCTTTCCGCTTTCGCAGGCTCCCCTGCCTTCGCCACCCCCTGGTCGCTCGGCAATATCTCCGTCGCACACTTTCAGCATCTCTGTCTAAGGCGTACACAGCACAGGTATTATTATCCTGACTTCCACTGCCCAAGCACGCAAATCTGAGCTGTCGGCTCACTAAGCCGATTTTACCGTAATTCCTGTCCCGGATCCTCTAGAGATCTGAGATGGTCGGTCAACGCCTTCACGTGTCGCTCCGTTGGTCCATTGAACCATTGTTCGCATGAAGAACACCGGCCAGTGCCTCGTCGTCTTGTCGATCCTTACGGTTCTCATCGACGACGGGCAGCAGGAGGTCGCGCCGGCCCTCGACGCCCAACGGCATGCTTCTCCCGCAAGACCATCACAGCGTAAGCCGCAATACACTTGGCCATCCCCATATTGGGGCACCTGGGTAGACGCTGCATTCAGCGGGCATAGGCGGACACTCTTCCAGAAAAGCTACTGGGAAACGGGCACGCGGGGCGAGGCGCGACGATCGGCCGATCTTAGCCTCAGGGAACCCAGCCATCATCAAACGAACAGTGCAGATGTAGGTGAGTCAGGAGGCCAGGAGGCGAAGACTCCGGAAACGGACTTGTGGACTTGCAAGTCCGGCTGTACTGTACAGTGAATAGAGGGCCGCGCTGTGAGCCGTACGGTAATGATCGTAGACGGGGCTCGAGCGGCCGTCAGAGGGCGCAAATGCATTGACAAACATGAGAAGTTCGGCCGGGGTATCGAGGCTCGCGATCAGAAGTGCGCGAGAAATGAGGAGCGAGCAGCTGGATAGCAGGACGCATCATGACGAAGTTCGGAATAATATTACGAGCAACGGTATGTATATAAGACGGGAGGCGAAGATACGGGGGTTCGGAAGAGGATCGTGGTCAACTGGCAAAGTAGACGCCCGTGCGCGGGAGATGCCATGATGACTTGCTGTGGGCGCTTGTGCGTGCTGCGGCCTGGACCTCCGCACGATTTGTTGTAGAACGCATCTTCGTAGTCCTCCGCCAACACCTCCTTCCCTCCACTCTCTCCCTCTTATCTCAATCCCATGCCTTCTGACACCGAAGCCAACCAGGGTCAAGCTGGTAAGTTCTGTTTTCCCGATCTCATAATTCAAAAAATACAAAATACCGACATTCGAGATTTTTCGCTTCAGGTTCACCCCCTCAGTCTCGCTCACCATCTCCGGCCGGTCACGACGTCTTGACTCTCCGAGCGCTCGTGAGCACCAAGGATGCGGGTGTCATTATCGGGAAGGCCGGCAAAAACGTCGCCGATCTTCGCGACCAGACCGGCGTCAAGGCCGGCGTCAGCAAGGTTATCCCCGGCATCCACGAACGCGTACTCACTGTATCAGGATCAGTAGAATCCGTGGCAAAGGTGTGCAAATGCATTGGATTGACTATTATACGTAAAACTGATTATTATTATGTCAGGCGTATAACCTGATCATCGAGCAGCTTGTCGAATCAAACCCCGCGTCACCCGGCGTCTCCTCGTCTTCGTCACCCGCGCACACCTCCATTCGCCTCCTGATTTCCCACAATCTCATGGGCACCATCATCGGCCGCAACGGTCTCAAAATTAAAGCCATTCAGGACGGCTCGGGCGCGAGAATGGTCGCATCCAAGGACATGCTTCCCCAGTCCACAGAACGCGTCGTTGACGTACAGGGCTCCCCAGAGTCCATATCACGTGCGATAGAGGAGATTGGGCGTTGTCTGCTGGAGGACTGGGAGAGGGGGCTCGGCACGGTGCTGTACCACCCCGGCGTCGCAGACGACCGGACTGGAGGACGCAGGAACTCGCATGGTCACAGCAACAGCTACGGTGGCGGAGGTAGGCGCTCGAACGGCAATGACGCCGCCATCCGTCCATCAAGCCCGCCTTCGCCGTCTACAGCCGCAGCGACGAACCTGCGCACGCAGAACATCTCAATCCCAAGTGACATGGTCGGCTGCATTATCGGCCGCGGAGGAACGAAGATTACGGAGATCAGGCGCTTGTCGGGATCCAAGATCTCCATCGCCAAGGCGCCACACGATGAGACGGGAGAACGGATGTTCACCATCGTCGGCACGCCAGAGGCGAACGAGAAGGCGCTATTCTTGCTCTACAATCAGTTGGAGAGTGAGAAGGAGCGCCGTGTTGGCAAGGAGGCGCAGGCGCAGGAAGAAGGCCTGCAAGAGTGAGAGCCTCACGTTGCGATGTTGTGATTGTTGCGGCGCGCAAGTACTTGTAAATTTTTGGGATCTCGGATGCGCCCCGACCTTGTTCTCTCTGCGATGATCTCTGACGGCTTTCGTTGTGATTGTATCCACGGGCTTCGGCCCACTAGTGCCATGTACCATGTATCACTAGCTCGCCGCCAGGACCTCTTCTTCTCTGCTCTCTGCTCCCTCTCTCTCTCCATTCCATACACCCGAAAACCCCTGCGTTCATACACCACGCACCCCCCGTCTACTGCGTAGATACTCGTCTCCGTACCCCTGCTCTTGCTCCCCCTCTCCCCCCTCTTGACCCCCTGGCCGTCTGCGTATCTACTCTCTCGGTGCCCAGCGTTGTGTGTTTCCATAGTAGCCTGCTCTCATGCATCTGTGTACAGCAAATCAATTAACCTATCGAGCCAAAACCCCCCGTCATCCTCGTGTCTTTCGCTTGCGTTCCGAGCAACAAGTCCGTTCCTTGCGCCACAGGTCCACCCCGGACCACATGTACACGTCAAGTTCGGCTGAAAGTTTCGGGAAATCGACGATCATTGGCGTGGGTCCTTGTGGGTACGAATATTTCATTGCTTATCGCGTCCTCGGGGCGGTGAGAGCTTCTGGGGCGAGCCTTCCGAGGGCAGAGGAAGTTCTTCTGAGCTATACAGTATCTGGACAAGACGGCAAGTCTGAGAATTGCGCAGCCGATGGTCTCGGCACCCGTGTGTGATAGAAGGTATGAATACAATGTATACAGCAACGATCTCGACCAGCGTCCTCTTAGAAGAACCCATCCAACAACTTCCTCGATGCCTCGACGCCAAGCTGCAACCATCATCAGTAACGCCACACGCACGATGGAAAACATAAGCACTCACGAATGTGGCAGCATTAGCCGGGAAGGCCCTCGCCATAGCCGGTCCAAAGCCCTTCCAAAGCGCCTTAACACCGTCCGCCGCAATCGTCTTCCTCGCACAGTCCATGATACCCGAGTACGTGCCCGTCGGCGCCGATTGCAGACGACTTTTCAAGACATCGGGAGGGATGGCAATGGCCCACATCGCTACACCTGCGGTTCCACCCGCCATGATGATCGAGCCGAGGTGCAAGTCGTTGGGGGAGGCGCCTGCAGGGGTCAGGAACTTCTTTGTTACTTCGTAAGCGGCGAAGTACCTATTGGACCGTTAGTTCTGTACACTCCTTGAGCAAAGTCCAGAGTACGCACGCAGCACTACCAGGGCCGTCGCGTGCTACTGTGGCGACTGAACCGCGGTAGATGCTCTTGATCCCGCCTTCGCGGTACAGGTGGCCGATGACATCAAAGACGCCCTTGTACTTTGCCTTGCCGGCCTGTCCGTCCACCTATAGACTATCAGCCATAGTCAGATGAGCTCAGAGTGATGCGAGCCATACCTGTAATAGCACTTTCGCGCGCTCTACTGGTGCAGTGACGAGTGTAGTGGGAACGGCGGACATGAAGCCTGCTGCTGCGAGCTCGGCCGAGGACAAAGAAGCCTCTTTCCGGTTAGGTGTTAACGCATATACAACGGCCTTAGACGCGTCGTAGGCCTAATGTGTGTGTCAGTACGGAGGAAGGCATCCAGCGAGAGTAATACGTACCCAGAAAGAAAGTGCGAAGATAGGTGTGACACCCAATAATGGCGGTACAACACCGCGGTACAGACTATCGGAGGGGCATTAGCGGCGATTTGACGTACACTTTTTCATATGCGTACCCAAATGCGCCGTCTCTTGCGACCGCCTGCTTCACGACATCGATGGCACCCCTGTACGTTCCCGGAGCAGCCGTTTGCAAGCGCGTTTTTGTCAAGTCAAAAGGGTGACCTGGACGAAACATTTTGGTGTCAGAACTTCCATTCAGAGCGCCAGTATAGCACACGCACCGACAAGTACAGCAGCGACTCCTCCGAAACCGCCCGAAAGAAACGACTTGACGTTCTCCGTCGCAGAGTTAGCAGCGCGCGTGCCCTCGATCTCTCCCGCTTCAATGTCGCTCTACGACATCAGTTCAACTACCATCCCCCGTCTCTATCTCTCGTACACACGCACCATGTCTACAGTCTAGGGTGAGCGCGAGGGAATAGAGAGGATCGAGCAGCCGTGCGGCGGTAGAGCAGAGGTCTGACTTCGGCTCGCGGGCCCGGAGGTTCAACTTATGTTCTTCGGGATGCGGGGAAGCGTGTGATTCTCGACGCAGTCCATTCGCCGGAGGCGGAGGCTCGCGCGTCACGCAGCGTGCCTGCCGTACACACAAAAGCCAATGACAAGCAGAGAAGCGATCGCATTCGGTGAACGGTGATGATAGTAGGTGGTAAAGTACGGATAAGCGAGGTACAGAGAATTCTTTCACAGCAAAGTTTTTTCACACAAATGGTTGTTCTATTCCCTCACGAACTCAAGAAGCCTCGGGATGAGAAGGCGGATAGCGACAGTACCGATCCGAGATGAAGGTCACGGTCCAGGTACCTATCGAATTCATCAGTTTCTCGCAGTACTCAAAGTCCTCGTCGAAGACATACCTTCCAAAGCCGAAAAGATAGAATACTCATTCAACGCCACACCGCTCACAGTGTGCGTCTCGAGCACCTTCCCAGGACGTCCACCCTTCTTCGCTGGCGGTTCCGAGCGCTGATAAGTAAACGTGAATGGCGGCTCGCCAACAAGGGTGAATTTGATCTCCGCCTGATCGCCTTCGTGGATATCCTGGAAGATACGACGGCCTTGGCCAACACGCGCAGACGGTAGCGCGTGTACTGTGTACGCAAGATCGGTGACGGCTGCGCGGCATCGTGCGTGTTGATGCGCGATATCTGTCACGGCAAAGTCGCCGGGGTAGCTGAGAAGTAGTGCGAAGGGGCTCGCGCTGACGCTCTGTGTGTGGTGTTTGTTGTTGACCTTGTAGCTGTACCAAAGATATTAATTGTGCTTTCCCAAGACAAGTAAGCCAAAGCGTACCCGACAGTCCACGGAGGAATGCCTTCGAGCTGGAACTGCGCCGTCTCGCCCGCACAGAAGTGCTCACGACGATCATACGGTACAATAGCCGCGCTCTCCGCCACATCGACCCAGATACTCCTCTCTCTCGGATGCGTCGGCGTCTGCTCGCAACCTGCGGCATCGCTAACGCCCTCAATGGTGATCTGATGCTGTCCGACAGACTTGAACGTATATGTCGGTAGATCAAGGCGCCAAGAGTACGAGTTCACTGTGACCGTCTCGGTGTAAACGTCTCCTGCGGCGATGTTCTTGACAGAGAGCGTGAGCTGGAATGGAGGAGTACCCTCGAGTGCGACAGTGCCTTCCGTGCTGTACTGCTCCAAAGGCGTGAACGCGTCGTAAAGGCAGTACGAGAGACGATCCGGCGTGCGGAAGCGCGCCTCGGGGCGTTGCAGTACCTGTTGCTCGAAGAGCGGACGATAAGCGCGAGGGATAACCGAATCTTTATGTTGAGCCAACGGGTAGGCCGTATCTCCGACTTGCTTGACCTCGTAGAGTATACGTCCTGGATCAGAAGTGACGAGCTGGAACCTCGTGCGAGGCTGGATGCTGTTGAACATGGGCTGATCGAGTACCCGAGTCCCACCATTCTCCCCGCGGGCGATGTTGTAGAGAATGTGGAAGGGCGCACGGCCAGTGAGATCGAGATCGACATGACTGTTTGCACCTTCGCAGATGGGAGGGAGGATGAAGGATCCATTCCAGCGTTCGAGTTGACCAGGTGTATCCTCGGAAAGCTTGGCCGAAGGACGCGGAATCCATGTAACATCGTAAGCGGACTCCTCCCTGATAACCTCGCCCGGGCACTGAGAGTCGTAGACTTCGAGGATCTCGTATGTTCCATGCCCGCGAACAGATAAGTGATCATTCGCGCTGGTGAACTTTGCCGTCTCGAACACCTCGGGTTTCTCCATATTGCGGTACTTGAGCTGCCATGGTCCCTCGCCTGTGAGACGGAGCGGTAGGTTCGCCTTCTCGTAGTCCAGCGTCGTGACCTTGCGCTCCCCAGGCTTGCCGTAGAACTTAGCCGTCGCCTTGATACGCCTTACATTGACGGTCACACCGGGCACGGTCAACATGCGACGGCATCCGGATGAGTCCTCCACACTGCCTGTTATGCGCCCGCATCGCGTTAGCATACGGTCGATTACCTTGATCAACGGACTTACGGAGAGAAATATCGAAGGTGCCGCCATTCTTGTTGATACGCTCCGGAACCGGGATCCGCAACTTATGCCTAGAACTCTCGATCTTGGCAAAGTTCAGCGTCTTGCTCTCCTTCAACCCCACAAGCTGCACGTCCAGATTCCAAGGCCCGATGCCCTTCAAATCCACTTCAACCTCGACCGTCTCGCCCGCGCAGCTGTTGATAGGCCTGTTGGCGTTGACAATGTTGGCCCCTGCGAGAGGGTGTACGACTTGGTTGATGCTTGGGCCCGGAAGCGGCACCTTCTGGTAGTTGGCGTCAGAGATGGCCGTGAAGGTGTAGGTATAATCGCCGCTTTGAGTTGGTTGGAGCAGGAGCTCGCCGCGTGTGTTTTGATAGCCTTTCACGAGTTCCTTCGCTGGCTCCTTGTTGCGTTGCATAGTGTAGTAGATGTGGAATGGCGCTTTGCCGTGTAGGAGCAACGACGCTTCGACACCAGTGTCACCCGAACTGTATGAGATGATCAGTGCTCATGCCCATCGGAATCCATATGCACGTACCATTCATGTATACCCCTCCAGTCGATCTCCGCGCTTGGCTTCGGTATCTCCGTAACCGGGCAAGACTCCGGAGCAAGCACGTCGCCCTCGCAGTAACGTCCCTTCACATCTACTAGCGTATACGTTCCAGGTGCATCAGCCTCGATCTGCAAGTTTCGCTTGCTTCCAGTAGTTTGTAGCGTCTTCGTCCAGGTCTTCGCACGCTTAGGGTCGTCCGCGGGAGGAGCGTATTGGACCACCATATCCCATGGCCCGTCTTCAGCATCCGCTTGCGATGCAGACATAACGAGGCCGGTCGTCCCGCCAATCTTGACTTGAGACGGCCGGGCCGGGGAGCAACCCGCGAAGGCGGCTGCAGGACGGCGCAAAACATGCAGCGTGCGGGCAGTCGTGCCCGTATTGCTCGCCGGGAAGGTCTCATTCTCGTTGTGGCCGGTAGATGGTGAGCCCAATTGAACGGTGTTCCCGAGGGCATCGGTCACACTGTCTAGGGCGTAGACGTGGGTACCCAGTGCTCGAGCTTGTACCGCGAGCGGTACAACGACGGTCTGGGGAGCTGGGGGACCGGAAGCTCCCACGCGATGCGGCGCATGGCCGTCTTCGATACCCTCGACCATCGAGTACTCCTGTCTGCCGTTCACTTCCTTGTACCACTTAAGACTCAGAGGTGGTACACCAGCTATCCGGAGGGACAAATCCACATTGACGGCCTTCGCGGCAGCATCCGACGCAACGCATTTAACGCTCTCGCCACGGGCAAGGATGTCATCAGATGTGAATTGTGCGCGAGGGCAAGGAGCGATAGCCACAGAGGATGGGTAAACAACGCGCGCGTCTACGCCAGACGTATCTTGTACGGTCTGCAGCTCCACAGTACCCGGCTGTGAGATCTGGATATGTACAAGAGACTGCGACTTCTGTAGCCGAGGTGCATCATCAGGAATCGTATCGTCGTCGTCGTCATATTCGTCGTACTCGCTGTCTGCAGAAGACGCGCGTTTCACAAGTTGCATAGAAGACGTCCGTGCAGCTTCGATCGCCTTGAGTTCCCGAGCGCTGACCGTCTTGTGAATGATCTTCATGCCCTTTCCCTCGGTATAACCGAGAGGTGTGATGGAGTATTGGACCGCGGTGGGGTTCGAGTTATTGAGCAAGAGGGGAACAAGGATGGTACTTGACGGGGAATCAAGACAGTATGCTGCGCCGTACGGGTTCAGGTATGCCGTGCTAATTGGTGACATTCGCACTGTATGCTGTCCCTGCAGATGCGAGTCACGGTCGGCGTAGGATTCGAAGCCCAGTAGCGCGAGTGGACCAGAGAAGATACTGCCCAATGAAGAGCTCGAACCGTATTCGACGCGCTCTATGGTTTGATCAATACATGAACGTACACATCAAAGTAACAGTACGCACCAATTGCCGCATCATGCGCACCCTCGCCTCCCAACAAATGGAGCTCTATGCCACCAAAGAGCAGTCCATCCAGTACCCAAAGACCGACTATTTGTAGGCAAACCATCGCTCTTGCGTAATTGAGCCGCGGTATTCGGAGATAAGACAGTCCGACGCAGAATAATAGGTCGACAAAGGCCCACTTACGCCCATATTGTGGCGCGGCGCCGGTGAAGGACGAGAACAGGTATTGGAAGAAGTCGAATACTTTTATGGCCTAAATAGTGCAGTACGTCAATGTCAGGTTCGCTCCCGTGTATTCAAAGTAAAGCTCACCTGGATGCAAGCGCCCAGACTTATTGCATATAATCTTTGTGTCGGTATGTCGACAAAGCGCTCAGGTATCAAAGGTGGCTCTGTAGCCGGCGCAGCCAGTGGTGTCTTGCTGTCGGCCGACATAGCGCCGTACGCAGAATCGTCTCAAGTCGTCAAGAGTTAGTGCTCAAATTTCTGTCTACTCGTACAGCAGATAGTTGGTTGGGAGGCTGCGCAGCCGAAGATGGACGTCAGGACGAGGTGCGTGGCGCGCGTGAGGTCTTGTTCGCGCGTCGTTCACTGAACTGACATGTGACCGTATTCTCCCCGACCTCGAAGGTTGGGACTATCTTGCAAGCACGGGCAGGCCAGGAGCTCACCGCCCGCATACAATAGATATTGATACATATTGTACATGCGCAGGGCTACAAGATGGCAGAATCAAGCAGGCGAATAGGACGAACGCGGCGTACTGCGCCGACGCCTAGTAGTAGTCCGCTTCGTTCGCTTCACGGGTTCTGGCTCTACGGAAGACTGCTCCGTCGTGTTCTCTTTCGCGGACTCGACGGCGTTGATGTTGCCAAGCACTTTCCGTTGTGATGCAACCAACTTTCCGACGCGCTTCCATGGGTGAAACGGGATGCTTTGGTCGATGACGGACTCGACAAGATCTTGAACGCCGGCCCGTACGCGCTGGACAAGCGCGCCAGAGGCATAGGCGTCAATGTTGCGCACGAGCAGGAATACAGCGAGTGCATCTGCTGGGTTCTTAAGTTTCCACTCTTGGAAGAGATGTACGCCTTGAGATAGTTGAGCGCCCGGATATGGGGCAGATTGGACGGTCTGTGTGAGGAGTAAATACAATACATTGAGAGAGGTAGTGCAAGACGCCTACCGGGGAAGCATCCCAATCACCTGTCGCCCAGTCGACATGCGCTCGGACGGTTCCATCTGCCCAGAGTAATCCGAAGACGGGAGCATGTACATGCATCGCATGAAGATGCCGCACCGCCGCTGTCGTGGACATCCTGTTCTGCCGATAAGCATCCTCAACAGCTGTTTGGGTGGGCTTCTTGTCCTCCCAAACACTGGCGATGAATTCGAAAGCAGGCAACGCGGGTAGTTGCGTGCACGGCGTGGCTTGTCCAGAAAATGCGGCAGGTTTGCCCGTCCGTGGTGACCGTTTGAGCGTCTTCAAGGCGGACGTAGTAGAGTGTGAGAGGTCGCGTATCGACAGCGCTGGGACAAAGAGCGCAGCGTCCGGTATAACTGTAGCCGCTGAAAGAATGCGGAGACTGTCCGGAGTGATAGTGAGGCGTTCCATGGGCTGCGCCAGAGTGACGGGGCACTTTGCCCTGTATACCTATGAGCGTCATGCAGTACAGCCTTGGTCGGTGATGAACCTATATGAGCTCGTCGACACCGCAGAACTGCGTATCACTTCGTAGCTGCATTACATGTTAGCATCGGAATGGCGTTCAACGCATAGTGCATACACATTGGCGACCATGGATGCCTCCGACACGGCTCCTTCAGAAGACTGAAGCTTGAGAAGGCGTTCATGGGCGACAAACACACAACGCAGGTCATCGAATAGCCTCAGACTAGAGGCCGTTGATGGATCCACATCATCCGAGAACATGTCTGGACATGCCTCGTAGGCAGCGCCAAAGAAGTTGAGACACTCAGACGAGCAAGTTGATTGCATCGACCCATACTGCGCGGACGTCTGTTCCGTCTGTTTTAAGTGTGTGGCCCGTGTGGCATGGAAATAGAAACTTACAGCATCTACCCACGCGCGAGGTAAGCGCGCAAACGTATCAAATACGTCTACAGCAGTCTGCGATAGCACATCAGGTAAGTCTGAGTAGGCGGCTATCTCACAACCCTGGAAGGAACTCCATGTCTCGAAATGTGACGGGTTGCGCGCGATTTCCGACGCGGAAAGTGCCCTCGGTGTGGCAGACTTGACCGCGCGCTTCTTTGGGGGAGAATCGGTGTCGTAGACAGGTTTGGAGGTTCGGGCCATGGTGAGATTGGCGAGGAGAGGTGTACGTGGAGGAAAGAGGTATCGCGGAGTATTCGTTACAAATGTTGATTATATATGTGGACAGCAAGAGCAAGAAAGCAAGAGGCAGAGTCAAAGACAGGTAGAGAAGTAGCGGGTCGTGGCAAGTCGTGGAGTGAAATCGCGTCCAATGTACCCCTACGAGGACAGATGGACGTTCGATGCAAGTCGAACATTGCGCGTAGCCTACTCATCACGACACCGTGTTCGGATCAACCCCGCGCCAAACTTTGGCGCGTCGGCGCGTGCGGGCGCACGACGCGGCTAAGTCGCGCCATGAACGCGACTTGTCTTGAACGCGCACGACGCCGACGTCGTGTGCTGTCGTAGCGCGACATACGTGGCGGCTCGTTCTATCCCTACTCTGTCGAGGCTTATCGACTGGCTATCTGTTCTGGCCAGTCATTGTGTTATCTCGTGTGGCCTACAGTGAATCCTATATACTCGCGCCCTCTACTCCCAGCGAATAAACCCTCAAGTCTATAGCAAAAGCCTTGATAGTCCCTACATCTGCTACTCTCTGCATACTCTACGTTTCAGAAATCTGAAACTTGATATCTTTTCATTCACTTGTCTACTCTTGGCGATGTCGTTCTCACAACGTGCGCCTGGGCGTTGCCGAGTAAGCACATGCAGTGCTGCACATTAGCCTTCATGCGCTGACACGTAAGGCGCCTAGAACGAAGACCGTTGTCGTAAATATCAAAGAGGAGAATGCCGCTTCGTACACCCGGACCAGCCGGAGTGGGAGACCGCAAAACCATTTGTGTCGTTTGACGACCACGGTCCCGGCCGCGGCCGCGGTCGAGGTGATGGGCACACGGATGGCGGCTCACGATATGGTGGAGGAAGAAGTGGTGGACATTGGAATGAATCGCACAGCAACGGCGGTGGCGGCGGAAGATACAACTCTTACGGCCAACAGAACAACAACTGGGGAGGCTCAACTTCTCAGCCCTCTAGCTCGGCGTGGGACGATCATGATAAGGGCGCCACAAACGCCAACTCTTGGAACAACGCAACTTTCACGGAGTCGAACCCTGCACCAGCTGCGAACTCGTCGAATAGTACTTCGGCTTGGGGAAACACGATTGCGGCACCGGAAGCGTCTGGCGCGTCCGCGAAGAAGGAGAATAGTGCTTGGGGTAGCTGGGACAAGCAACGGCCTCAGTCTCCGACAGATGGATGGGCGAAGAGCACTGGAGGCAGTAGCTGGGATACTTGGGGTGGAGCATCCCCGGTTGGTGGTAATGGATGGGGTGCAGGATCTCAGGTCAGCGGCGGTGGCTGGGGCTCTACGACTGATGACGGTGGCTGGGGATCTAACACTGCAAACGACAACTCGGCCGGAGGATGGGGAGAGTCCAATGCCGGTGGTCTACCTTCGAGCGGCTCGACGACCAACGCTGGAACACAGAACAATGGCTGGCCGACTGCGAAGAATGTCAACGATGCGGACGTCAAAGGCAAGGGCAAGATGCGTGCCGAAGGTGGTGGCGGCTGGCCTGCTTCTTCGAAGGATGATCATTCTCGGCGTCGCGCGTCAAACGACTTCCATCCTCCAACATCAGATAATGGCTGGGGTAGTCAAAGACGGCCTAGCCAAACTTCTCCTCCATCCTCTCGTCGTGCCTCGGGGCCACAAACGTCTTCGTCTTGGACAAACCACACCGGTGGAACTCATGGACAAGGGTGGGGCTCGGGGACTGGGAACGATGGCTGGGGGCAGACTGAAACCGTCGGCTGGGATACCGCGACGGTACAGCAAGAGCTACCGCCAGCCCCTACTATCGAGCCCCCCGCACCTCCCGTGCAGCCTCCGCAACCCAGGAGCTCGTTCGCCAGGTATGTTCCCAAGCTTTACAGACAGTGTGACATTGTGACGAAACCAGTGCTCAAGCCAAATCCTCGATGCGCTCGTTCGTTCTGAGGACTTGCGCTCCGCAGAAACGCGACTAGAGCGTACAAAGCGCATGGAAGCCTCTCCGCGATACGAGAAGCGCAGTCCTGCCATGGCTGCCAAGCTCAACTCCGACCTCCATGATGCGAACGAGCATCTGACCCGGAAGTCCGATGAGCTTCGTTCGCGCTTACGACGCCTCGCAAAGCTGCCCGGCGCGGAGAAAGTCTTCGCGGAGATCGACTCAGAGATCGACCTGGAGTGGCTGACCGAAGGAGACCTTCAAAAGTGGACGGACGTCGCCGAGCCAGCCGTAAGGGCGTATCTGTCTGCCAAGGATGCGGGTATGAAGCAAAAGGTGAAGACTGAAGGGTTCGATGCTCGGTAGGCTCGCTCGCATGTAAACCATCTATACGCTCCCTGATTGCATGTTGTCCTCAGACCTGACTGGGTGAAAGAGCTTCCCGCCTTCAAGAACATCAAGCCCTTGTCGGCTGAACAAGCTAAAGGCATCGCGGGCGACGACAAGCTACTCCGTGCCGTGATACAAACCTTCGGCACCGACAGCCCGAGACTTCGCCAGGCAGTCTCTGTCGCCAGGGCCCAAGCAGACATGCGAAACTACGGTCCTCAGTTGGACGCGATCGAACGGGAGGGAGACCGTAAACAAGCGCGGATTGCTGAGCTCAGAAGGTCTCTCCAGGAGATGAAAGAGCGAGACGCACGTCGTGCGGAACAGGAGGCTTCGGAACCAACGACTGCAGAATGCATCAAGCAATGGAAACTCCAGGTAAGTACCGTACTCTCAACACTTACCGAAGCACGCTAACGCCAATACAGCTCGCGGCGAACAAAATCGTGTATGACAGACAGACCAAGGAGTTCGAGAAGTATCACGCCGCCTATCCCAAGCTCATACAGCAGCTCGACAACCTGCCTCCAGTTGACGACGTCGAGGCCATCGCGGCAAGTCTGCGACCCGCGATGATCGAGTCCATTCAACGCCTCGCCGGACCGCTCGTGGACAAGATCGTGGCGGATGCTCGCCAGGTTGCAGCCGATCAAGCGCGCGAGCAAGCTCGCGTAGTCATCGAACAATTTCAGCCGTTATTGACACTCATGGAATACGCGAAGATGAAGGAGAGGAACGGGATGGAGGCCGCGGAGAAAGTGCAGACCCTGGAGCAGGAGCGGGTTGAGTATGAAACGCAGAGACCTGCCCTGGAAAACAAAACTCTCGAGAGCTCCGTAGGACCGCTGAACGGTCCAGAACGGGAAAGCGCTTCGGGACATGTTCCCGAACGCAAAGAGCGGTCGCCGACGGCGCAGCACGAGGCGCCCTCGGCAGTCGTGCAACCGCAGAATCCGGCGGTGCAGCAGAGAGAGGAGTTGCAGCTCGCCAATCGATGGGCAGTCACGCGCGAGACGCAAAGTCCCTCCACCACTTTAGACGAGGACGAAGTCGACCAGTTGATCGACACCCCTGGATTCTCGCGCTCGACTTCATACGAGTCCGAGTCCGACATTAGACTTTGAAGCTTCCGTATATGCTGTCCGTATGCTTTCGTTCTCTTGCTCTGTTTCAGGTTTCTTGATGTTCCTGCGCTATCGCTACATTTACGCCAATCTCATATCGCCTCTTGGATCTCAAACTCGCACGTGTACATATACGGAACTCCTCATCTTGCTTTAGCTATACGACTCGACACTGTATCATCACCTCTACTCCCGAAATCTACATCGGCTACCGCTCTGAAGCGTGCCAGTGGGATTCCAATACAACAGGTACTTCAATAGTACTACAGCAAACAACGAAAGCTACGACAAAGGTTTTGCAAGATACAGCGAGGATTGTGGTCAGTACACTATGCTGCAGGTATACGAATGGCGATACAGAAAGCTTTGCAACGAGTCAAGAGTCATGCATGCAGGCAACAAAGGAGCGAAGTGGCAAAGGAGCGGGCATCGAGAACGTCTATCAGTCACTTTGAACGACTCAGCGCGGATCCGACGAAGTGGTCTTCTCCACCTCGATCCTGATCCCACTGACAACACCTCCCAGCTCGACAGCGCGGAACTCCATATCGGCAATATCGCTATCGCGATCTCCAAGCTCTTTGTCGCGCGGGGTGCGAGGGACGTCTCCGAGCTCGACGGCAGAGTCTAGCGCCACACCCGATACTGAGCCGAAGGTACCGAGAGCGAGACCGGTGTTTTTCTTGAGGCGAGACCGCGTGGGGCTGTTCTGCACCGAGGAGCTTCCCGTGCGGTGAGTGCTGAAAGCCAGTCCGACCTGGGCACCGGAGCCACGGCTTGCCCACGTCGCCTGATGCGAATTGGTGTAGGCGACGGACTCGGACCCGCGCTCGCGGAGGTCGAGGATCTGGTGATGCAGAAGTCAGGTTCTCGCGCGGTAATGAGGAATTTCAAGAAGAACATACGAGACGACAAGCGATGACCGGCGACAGCATAACGCTGAGTGGAATGTTGATGGCCGAAATGACCTGGCGAGGTTGGAGGTAGAAGATGCCGTTGATCTACATCAAGCGTCGGCAAACGGCCCCACACAGGGTGTCCTTGAAGGACGGTACACATACCAGGTTTGCAATGGAGATGAGTACGAAGTAGAAGACACCCTCGCGCAGGAAAGTTTGGATCAAACGCGAGCTCGGCCCGCCATTACGGCGCCGGATGACAATCGCTTTGATAATGGTCATGAACGTGACGATGGCGTCGAACGCGAGGGGCGCGAGCTGCCTCTACATCAGGACCTACACAACGCGAAGGTGATGGTAGAAACATACGAAGAATCCTGTTATTGGAAGTGGCGATCAGTTCAGGATCGGCGATAGAGAATGGCACGCGGTCGTACCGAGCAGGTGAGCCGAATGTGGCTTAGACATGGGCAAGCAAGGGCCTTCGTCCTGCCATATTCGATTCAGATGTCAAGAAGCACGCGGTTGGTATGGGAGCCAAGGCTCACAAAGGGTGGCGTAACGAAGGGAAGAGCTATCAACGGGGAAGAGCATGAGTGTGAAAAGATCAGGTAGAAACGCTGGGCGAACGTACGAAGCATCTCCGACGTCGCGACGTAGAGTTGGTACGCGATGATACTGGACAGCGCACAGACCATACCGATAAGCACGTATATGTCGCGATTGAAGAATGCGTATGTCCTGATCAAAAGTACCGCTGCGACAGCATGCATCAGCATCAATGAGAGGTTTATGGATATGGAGAACGTACTTTCGGCACCAGCTTGATTCCACAGCGCAAGTGCAACTGGGCTCTGCAAACCGTGGTCGTCAGTACCACCGGGCGGGATGTGAAGGGAGCTACGTGAATGAGTACCTTGTAGATACGCTCACATGTCGGTCGAGAGTGGTTGACCACAAAGCAGAACAGAAGGTAGGGAACGACCGCGATGCTCCAATACCTGACGCCTCCATCAGTATGATCGTCGGCTCATTGCGAACGGGATGGAGATACCTGCAAAACAGGTAGGCGGTCTTGACGGGAGTCCAGCGGGTCTTCCAGATCTGCACCCTGTCAGCGTGGTCGCTAACGTTTTGTGGCCATGGCACTGACGAGATACCACTCTCTGGGGAGCGAAGTCAACCAGTCCCAGAGAACCACGGCGTCTAGACATAACGGTGAGCAGTGCGAACCTGGCGGGAGGACTTGGAGACTTACAGCCCGCTTCAAGCGAAGATCAACATCAACATCAGATTGCAATGGCTCGCAAAACAGACTCACCGCAAAAGTACGCTTGCGTGCTGATCTTTACTATCAGGTGCCACTCAACGACGGTTGCAAGAAATGAGCACGTACACGAAGATGAAGTACTGCGCGGTCTTGAGATCGTCGGCCATGATGGTGGCTTGAAGTAAGAGGGAGAAGACGACGCAAGCGAAGGAGACAGCAATGGCTTTCTATGCGGGGCCAGCCGACTGTCAAGGCGGACTGGAAGAAGCCATCCCCTCCGTTGCAATCGCACTCGGGTTCGAAGCCTACCTTAACTCGAAACGCCCAGAAGAGTGCCCGAACAGAAGTTCAGACGTCACAATGGATATAGCGATCATCGCATAGGCAGGTAAGTCTGTACTGTATTCGATTGATGATGCTGGTCGGCTCGTAAGGTTGAATAAACGCTGCGCGAGCGCTTCCGCCTCCCGGTCCGAGCCACGTGTTGTACGCCATCATCGCGGACCACACCCGGCACGGCAGTAAGTAAGTAAGTAAGTAAGTATTCCCGGGGGTCAACCGATTGGGACTGGGAAGATCTGGGCCCAGCACGTGTCACCACGGGCTGCCCATTAACCCCTTACGCCGAATACAACGATTTTACTTTCTTGCCTCAGGCGTGCCATGGACTCAAGCGGTCTATCGTACTCAGTGGGGGGCCAGGTAACGACCGACCGTCATATCAGATACAACCATTTTCTGCCACTTGCCGGCGTGAACGGGAGGATCGCAGCGGCCAGAACGGGCCTCAGCAGGCCGACAAACTGAACGTTGCTAGCAGCCCCGCCGGGGAGGTCAAGGACAGATTACGTTTGCAACTGACATCAGGAAGGCGCGGTGTATTAGACAATACTCTCGTCCACCTCGTCCTCGTCCGACACGTTCTCTTCGTCTACTTTAACTGTATAACGGAGCGGCCATACCAGCTCGACTTCCCCGAAGGCGTCTAACGCCTTCTTTACGAACGACGCGAATAGTGCGCATACGTCATGCGCGCAGATGAGCTGCCGAAGCGCAACTAGCCCCTGCTCCTCCGTGTTTGGCCTGACGAAGTCTGGCCGCGTCTCATGGAGGCTGGCGTAGAAGTTTGCGCGCAGCTGCTTCAGCGCTTGACTGCCATCGCACATCAGGACCGCGTGTTCTGGGGATTCGACAGCCGTCGCGCACAGGCGGCAGAGCCTCTCCTCGCGCGGCACCACGAGGCGCTTCGTGCCATTCCTCACTCCGGAGCCGTGGCGAAAGCGCTCGATGGCCAGGGCATGGCTGCTGATCATGAGCTTCGCCATCGCCGCCCTGTCGTCGGCGTTCCGGATTTTGAGGTAATGGCGTAGCCTCATGAGCGTGGGCCGAGGGGGTCCGCGCGCTTGCGGCTCGGGCCTGTCGCGTTGCAGTCCGCTTGGACTCGGGCGGGCGCAGTGAGGGTGTCCCGTATTTGGAGTCCGTCCGTCGCGGAGCGGAGGCGGTATGGTAGTGGGTGTTCGTTGTGCGTAGAGAAAGTGGTCGTTGCAGGGAGAGTCATGTTAGCGCTGGCGCGGGGTCCCCCATGTAGCTGTTCGCGTGCGTCTGGGACCGGAGCGATGCGGCTAATCCGCGCTTAGTATACGGCATATATTGCATCGGGAGAGTAGTAGAGTGTGGGTACAAGTGTACAGTGAGTTAAGGCTGCAGACGAGAGCAGAGAGGCGCTGGTCGTATTCATGGAGGGTTGCGTGCAATGAGAGGAGGGCAAGCGCGCAGGGTTCGCCCGTCGATCCTCGGCCGCTTTCACGAATATTGTCGTACGGCTCGTGCATTTCGCATCGGCGGTAGGACTCGTGTGGGTCTCGAGGACGGGGGTATGTATAGAAGCGGCCTGTGGCCATGGAGAAAAATGGGGGAAAAATGGATACCGCCTGCGGGTGTCATCCGTCGCCCCCGGCATCCATCCAGCCCCTTCTGCTGGGCTATCGTCCTCCAGACTCTTCTACGCGTAGACATGACGCTCTCAGAGGCGGTGGTCAGCGCGGCTGTATTGAGCGCTTATATTTGTGATTGTTTGCGAATGGGCATCATCAAGATGATCTCTGGCGCGCTGTGGGACGCGCACGTCCTTACTTCACGACGACCACGAGATTGCGACGGACGGGATGGCCTCGAGCGAACTGCTGAAACAGATTCAGTGTGGTACTCGGAGTCGGATGATTCGGTGAACCTGAGTGTTGGTTCGGGTACGTCAATGAGAGCCAACCAGTCGAATAGGCATTTGAGCACGTCGTCGTGAAGGTCAATCATGATACAGTAGTTATGTCATTTCAGTAGGCGGAGATCGAAAGGGCTTCGAGATGGTGGTGCAGTAATCCCGTCTCCAAGCTCCCATGCACCTCATCTGAGAGCATATAGCCTATACAGTTGCACAGTCCATTGTCCTTCGCGAACGCCATCATGGGTACAGCCCTGACAGACCTGCCTCCCGAGACCCTTCTGCACATATTCTCATACCTTGACCTCCCCGAATTAGCAGCGTTGAGCGCCGCCTCCTCACTCTTCCAAGCCCTCACAGCAGACCCACTACTACATCGTACTCGTCTACGCGTCGTAGCGCCATCTCGTGTTGACCACGCTCTGTTCGCGTCCGATGCGCTCGGTACGCCTTTGAGGCCCACAGTCCTCGATCTGGTACAGCGAGGCGTATTTCGGGGTCTCAACCTCGACAGAGTCGTACGGCTCGGGCTCTACCTATACTCTCCAGTTGTATGTTCACTCGCAAGTGTGCAACGTCATGTTCAGGATTGACGTTATGTTAGGCAGCTCGCACCTACAATAACGCCGTTCGCCTGCAACGCCGCCATGTTGCAGACATCCTAGCCAACTCCCTCCGCGCCCGCCCGCATGCCCCAGAACGGCAACGCGCCCTCCTGGCTATCGACCCGGAGTCGGCGCGTCTAACTGTCGCGAGATCCCTACTTCCCACGGTGCGCGACCTCAAATGGTCTTTACGCCGCGATGCGCTCGCACGCGCCATTCGCGCCCGCTCATCTGCCCAATCTGGCGAAAAGCGCGGCAATCAAACGGTGACGACGGAGGGCGGGGTGGCACGCGCACTGGTTCCGGCGATCCGCGCGTTGCAGTGGCGTTTGCGGTGCGATCATCTCGCGCGCATGGTCCGCGGGAAAGACGACCTCCCGATGTGGCTCGCTGCACGCGCGGCTGTTGTGGGCGAGAACTCCGAACGTTATCGGCTTGCTGTGTGCCCCAGCGTGAAGAAGATCGTGGCGAGTTACGAACGGATGACCGTGTCTATAACATCTACCGCCTAGAGCATACTACCATTGTGACCCTGTTCAGTCTTGTTACGGACTTCGACTAGCTACTTCCTTCTCCCATCGCCCCTACCCATGACCTCCCACGTCACGAATACCCATTTACGACCTTTACGAGCCTCATGTTCCGCATCCGAGTCACCCCTAACCTTGCGGTCCCGTTCGACGCGTCGTTCACACTGATATCACACTATTCTTTACCATATTGATCTTATCGCATTGAGTATAAGGTGTAGAAGGGTAAAACGGATCCGGGTACTCATACAAGCCAGTCACATACAAAGAGGCGTGAAGACAACAAGCGACAGCAAAAACACAAGAGACGACAGAACTCATGCACCGAAGCCGTAGAGGGTACGGCCGGAACGCTTGAGCGCGTACACGACGTCGAGCGCAGTGACCGTCTTGCGCTTTGCGTGCTCAGTGTAGGTGACAGAGTCGCGGATGACCTGTGGTTGGCGTTAGCAAAAAGTCATAGAACGACGAGCTCGGGTACACTGACGTTCTCGAGGAATATCTTGAGAACACCACGGGTCTCCTCGTAGATGAGACCGGAGATACGCTTCACACCACCACGGCGAGCGAGACGGCGGATAGCCTGTAGACAACGTCAGAACTGGGATAAACGCGGCTGAGCGAAGGCACATACGGGCTTGGTGATACCCTGGATGTTGTCGCGAAGAATCTTGCGGTGGCGCTTAGCACCGCCCTTGCCGAGACCCTACACAAGGATGCCACCGTCAGCTACCAGCTCGTAAACGTGAAGTACTCGAGTGAACGCACCTTGCCGCCCTTTCCGCGTCCGGACATGTTGAGAGTGTTGAGGTGGGTGGGGAGAAGTAGTAGGAAAGTTGTAGGAAGACGGCGCGCGCGGCGGGCTCGTCTGTGTGGCGGGGTAGTGGTGGTGGAAAGCTAAGAGTGAGTTGGCTTCAGTCGCTGCCTTATGAGCGTCTTGCGCGCCTCGGGTGACACGTCGCGTTACGGGTGACCGGCCGTGACGCACTCAACGAATCAACGAAATAGTCACGTGTGCCTCGAGCCACATACCCCTCTTCGTTCTTGGGTTCGACCCTCTTTCTGGCCGTCGGGGACATGTCCACAATCTCAATGCAATGACCGTCCATTGAACTCTCTGTATGGACAGGCACCTCATAGGTTCCGATGCTGGCCCATCCCTATTAGGCAAGGATCGCGTGGCGCCCACGAGAGATCGTGGCACGCATCACTCAGCAGCTTCCACACATTGTGCTCCTTGCCTTCACCGTTGAACATGACCATCACACATATAACCTCTACGTCGCAGCTTGACGGAATCTTGTCGAAGGGGGACAAGCTCTCCGTATGTTCATGACATCTGATCTCCGTCCACAAACAAACCTGATGCGGTCTTCGCAGGTCATCGACTTTCACGCAACTTGGTGTGGTCCATGCCATATGATCGCCCCCCACTTTGAGGCCCTGAGCAAGCAGTACACTGGAGTCAACTTTCTGAAGTGCGATGTCGACGCTGCTCGGGATGTCGCAAGCCGCTATGCTGTCTCTGCCATGTGCGTTCTCTCGAACTCGACTTGTACAATGTGCTAACACGTCTGCGTTCAGGCCTACATTCATCTTCCTGAAGGGCTCGAAGAAGGTGGATCAGGTCCGTGGGGCCGACAAAGCGTATGTTTGTCCCCACTTCACCCAAGCCAACTCTGACAATGCGACTCGCAGTGGGATTGAACGTGCTCTCCGCACACACGCAGGCTCGTCCGGATCATCCGACTCGTCAACTTCTGCCTTCTCCGGGAAGGGACAAACGCTCGGTGGTGGGAGCTCCAACTCGACCAGCGCGCCTGCCATGCCCGACGTGAGCAACGTCAGCCCGCAAGTCAAGATACTTGCAGCGCTCGTCGGAGCATACTTCTTTTTCCTGTGGATCAGTGGCTGAACATGACACACTATGTGTACGAGTAGCTCCTTAAATCATATGGCTAGTGCTGGTCTGTATCATATACCTATGCGCGGAATGACATTCAGGAAAGCGTGTGCGCATACCCTTCAGTCAAGTCCCAGCAACGCCGGGCTTCGGATCTCGCGCTCTCGCGTGCTCCTCCAGCAATGTTCGCGCTTGATTCCTCCTTCCCTCGTCGCTGTCCACATACTTCTCAACCAGCCGGATCGGCTCCGACGACTCCCACAAGAACCTAACTTGTTGCGTCTCATAACTGGACATCACGCTCTCGGACGACTTCTTCAGTTGCCCGACAGTGAACTCTACTCGTTCGTCCACTTGGCGTTTGGCAATGATCTCAGCTTCTGAGACGAGTTTGGACAGGTCGTTGGCAGGGACGGGATCTGTCTGCTTGACCAAGCCGTTGACCGCAGCGTGTTGGGTCTTGATGGCTTGTATGCGCTCAGCATGCTGTTCGTGTTGTTGGCGAACCTGGATCCTCCGTTTGAGAGAGTGTTCGAGTGCAACCAGAAACGATACATACTCTTTCGCGGATGCTTGCCATATATTCCTCAAGACCAGCACGCGGTTCGCGTTCAACTTCTTTGTCCAACGCAACACCTATCCTCTCTCCCAACTTGTCCACCTCTTGCCGCAACGCTGCGCTTCGGACTTTGTGTTCGGTTACGATCTGCTTCACGCGAGAGTCAATCTTATCTTGTTTGCCGCGTTCGACGGCCTCATGCAGCCGTGGGTTACCCTCCTCCGCAAGACGGACGAGTTCAGACATCAATGTCTGACCGTCCTGCATCTCGCGATCCTCTCGTTCTGATACGAAGTCATTCACGCTCTGTTCGAGCTCAATGAGCCTATCGTATTCCCCCTTCAGCTGAGGCGCGTTTTTGACCCAGTCAGGCCTGTTCATGCAGCGTCAGCGCCGTTTCGGCAAAGGAGAGCGTATGGAATGCCGCACCGATCATCACTCGCAAGCTTCTCCTCCCTCTTCCTGACCCTCGCCTTATGCTCCTCCCACAACCCCCTCCCATACGGTTCCAACGCCCCTCTCCAGGCCTCCACACTCTGCAAGTAGGACATGAACAGCGTGTTCGCCCTCTCGAACGACGGCGCGATCTGCGCAAGGTGCGCGTCGACATTCGGCAGGTCCGCAAGACGCGCCAGACGCGAACGCAATCGTTCGTCTTTCATGAAGCGGTCATGTTCGGCCAACTGACGCTCTGCTTCAAGCTTCTGACGCGTTGCGTGGGATGCGCGTTCATAGTACGAGGAGTACATCATTCGCTTCTTTCTTGCAAGGTCCTCTTCTGCCGCCTTGAGCTCATTCGTCTTGAAGACTGCGTCAAGGAGTTGCCTAGCACATACGATCAACAGGAGCTTCTTTGGACCTCAAGATGTCGATATATTATCATACCTGAGGAACTTCTCGCTGTCCGTATGCGTCTCCAAGAGCGATACGGGTTTTGGCGGACCGGGAGGAGGTCGATCTGCGAATGAGGCGCTGATCGGCGACGACAGAACCTCTCCGGGTTCCCTCTCTTCCAGTGCCGATCTATTAATAAAGCCTGCGTTCGAAAACTTCGAGGTCTTCTCCGGGGTGTGCGATATGATAGGAGACATAAGCGGGACAGCATGAGGGTCATCAGGAGGGGGTGGTGGCGGCGGCGAGAATGCTGGCTCCGACGGAACAATCTGTGTAGATGCTGTTGACATGGGCGAGGCCGCTTTCCCCTTCCCCTTAAATCCCTCGAATGCATTGGGAGTAGCGCCAACACTGGCTGGAGAGGCAGACCCAGGTTCAGATATTCTCTTAGAACCCCAGCCCTTGTCAGAGGTACCCCACCCGAGTGCATACGAATCGTCGGATTCTTCATCAGGAGAAGCTGCCTTCGCAGACGAAGAAGTGAAATTGGTCTTCGCCGGCTTGCCCGAACCCGGCCAGCGCGGTTTACCAGCTTTTGGCGGGCGGAACGAGTCTGAGACGCCTTTCTTCCGCAGGGCCAAGTTCGATGTCGGAGCACGCGCCCAGTCGGCCTGATGGGAGGGGTGAACCCATGCACAATTGGCTCCCTGTCTGCATCCTCCGTTGAGAGGGTTCCCTTCGTCGTCGTAGGCCTTTGAATGATCAGTCTGTCATAATGAAAGGAAATATAGGATGGACTGACCGCACATCGTACAAAGGGCATGGTTATTTGCGGAGAAAAGTGTGACTATATGCGCTTGCCAAACGTGTACAAAGTCAAGCAAGTTGATGTAAGCAAGATGTAAGGGGCTGCCAGCAGACGGAGAGGTTTCCCAAGGTATAAGCCAGTATTCCAGGAGAGCCTATCCACCACAACGTTTATCGTACAGACACAACGGTAGAAATGTTCAAGAAGACTTAAGAGTGGACTTCGGAAGGTGGTGGTACGGATCCAAGATACGGGTGCTAGCTGCGCCGATCTTTCGGGTTCGGCAGTTTGATCCGAGAGCTCCGCGCCTTGTCGCCGGCTCCAGGATGCGCGAGCGCGTGTGCTGTACTCCCCTCCCATAGCATATAATCCACTGCTGCGTCTGATTAGAGACGCATGACACCCCATCATCAATAGGCACTCCCTCGTCGTTACCGCCTGGCGTCCTGTTCTGTCTCATACAGTGCAAGGGGTACACAGCATGGCGGATAACGGTATGGAAATGATATATTATGTACATGTGCATATGAGTGAACCCTAGACTACGACTAGCAATGCCAAAAATACCAATGCTCTCATATCACAACAAGCTCAAGAAGGAGACCGGAGAAGGCCAGTAAATATAGGAATCGCGGGTATCGCAACGAGCACGCCCAAGCTCCGCGTTATGACGACGGTGTCGCAGGCTTGACCAACGCGTCCAACTTGCCCAGTGTACGCTCAAGCGTGATAATCGCGCCGCCTGTCAGACGCGGCACAGCACGATCGCTACTCACAACGGTCTTGCTATCCACAGGCTCCTCGCGACTCTTCTTGATCAAGGCACGAGAGTCATCGAGCAATTGGCGTAGTTTGCCCTGTTTGTGGTAGAGCCAGTTGATCTCGGCTTCTAGTGACCCAGGCGAGAGCTCGAGAGCGCGTCGGACGAAGCCGCGGGAGAGGACGTAGGCTTTCTCGTTGTACAGGCGGCTGTGAGGATTGTCAGAACGAGATGATGGGAGGGAGAGAAAGGAGTGGCACTGACCTGTTGACGATGCCTTCTTCCGTCCCGCGCAGTTTGTCATAAGCAGGTTCACAGAACCACGGCTCCTTGACGAGCACCAAGCCCTGGATGGACACCAGCGCTTGTAGGATGGATGATCGCGCAGGGCTCCAGGACTCGCTCTTGTCGCCCGCCCACGTCCCGAGAATAGACAAGCAGACCTTGCCTTCCTCATACAGATTGGGGTTCACTGTGCACGCTCGTGAGTGCTGGTAAAGAGATGGAACTGTGAGCAAACGACGTACCTCGCCCGTTCCCGTTTGTCCAACTCAAGAAATGCGCGATAGGCGGACTCTGCGGGAAATCGGACGGCAACATCCAATCAATAACGAACGGCGCGTCTTCATACGGCGTATTCTCCGGCCCGATGATCAGTGACCTCAACAAGTCCGACCTATCCTCGTAAGCCCTGACGAGGATGGTATCGGGTAGACTGCTCTGCAGCGCGCGGTACTCCTTTTGTAGACGGCCGAGGAACTGACGGGAAGGTTGCGCGATGGGAGTGTTGTAGAATGCGTGGTCGACTGGTGCTTCGCTTAGGACGTCGAAGCGCTTCCAGGGTGAGTCGGCGTCGTCTTCTGGCGGTGAGGGTGCTGCGGGTTGTGAAGGACCTGCACGTCCGTTGGCGTAGGCGGCTTCCTTCATCTGCTCCGGCGAGGGCGAGTATGCGGTAGATGATGGCGGTGATGACGCGGGCGGTTCGGGGCTCGACAGTATAGCGCTGTCTTTACTCTGATCGTCGCCCCACCACCCGCCATTCGATGAGCCCGTAAACTCTGAAGGAGGTATCTCGACTGTCGTGGGCGGTACCACCTCGTCCGAGCCCCACTCGTCCTCGACCTCCATCGAGTCCTCGTCGTCCTCCCATTCAGCATCGTCTTCGTCCTCTCCCATGCGCGTGTGCCAGTTGCCGTCCTCATCCATGATCTCCTCCATCAATTCCTCGTCAGGAAGAGTGCCCTCGTCAATGATGTCTTCGAGCTGCTCTAGTGTGTCGTAGAGACGTGTTAGACGGTTCAACGGGACGTTGATCGTTGCGCCGCTCGGTAATGCGATCCCGACGGTACCATCAAGACAGAGCTGTAGCCTCATCAGTAAGGCATAGGGCCGGAGAATATGTGCGTTACCTCCACAACCTCGCCAAACCAGTCAAACGAAGTGTCGCCCGGCCTGACCCTCCTGATCGCGCCCTCATGTGAGTCATCATGCTCCCTTCTCCTCGCAATCGCCATCCCGATGCTGTACATGTCCTCCCTCCAACCAGCGTAGTGCCCGTCATCATGCACAATAGGCGCTTCCCGCACCCATGGCTCCACCTCGCCTATCCTGGGTACCCTGGGCGGTTCCAGACCGTTGGTGTCGCCCTCCCTATGGATGAAGACAAAGTCTCCTCGTCGTACGCCCAGCCCGTCGAATTGTGTTGGTGCTGCTGGTGACCAGCCGGACGAGCCGTGTGGGTCGAGTTCGAGGACGGATGCTATTTGGGTTTCGCCAGTGTCGCCGTAGCGTACTTTTGCAGTGCGTTCGTTGGCGTCTACGGAGAGTACGACTGCGGTCCGCTTCTCGTCCTCCGTCTTCCACATGACATGTTCTCCAGGCCTGGGAAAGGTATCAGGAAGATCAAATGCAGATTTGGAACAAGGACAACGCACCAACAATCATACTCGTCCGGATTCAGATACGGGATAAGCGCCTTGGCATCCGTCACCTCGCTCTTCCCATCTTGCCACAACACCGTCACCCTCGTCTGCGTCTCCTTGACCACATACGCGCGAACCTCGATATCGCCTCCGGGGTCCGTGGGCTTGCCGTGCCGTGTCAAGGGCCCGTTCTGCCATGACTTGAGCAGGACTTTATCGCCCACACGTGCGAGTTGCTCCGCGCGAGAACGCAGGAGTCTGAGTTCAGAAAGCTTTGCGCCTGACCAGAAACGGTCCGGTCGCACGGCGTTGACGGCTGCTGAGGGCGGTAGCTATTGTTATAAAGAATGGTCAGAGAATGAGTAAACAATAGGATGGGATGGGCGTACCGACTGGTTAATCGCGAGCCAGGATATCGCTACTACTGTGTGCTTCAGACCGACTACGACGTCTTCGTGGGTGTTATGGTGCCTGTTGAATAGGTTGAATAGGTTGGGCAGGGACAAGGGCGGAGGGATGATGTCCTGCCGTCACAGATAAGTCAGCACAGAGCTCCAATGTCCGAGGTTAAGCGCGCACATTCCCTCTGTCGCCAATAGACAGCCGCGAGCTGAGTTCCGGCAGTCGAACCAGTCCGTTCTGGGTCTCGACTACTATCTCGTCGAAGAGCTAAAGTGGATATATGTTGAATTGTCGGATTGATGCTCGGCAGAAGGGGGGAACGTACCTCGACCACCTGATGACTTGCGTCAGTCCATCTACCACCAGTGCAATATTTGAATAGTAATACGCACCTGGCCTATCCATTCGTTATAAGCGACATAGTCCCCCAGCTCGCACTCCAACGTGCTGCATATCTCGTTCATAGTCTTCCACCCCGGCACGTCCTGGCCGCTGATGGCGTGTTCGAGCCTGCACTGCACATCGACATGGGTGACCACGCCCGAGCGCACGTCGTCGATGCTGCGTTTGCACAGGTCCCCGGGCTGGAAAGAGCGATCCAACAATTCGAGCTCGGCCTCTTTCAATATTTCGCGGTGACCCTGGGGAAAGAACGAGACGCCGACCTCGCCGCGGTCGAGTGGGCGCAGGAGCGGGTCCATCGCTTCTTCCGGCGGCGGAGGCACGTCGTCGTCATACCAGCACCGCTATGCAATATATTATTAGTCGCGGAAAGAAAAGAAATGTGTAATCGGGCACGCACCATGACCACGCCTGTGCGCGGAGGCGGGCCGGCACGCTGCACGATGTCCTCCGCATAGAACTGCACGTTGTTCAGGATCTGCGACATATGCCATGTTTTGATTGTTGAACATACCTTCGTGACGACCTTGTTGCCGTTCGATACGGCTCCGGGCATGGCGAGATGGTGGTAGTGGGTAAGGTTGGTACAAGGGCCATCCGCGCCGCTCGCGTGATAATTCCGTTCAGTCCGAATCCGACAATAATTGCTTCTCCGAGCCTATGACCTCAGTTTTGATACGCCCTTTTCCGCTCTGAGGACGTATCCGCGCCACATCTCGCGACGCGCGTCCGACCACATCGGCCTTATCGGCCTTCTCTCATGCGTCCCCTACCCTACATGTTTACTTCCGTACCACTCTCCTCTCCTGCATTCGTCATTCTATCCTACGATTGGCTATCTACGAGACATCCCTCATTCTGGGCCCTTCTGGCCCCTACTTCTCCTATTTCATGACTCATTTCTTGCGTTTCGTACTTATACTACGAGCCTCGCGATGTACGTACACAGATTCGGACGTTACCTGGCCTCCGGGCCCCCCGAATATCATCCCCAGCGCTTCCCGCTCCTTTTCCTGAGGTTCGCGTGCAGGTCGCTCGGACCCTCGCACACACCGATAGCCTACACGTCGTATACACGACGTCGAGCCTGTCAGTTTCTCCCAAACAACCATGACAGCCTTTCTCGAGCTGCCCACCGAGCTGCTCTGCCGCTGCTTAGAGCTTTTAGACCATGTATCCTTATGCGCCTGCCGCAGTGTGAGTAAATGCCTCTCCTCCTTTCCCGTGCGAATGTAGACCGCGATATGATCGAGCTGATCGGCGTCCCCGCGTTCCCGTGTAGGTGTGCCATGAACTCAAACAGACGATAGACGCCGACACGCAGTGCCAATATACTCTCGCCCTCGCAGGCGCAGGGTTGGAAGACGTCCCGATCTCTGGACCGGGCTGGTCTACGGGAGAGAAACTGGGCGCTGTGCGACGCTACGACCGCGCGTGGCGCAATCTCGAGTACTCGTCGCACAGAACGTATCCGTCTGCTTCTGGTGGTCTGTGGGAGCTCTACAACGGCGTCTGGGGACACGACGTGGAAGACGGACATGTCTTCGATTTCATTCAACTTCCTTCCGAGATACGCGGGATCCCCGAGCGCCGATGGAGGGTCCGTCTGGACGTCACTCCGCGCGATTTTACTTTCGATCCTACGCATGACCTGCTCGTTGTCGTGGTTCCCCATAACCCGAATTGGATACCGTAAGTATTCCGCGCCAAGTCGATCAGAGTAGTGTCTGAACCACTCATTAGTGACGACGACTCGGACTCGGACGAAGAGGATGATAATCCAGAGCCTGGTCGTGTCAGTGTCCATCTCAGAACGCTCTCTGATGGTCTGAGGCATCCACACGCTAAGACCGCAGAGCTCGAGTATCCGTCTACACTCAATCGGCTGCTTATGTGGTCGTACTCTATCCGCATATGTGGCAGGCATCTGGGTGTCTACCGATACAGCAGGAGCGGCGAAGCCGAGCTCACGGTCTGGAATTGGATCGAGGGCAAGCGATGCTTGGTAGGTCGCATATATGCTGTCTTTCTGCTACTGATATGCGATTGATCCATTTTACCAGAGTCTATGGGGGCTCAACACAATCAAGGGTTTCATGTTCCTCGACGAAGGCAAGATCATCGTCGCGTCCCTTGTGTCGCCGAATAGCCCCAAAGCGGCGGTTTACACTTACTCGAGCCTCATCATCTACTCTCTCTCTGATTCTGCTGCCCATCTTGAGACCATGATGGATGTCGACGAACCAGCAGGCTCGGTCTACGACACCCCCTTCCTCGTCGCCATTCAGATGCCGCGCATCCCCATACGTAACGACACTCGGGACCTTCAGATCCACTCTGATCCATCGCCTTACGTCCCCGTCGATTCGACCTCGACAACACCCGTCCCATTTCGCCTCAACCCGCACGACCGCATGTTAGCGGTGCACAACCTCTTGTTCTGGGAAGAGCAACCCACAACTAAAACGGCCATGGTACCCTTCTCCTTCATCCATAAATGTGTCGCCGAGTCTGAACCTGGAGCGATACTCGATGCTCGTCTTTGGACTCAGACTGCGGTGCATCTGCCTGAGCATGGGCGTTGGAGCGTCTGGGTGTGCTTTGTGTATGGTATGCGATACGTCCATCCGACGGTAATACAAGACGAGGACGGGAAGTACTACATCAGCATCGCAGACTTCCACGAAGTTCGGAGGAAAGTTGCCAGGGCCGAACAGGAGGACAGCGAGGAGAAGAGTCAGATGATCCAACCCGTCAGGCTCCTGCTCCCAGAGGCATTGCAGAACGCCTCGAATAGGTCGATGTCGGTTATGATCAGCGAAGACGGTATCGTCCTTCTTTCGGTACGCAACTCGCTTCCCATACCGCCGAAGGTGCCCGTGCTGACTGGAGCTATCTGCGCAGCGGGACCTGCACGACCGGAAAGTACACGTCTTCACGTTCTGAACGACGACGAGGTCTCCGAAACGCGGGAGACGGAGGTCGAACTCACAGGCAAATATACAACTCATCATCTTGGTATGTCCCCTTGGAGCCTCTATCTTCTGTATCGCAGCTGATTGACGCCCCAGTATGTGAACAAAGTACTATCGGTTCCTTTGGAACTGTCACTGTATGCTCGCTTTGAGCGCGCCGAGCTGGTTCAGTTGGCCCACCCGCTGATTGACGCTCGATGTATGTGAACGAACCACAAGTGCTTCCATCTAAATCTGTTGAGGGTCGCACAACGAGCACCCTTTGCTTGTCTCCGCCGAGGAGTTGACGACAGATAGAGCCGTCGTTGCACCTTTCACGCCCATGTACACACTACACACGCATTCAGTAGAGTTAACATTTGCGTTGTCCGCCACCAGATCTGAGAACAGTCGAACTGTGGTCGGCGCCCGCGAACGTGTCCGCGCGCGCATCGTGCACTCTCGAGTTTACCCCGCTTTCGCACTTCCGCAACCTCCCGCAAAACTCGCTCGCGCAAAAACATCGCGCGATATTTCTGCTACAAGGTCAATGCCCTGAGCGCATTGCGAGCAATGTGCGGTTGGCTTGGCGGGAGCAGTCAGAAGTCACCGATGCGGTCTTTCGCGGGGGCGGGCCGATAAGATGAAGCGGACGATTAGATCAGAGAGATCATAGGCCGACGAGTCATTACGTAGCGCGAGCAATTTCTGCTTTGCTTTTGAACCTCATGCCAGAGTTGCGCAGATCACTGCTCCCCCGTATTTTCCGGACCCCCTCCTTCCGCCCTCCCTGACCTCCCACCACCACATACTCTACGCCTATGCTGTCTGTCTGTGCTCCCCGGTCGTTGTCAAAGACGCGTTCGGCGCAGTCTTCGTTCAAGGCTTTCTATGCTGTGAGGGATGCCTCAAAGCTTGCCGACGTCGAGGTGACTCAATCCAAGTTGTAGACTGTGCGCGGGTTGCGCTCTGCGCCTGAACCTGAGGACCATGAAGGCCTGCCAGAGAATGTTTGTTCTATCCCTGTTGTTTCCCGCTACGATGCTCATGCCCGGTGCAGGACTTCATCCTGTCTATCCTCCGGGCCAACCCGTCTGCGCGCGACGCCAAGGGCTACCTCACACACTTTGGCATCCACCCCAAGCCAGCTAGCCAGCCCACGACTCGCACGCCAGAACCCGTGCACCTAGCCGCGCTCCCCGACACGGAACGCGCCCAAGCCCTCGCAGCAGAAGCCGCGACCCGTGCACCTGTGCTCGAATCCATCCTGCACCCGGTCTACCGTCGCACAGCCCTAGTGAAGATCCAAGGCCCGTTCACGGACCGACAACTGGACAGCATCGCGCGGGGCATGGTCTACCTCGACAAAGCCGGTCTCACATCAGTGATAGTCGTCGAGCACGACGATCTCCCCAAAGGAGAGTCCAACGAGCGCGAGGTGATCCTGCACGAAACTTTACGCGTCGTGAAAGCGTTGGAAGCGCAAGGCGCCCGCGCACGGCCGTTTCTCGGTCCTGTCGTCCGATTAGGTCCGAAACCCGATCAGGACGCCTCTTCGCATGCCTCCAACGCAAAGAAGGCCAACTTTGTCGAACCCGAAGCGCATACATTGCCCTACGACCTATCCCCCATCCGCTCCGCCCTTCGCGCACAGGAAACGCCGGTTCTGGCACCGTTCGCGCTAGACTCTTTCCTGCGATCTACGCGCGTTGATTCGAACGACGTTCTCGGAGCGCTCGCGCGCGGGATGGTGGAAGTCGCTGCTTCCGACCGGGTTTCACGCGGAACGGGCACGGGTTCAGGAGACGCTTCGCCATACGAGGATGTGGATTTGACGCCCCTGCGACTGATGATCATCAACCGCGAAGGCGGTGTGCCGTCCTACGCTCGGGCGGGTCTACCCCATCTGCTCGTCAACCTCGAGTCGGAGTACGAGTTTATCCGGGATACGTTCTTGCCGCAGTGGAAGAGCACCCACCGATCTGCGTTGTCGAACTTGGCGCTCGCGAGGACGTGTTTGGCGTATATGCCGCCCACGTCGTCTGCGATCATGGTCAACCATCGCGCGCCGAGTTCGCTGATTGGTAACCTCATCACCAACAAGCCGGTCGTGAGCTCGAGCTTGCCGCATGCCTTGTTGCAGGGCAACCGTAGTCTGACGGAGACGACGCCTACGCTTCTACGACTGGGAAACTCAATCGAGGTCATCAACGACATTCGCGACGTCGACCGCACCAAAATGACGCACCTGCTCGAACAGTCGTTCAAGCGTACACTCGACACCGACGCGTTCTACTCCCGTTTGGAACACTCGCTCGACTTTGTCATCGTAGCAGGCGACTACGCCGGCGCAGCGATCGTAACGCGCGAAGGCGCCGACAAGTCGATATGTTACCTCGACAAGTTCGCCGTTCTGCCCACGCACCAAGGCGACGGCACGGTCGACTTCTTGTGGGTCGCGTTGCACGACGAGACGTACGGTCTCGGAGCGCCTCACTCTGCCAACCCCAACGGCGGGAAGCAGGGTGTAGGCGAGGGCCCGGACCTCGTTTGGCGTTCGCGGGCGAATAACCCTGTCAACAAGTGGTACTTCGAGCGCAGTTCAGGCCACGTTCGAATGGGTGATTGGGTGTTGTTCTGGTGTGACGCGGAGAAGAGGTTGCATACGGAGCGTGGACGCAAGGCCAGCGCTGGGTTGTCGTACGTCGAGGATTCGGAGAGGGGCAGGTTAGGAGTGTGGCAGGACGCTGTGCCGAAGATTCCTTCGAGCTGGAGCAAATAGACGAAGTGCATACAAAAAGGGGACTGGTGCCTCGTATACCGTGGATGTATCATATGCTATATGTATTACTATAGACTGTGCGGTGTTGTGTGTGGATGCATATTTCTGCGCGTGTGTGCACACGCCTCGTTGCTGTGAGCGTTGTAGGGCTATGCGCAGCAACGCCGGAACAAGTTGATCGTCCGCGGCCATGTCTTCCCCGCACCACTCTGTAGTATACTCCCATCTCCCCTCTTTGCCTCCTGAGCCATGGAAGCGTCGACGAGCTCATCGTCTGGCACGTTGAGCCGGCTCGACATGCCCGCACTGGACCCTGCCCACCCACGCGAAGCGTCTGCGTCTATGAGCGAGGACACTGAGAAACGGCCGAACATGGAGCGGGATATGTCAAAGTACCCGCCTACGTCGCAGGCCTCGTCGTCTGCGTATTTCTTGGACCATGAGGCGGAAGAGCGTGGGGCGTTTTTGCCGAGAAGGGTTACCAAGGCGTGGAACGGCGCTTGGAGGCGGATAGAGGTTAGGCATCCGAGGGTGCATCGAGTCGGAATGTGGCTATGGGGTCCCAGGCCAAAGGTTGATCCACCCCGTAAGTGCTGCATCTACATGTTATATATGTTTGATTGCTGACTGTGATCAGCACCAAATCCCTGGATATTCCAAGTGCACTGGAAAGGCCACACCTACGGCCGCCTGCTCGAACCGACCTTCACGCGCTACACACGACACCTAACGCACCCATACCTCTTCATAATCCTCGTTGCGGCATATATTATCTCCCTCGCATTCTTCTCTCGCGCCCAATCCTTCTTCACACCTGCGGAATCCTACATTGACTGCACGTCGACATATTGGCTCGCCAATGCCGGCTGCGGACTGGACGGAGATAGTTGTGGGCCATTCGATTTCGGAGAGGCCAGCGCTTTCGACTTCAGGTGTCCGGCGCAGTGCAAGGGCGTGGAGCTGGCGAATCCGAGGTTTATTGGGAATGAGAGTATCGAGTTCGTGCCATTGATCGTCGGCGGAGGAGACGCGGATGGAACGTACCGAGGCGACAGCTTTATCTGTGCAGCGGCAGAGCAAGCGTGAGTTGTCCTTCTTCATAGGGACATAGTGCATGTGCTGACATATCTATCTCGTAGCGGATTGATATCCGACTCGAAAGGCGGCTGCGCTCGCCTCGAGCTGGTCGCCAACTTCACCGACTTCATCCCTTTCACCGCGCACGGTCTATCTAGCATCGGCTTCCCCTCGCAGTTCCCTGTCTCCTTCCGCTTCTCAGACTCGACACCCCTCTCGCACTGCACGGACCTGCGCAACCCAGCCCTGGCCTTCAATGCCATAATCACCTTCATCCTCTTTGCCCTCTTACGACCCAAACCCGTCGTCCTCTTCTGGTGCTTGGTGTGCATCGGGTTCTGGCATATAACGCTATTCAGCCAGCCGAGGTCAAACCCGCCTGATCTCGCCGACGCATTCGGGACGTTCCTGCCCGCGCTATTTGTCTGCTACGCCTTCTGGCGCTTAGCATTCCGCTTTACACTCCCTGCCATCCTCTCGCGCACACCACTCGAAGGCGCAATACTCTACCTCCTCCCATACTGGGTTACCGTCCTCAACAACCTCACCATCGACCGCATCCCCATCTCGCGTCTCACGCCCGAAGACATCCGCGCCCAACCGGGCGGTATAACGGCCCTCATCATAATCATCATCGTCCTCTTCTTCGTCGTGATCAATCAAGTCCGCGTCATCGCTCGCACAGGATGGTTACCGTACTACTTGGGATGGTATATCGCCGGAGGACTCGTTGCGCTGGTGTTGGCGTTGCTGCCGACGTTGAATCTGCGGGTGCATCATTATTTTATCGCGATGGTGCTTATGCCGGGGACGGCGTGGCCTACGCGGTTGAATGCGATATATCAGGGATTTTTGTTGGGGTTGTTCTTGAATGGAGTGGCGGCGTATGGCTTCGACTCGATCTTGCAGACAGCTGCTCAGGTATGGTCATGGTCCTACTCCAATCCTCTCGACTTTGCTCACGCCATACACAGCTGCAACGCGATGCCGCCCTAAACACCGATACACCCGTCTTCCTGACCAACTCATCAACATTCAACGCCGCCCTACCACTAGCGAACCAGACCATTTCATGGGCAGGATTGCCAGATGGAGAAGGCTGGGACGGATTTGCCCTGTTAGTTGACGATGTTGAGCGATACGCTGGCGCGGCGCTTAACTTCTCGCTTTCGGCGTTAACGGAGGGCATACCTCATTTCTTCCGTATCGCGGTGAGTTCTACATCTTAAGTTATATGATGCGTTGTAGCAGGGATACTGATGCGCGTTACAGTATACGAGTGGTGGGACACCGGGAGGGTTCACCAGGGCCGCGACGTTGTTGGCGAACGGGACGTGGATAGACCCGCTACCGGGTACCACATAGATGTGTGCATCTCATAACCGATTGCCACTCCCTTTCTTTACTCCTGGGACTTCGGCTGCGGACACTGTACCCTTTGATAATCAACTGGATGTTCGTTCTCACAGAGTGTGCATACAACGCGCAGCCGCTAGTCGAAGCGTGGGATTTCAGAACCACATCGGCGTAAGATCGCATTCCCGAGCTTCGTGCCTCAACGCGGTGGCGACAACCAAATCATCATAGTACTGTACGAACAGGACAAGTACAGGCGAAGTTAGAGCACAAGAACGATCACAGAAGTAAGCATTGGACGAATGGTAAGGAAACCCATGATGTTACACGATATACAAGCTAGCAGCTGAAGAAGACGTCGCGTGGTGCGGCTGACCTATCAAAGGTTGAACTCTTCGTACTTGCACACGTAACTATACCCCGCTTCAGCATGAGCCCAACTTTGAAGAGCTACCGACACACCTAGCCCCGTACTTGATATCCCAATACCAAGCAGCAAACTGCTTGACGCCCAACTCCTGCCTCATAAAGTCCCAGATCGGCCGGTGATTGTCCCCCATCCTCTTCACCCATTTGACTCTGGTATGATTCGAGTATATAGAGAAGACCCCGAGTTGCCCATGAGTGAATGCGGAGGGCATGAGGATCTCTACGCCTAGCTGCTTCTCGAAGAAGAGCTTGACCTCCCAGACTGCCATGCAGATCCTACGCGCCTCTTCCGCCGGGTCTTTCGCTTCTTCTTGGTAGATGGGAGGGAGAAGATCGTTCCTGAGTGCACAATGCATGATGGACTCCTTGGTGTATGTCATGCCGAAGTGGAGGATGGGTTTCGAGGATCCATAACGGAAGCGTTTGTCCAGCCAAAGATACGAGGGGCGTTTTGCGGCCAACTGTTCCCACAGCTGCAAGAAGCACCAGACATTCAGTGAGAGTTTTTGAGACGAAAACGTGTGGCAATACTGACCTCACGTTCAGCCTTCACTAGAAAGACGTCAGAAGCCTGAGCGAACGCGAACCAAACCGTCTTGACATACCGGCTGTGCGTGTCCGATACTTCCCAGAACTCGTCTTTGCTGGAGTCTCGACGCTGCGCTTCTTCCGAGAGGATTTTGGTTTGGTGGCGAACTGAACCATCGTGGTGTGAGGACAAGTCGAAGCTGCAGACGGGCAGCCGCGCGGGAATGTATGGGGTAGTATAAGCGAACCACACAGCGCACGTGGCTGTCCGACTCAACAACCACGCGGGGACCATGGGTTCGGCGTTCGAGTCCTCACATCGGATAGTGGGGATAGCGTACAGCCAGCTATTCCTCTGTGTCAGGCTCAGTATGGTAATGACAGAGTATAAGCACCGCATGCATTGTGATGGTCAGGTGTGCAACTACTACAGACAAGTGTGCAGACAACAAGTAGAACACGAGACAGAGATGCTAGATGATGAAGAACGGTGCATGAGAGATGAGGACGAGATGGACGATTATAGGTTGTACTCGTCGTACTCGCACACATAGCTATCAATCATACGTTAGAGGGCGTTAGAGGGATGCAGAATTGAGAACGTACTCGAGTCCGTGTCGACTAGAGTCCCAATACCATGCAGCTTGCTGCTTCCGGACGTCCAGCTCCCGCCGGATGAAATTGAGGATCTCCCTCTCCTTCTCCGGCTGATGATAGGCGCGACGCGTATGATTCGAGTATAGGCAGAAGAGTCCTATATAATCAGGGCTTGTGCTCGACCGCATGAACAGCGGGGTCTGCAGTTTCTGCTCGAGATAGCTGATGACATAGAATACGGCCCTGGAAAAGCGATGCGCTGCTTGCTCTTGCGTAAGAGGCTGGTCTTTGGGTACAGGTGGCAGAAGGTGGCGCTTCTTCACACAATGTATGATTCCCTTAGCAGTATATCCCAGACCAAAATGAAGAGTGGGGACGGAAGGTGAGCTTGGGTGACGGAAACGCTCGTCCAGGTAGAGCATGGGCTTCCGAACTTTGGCCAGTTTTCGACAAGCCTACACAGTAGATGAGAGGGTGAATAAAGATGATGTAACGATTTACGGCGTACTTCACGGTACGCTGTCAGCTTGTCATCAGTACCAGCCATCGTATAGCGTTCAAACAACGTACACATCCTTGTTACTGCTCGACCACTAGGGCTATCTGGTGTGCATGTCTTCACCATGATGGAGGAAAGAAGGCTGTCACGGTGTAGATAGGTATGTCGTATATCAAGAACGAGATGGGGATCGTGGTGGCGGCAAGCTCAAACGTCGAAGTGTGTGGTTGACCCATGATTTCGCGGAAGTCACGAGCGTCCGGCTCTCGTGACCATCAACTGGCTTATGGCATTCGTCTGAGTACCTGAAGATGAGGCTGTCATGATGAGTGACTGGGAGAGAGAGAGGGTGGACATGCATCGTACCCCAGTGGAATTCCCTATCCGTCACAAAATCAAGTAAAACCACAAAGGTGGGCCGCAGAAATGAGTTTGTTACAAATACGTAGATATACGAGACAGCAGTCTTCGAGCGGTATTATAGACAGTTCAAATGTACAGTGATACAGGACGCGATAACAGATGGATAGCAATACGACAACGTGACATGATGGGGCAGGCGAATGGAGAAGCCAATCAGAGGTTGAACTCGTCGTATTCGCAAACATAACTAGGATTTCCGTTAGATGAGGTCACGACTACAGTTGAAGTACGCCGCGTACCTTGATCCATGCTGAATGTCCCAGTACCAGGCAGCCATCTGCTGCTCGATTCCCAGTTCTTGTCGCATGAAGTTCAAGATCGGTCTCTCTGCCTTGCGCCGATGTAGTTTGCGGATGGTGTGGTTTGAGTAAAGGGCAAACATCCCAAGCTGCCCTGGAATAAAAGCGGCCACGTGAAAGAGCTGGAGTCGCAGTGTGCGTTCGAAGTACTCTCTGACAGCCGCGATGACGAGGTAGATGCGGCGAGCCTCGTCTTGCGCGTCATCCCGTACCTCGTGAAGGGTAGTCGGTATCAAGTCGCACTTGAGCGCACAGCGCATTATATCGTCTTTGGTATACGTCAATCCGAAGTGCAGTGTCGGGGCTGATGGGCCGCGAAGTCGTTCATCCAAGATGAGGAACGAGGGTCGTTTCGCGACGAGTTGCTGCCACACCTACACCACCAGTGAGTGGTACGAATGTGAGTGAGAGAGTACGGACCTCGCGTTTGACTGGGAGGAGCACGTGAAGGATGGCTCTGAACGGATGGTAATGACAACATACCAGGTAAGATCCTTCTACGTGACCAATACTTCGTAGAGCTCGCACGATCTGAGCTCGAATTCTTGGACCTGGTGGAGCCATGCGGCGCGTTCAGCGACGTGGTAGATCTGGCCATGATGGGGGATAGAGGTCGGCGAGATGGAACTGTTAAACACTGAAGATGGTGGTTCAGCGGTAAACTCCAGGTGCAGACGTACCTTGAATGAAACATTCGGCCCGGACTCCGTCCGGTCCAAACCACACCTCTCTCCCACAGGTTGTACGGATCGTACTAGCCCGTATAGCTTTGGAACGATACTCAGAGGAGGGATGCGAGAACGAAGTTATCTGAGGCGTGATGAGGTACGGGCCGACTGGTGCCCGGGTCCATCCAGCATCCGGTGGATGATGTCCAGTATATCCCTCTCCTACTCCGGGAGGCAGTACCAGCACCCACAGATCTGGACGGGGCAGATCTGAATGTCCAAGAGATCACGATAAACCCCACAAGTAACGTACAAGGAATATGACCGTTCGAACTGTTGGACGGGGGTGCGAAACTGTGCTCGCACGATAAACTAGATTGAGATGATAGGACTGGATGGTAGATATGTGAGGTATGACTTCCAGGTGGTGGTACAGATCTTATGCAATATTGTACAGAAAGGGATAGAATGAGTTGCAAATGAATAGCGATGAGATAACAAGATAGCTCGGATACAGTGGTGAAAAGGGTTCATCAGAGGTTGAATTCTTCATATTCGCAGACATAACTAAAGATCATGTCAGATGAGAGCTGTGCGAGATAGAAAGGATACGCACCTCGATCCATGTTGGATATCCCAGTACCACGCCGCTCTCTGCTTCTCAATATCCAACTCTTGTCGTATCGAGTTCAGGATCGCCTTCTCCCCCTTCCGCCTATGATACTTGCGGACAGTATGATTTGAGTAAAGTGCAAAGATACCCAGCCGTCCAGGTGTAATTGCAGCTTCTGAGAAGAGCCGAACCTCCAGAGTGCGCTCGAGGTAACACCTGACCGCCCCGACTAGAACGTAGATGCGCCGAGACTCATCCACAGAATTATCTTGCTCCTCTTCGAGGTGAGGTGGTATGAGGTTATGCCGCCGCGCGCAGTTGATGATCCGCTCTTTGGTGAAGGTGATACCAAAATGTAGAGTTGGGGCCGTTGGACCACGAAAGCGCTCGTCCAGTTTCACGAAGGCTGGGCGCTTTGCAAGGAGTTCTTGCCACACCTGTATCACCGTTGAGAAAGAAGCCCGCACATCATGTGTTTAAATCGTTATACTGACCTCTCGCTTCACTATAAGGCCTGGTGAGCGACAGGCAGCAGCGAGAGGCAAGGGGAACATACCTGGGATGGTTCTTCTACGCGCCCAATATTTCGGGGAGCTCGCAGCAGTTGATTGCTTAGAGCTTCCAGAGCTATACGAGGTGTCGGAGGCATCGCTCAGTCGAGGCATGTTTCGCAGATTGAGGAGCAGGATAGGCAGCCGTGTAGAAGATGGTGGCACAAGAGCTACTCACATCACAGCAACTTACAGATATATCGTTAGAATAGTCATCGCCAGAGAATCAGATACTTGAACGCACCTGTTGTCGAGGCTTTACGCGTCCTTTCCGTGTGCTTTGAGCGGCGGCCACTTTGCGATTTGGGTGAATCAGAGGTTTGACGCGTCATAGTGTTCGAGGGATGGTTACTCAAGTTGAGTAGAGATTGCGAGAACCGGAGATGATGATCATGGTGGCAGTGGTGTTCGTGGTGGTGGTAGAAAACGAGTCAGTCCCCGTTGCCGCTAGCCACGCGGCGGCTCGGGCCGGGACATCAAGTTGATCAACCACAACCACACCATCAACTACCAAGTTCTCACCAATTGCTCCTGTATATGACCGCTCTGTGATGCTCGCTTTACGCTATCCCTCAATCAGAGATACGTAAATAATCATTTCTTCGACGGAATGCGTGCTTCAATAGTGATACAAATACAGACAATAACTTGTATGGCAATAGCAATGCAGGATAGCAATTGCAAAACGATGGGATAACCACATCAACAGACACTCAGGTGGCTCACGGGCACAACCAACCTATCACAGGGTTTATCATGGGTTGAACTCTGCGTATTTGCACACGTAGCTATCAAGACAGTCAGCAACAGTACCAGTGGCGAGATGTTGAAACCAGAACGTACCCTAGTCCATGATCGCCGTCCCAATACCACTCCGCCGGCTTCCGCACATCCAGTTCGCGACGCAGCGTAGCCAGAATCTCGCCCTCCTTCATCGGCCGGTACAACTTCTCCCTCGTGAAGTTTGAATAGAGGGAGAAAACGCCCAAGTATCCGGGGCTAATGGCTGGCTGCATGAACAGCTCGCGCTTCAGTTTCCGCTCAAGGTATGTCTTGACCTGCATCAAGACCACGAAGATGCGACAGTTCTCCTGCTCCGGATCGTCTTGCTCTTCATCGTAGGGCGACTCAAGTAGCTGATGTTTGCGGGCGCAGTGGAAGATGTTTTCTTCCGTGAAGCCCAGCCCGAAATGTAAGGTTGGGACGGAGGGCGAAGCCGGGAAGCGGAAGCGTTCGTCAAGGTAGAGCATTGGTGAGCGCAGACGAAGGAGCTTTTGCCATGCTCGCACAACGTCAGACCGGCGATTGGGCGAGTAAGCTGGTTGTAACGGGTCAGTACGCACTTCCGGCTGTAGGAATAGACAAGCAGATCTACCTGCGGTGGTTGCTTTCCGCGTCCTGACCTGAGTGGAGGCACGGGTGCTCTGGGACTTTGGCGAATCACTGCTCAGACGAGCCATTGCGAGAGGTATAGAGGGTATGCTGGGAAGAGAGGATAGAAGTGGAGGAGGCGGCGAGAGCGGTGGTGGTGGCCGGTGGCCGGTGGCAAGTAACGCGCCTTGGTTCGGCGTCCATTGATGGTTCAGCCACGTGAAGCAGATATGCGAAACAACTCCCCCAACCTGTCCCGAGTGCGATGCGACTAAGCAGATGTCATGCCGCGCGTCCAGCTAGATCCACCCGACTCAAATTTCTTGACGGCGGCCCGCTCGGTGGGCCCGAGGGTACGATACTTTGCAATCGAGGAGAACCAGGACAAGTAACATTGCCTAAACAATCGAGCGTACAATTACAGAAAGGTGTATGGACAGCAGGTACAATGCGAGACAGCGATGTCAAACGGGACGGATAGATGAGCGGTGCAGCCAGTATAGACTGTTACAGATTATATTCAGTGTACTCGCAAACATAGCTGTAAATGGTGGTCAGAGACGGCTTCAATACATGACGAGTCGAGGACGTACTCAGGTCCGTGCCGATTGGAGTCCCAGTACCACGCAGCTTGCTGCTTCCGGTCATTGAGCTCACGACGGATGAAGTTGAGCATTTCTCTCTCCCTCTCCGGTTGATAGAACGAATCCCGCGTGTGGTTTGAGTAGAGGGAGATAACTCCCACGTAATTAGGGCTTGCGCTTGCGCACATGAAGAGCGGCGTCTCAAGCTTTTCTTCCAGGTACTCGAAGACGTTGAATACAGCATTCATGAGGCGATGAGACTCTTGCTTTTTCGTGAGAGGCTGGACGGGGGGCGGAGGTGGCATGAGGTTGCGCTTCTGCGCACAGTGCAGGATACCCTTGATTGTATATCCCAGACCGAAGTGAAGTGTTGGAACGGACGGCGAGCTCGGGTAGCGGAAGCGTTCGTCCAAATAGAGCATGGGCTTGCGAACTTCGTGATATCTTTCCCACATCTATGTTACGCATGAGCAGGGAGATCAGTGAGCCATGGTACGGAGAGACGTACATCGTGGTATGCTGTTAGTCGCTTGTCAGTACGAGGCAGCATACTACGTGTCTATGGACGTACACATTGTGGTTGTCTTGCGTGAGCGCGATTTCTTCGAACTACGCGACCCCTTGCAGCTGTGCGATTTCGATGATTTGGAGCTAGCTTGAACCATGATGAAGGTGAAGGATGAGAGGGAGACTATAGTGGGGATTATGCGGGAGGACGAGACGAGATGGTGGTGGGAGGCAGACGAGACAAGGGCGAAGCGCTCGAACTTCGGGCGCCTGACCCACGTGCACGCCACGCGGCGGACTGCATCAACCTCAACCACGCCATCCACGTGTGTCACCAATCAACCACCATGTCAATTGTCCGTCGACGGTTGTTGTGTTCTGTTTACCCTGAATATGTTTCTCCTGGGAATCCTAAGAACATGTGCGTAGATAATGAGAGCCACAGCAGTCTGAACCACCGCTGCCTTCTTGCTCTCTCACTCTCACTTTTACTTGACGTCCGTGTCGTCCTCTCGCTTTCCTATCGTCTATACTTGATTCCCTGGCTGCTTAATCTCTCTTCATGGCCCTCCCTGGTGGGGAAGACATTCTCGTGTCAGAATTGATTCAGACACTCGTCACGGCCTTCAACACGGGTTCAGGAACTGGGACCAATTCCACGATTGACCCCACGATTGCGCGGGAGGTGTTCCAACAGGTCGGCTCTCCAGATCTATCTACATTGATATACTGATTGACAGAGGCTCAAGTACTACAGGGAGCATGATGCGCATATCATGCGACGTAACCTCGGGCCCGCGATAGAAGTGGATCTTACTGGCCAGAAACAAGAGGCACCATTCTATGCGTCGGCCTCTTATCTTTTCACCCATTTTCTCGACACCATGAGCTTGGGTAGGGGAGAGGCGGGAGTTCTTCCTTGCCCCCAATCCCGCTTCTACAAGGAAGGGGAACGCCGCGAGCCAGACTTTGCGCAGCACGCTTTCTTCGTGAACAGGGACGATGGTTACGAGCGGATTAAAGCATTGGGAAGCTGGGCGGAGGTGAAACCGGAGCCTAAGGTCAAGAGTCTGTCCAAGGCATCGAAGGACTCAGAGGACAAGGATGGATCTGAGGCCGCAGACGTGAGCAGTTCAGAGGATTCAAGGGACTCGGACGAGTCGGCGATAACTCAAGGCTCAGAGGGGACTGGGATCGATGATGAATCCGAAGTGTCACAGGGCGAGCCTGAGGCGCCAGAGGGCGGGTCGTCAGAGAACGAGTTGGAGGCGTCCGAGGAATCTGAGGTCTCACAGCTCTCTGAAGCGTCTGTGCAGCTCCCGGATGCGGATGCCCGACACATCGCGTCGTTGATTACCGACAGTGCCCAGTTATCCGAGCAGGCCGCATGGGCACTTGAGAACTACTCCGGCGACACGATCACGATGTTCTACATGCGTGCCGAACTGTTCACCGCTCTGCAGTGGAGCAAGTCTGAGCGGCACGATGTGAGCTCTGGCTCCGGCCCGTCGTCCTCGTCTACACCTACACCTGGAGTGCGTCATGGTTTTTGTCGTCGTATGGACGGCAGCTTCACTAAAAACTTACAAGCAGGGCACACCCTGTACGGCCGCAACCGATCCTACATCCGCGCCTTCCCAATCGCCCTCGGCGGACGTGCCTTCAACTACAGCAGATCTTGCTAGCATCGATACTAAGACCTTCAAGGGAACCTATTTCTGGCGCTCAACTTTGCGCAAGTCGCTCGTGGACTGCGGCGAAAGTCGCAGGAAAGCCTTCTGGGCTTGGGCCTGTCAGAAGTTCAAAACTGACATCACGCCCAAGAGGTTGGAGATCATCCGCGAACGATTTGACACTGAGATGACAGCTGAGCATCTCGTGGCGACGCACCCTATGCCGGTGTACTGCTCTGAGAGTATTCTTGAGGGCAGCGACAACACCTTGCAGTCCAGTCAGCCTTTCACCAACTCGCTGCGACTGGCACACTCCGGTATGGCCCCCGATGTGACTTTCGAAGAGTCGGTGTTCTTTGCCGTGGGGCAGCATGAGCGTGATTACCAACCACTTGACCACCAAATCGTGCGTCTCCGCATTCTTGCTTTTGTGACTGTGATACTCACGTGTTCCCTATTCCAGGCCAACATGGTGAATCTCATGGCTAAGTGGTACTGGAAAACCATCTTCAACACCTGGTCGCCAATATTGGAGAACGTCCGTCAGTCACCCGAGGAAGAGTCTGTCAATCTGTCCGCCGAGTACAAGGAGCCCAAGTCGACGCGCCCCGACGACAACGCCAGCTCTCCGCAGCAATTCCGTCCTCGAAAGTCGGATACTTTCGGGGAGACCACGCAGCCAGGCGCAGACGAACCTGACGAGTCGAATGGCGACGTACCCGCTTCAATCGCACCTGAGGCTCACGATGCCGACAACACCGAGCCCCCCGCTTCACCGACCCATCCCATCGCCGACCTTTCTCTCTTGACTGGTAGTGCAGTTGCAGCGGCCATCGCTTCCCACGCTGTTCACTCAACGCCACCTCGCGTAGCTGGCACCACTGCACCAGAGTCAGATGCAAGTGACGACGAATCATCATCTTCTGATTCTGATGATGACTACGCGGTGCGAGGGCGTGGACGTGGGCGTGGGCGTGGGCGCGGACGCGGACGCGGGCGAGCACGAGCACGAGGAGGACGTGGCGGTGGCACCATTGGTCGTGGTCGTGGAGGTCGGGGGCGCGGCAGCGCTAGCCTGAGTACTCCGGCACGCTCGGCTACAACTCCAAGAGCTACGGCGACTCGTGCGAGGGCTAGCCTGATTCCTCCAAGATCAGTGCACACTATGTCTACCCGTAGCACGCCCGCTGTCGCCACTCCTACGATAGCCGTGGAAGTCGCTAGTTCCCTGTCTGGCCCTGGCGCAGGGGCCACTCCTGCTGCTGGCCCCGCGGCAGATAACAATCACGGTGGTGGCGGGCCGCCAATAGCTGGGCCATCGCATGTCGGGCGGGGAGGTGCTCCGAGGTACGCTACGGGCACCCAGTCATCGCGCGCGAAGGGCAAGGCCGTGGCAGCCGATGAAGCTCCGCCGGACAAGAAGGGCAAGAGTAGGAAGCGGCCAGCGGACGATGTGGACGATTCCGAGCTCAACGAGCCACCGGATGACCGGGATCCGCCCAACAAGAAGGCGAGGAGGGGATTGCGTTGAGGTTATAGCCGAAGGAAAGACTGCACGGACGAAGGAGATGTTGAACTTGGAGGAGCGCCTGTTTTTTACGAATCATTGATGACTGGAGATGTTTGCACGACACACATACCGATGTAGCTTTATGATCATGTACCTATGTATACTGTATGGCAATCAAACGCAATTTATGTGTATTCTGGTCCAGGGTTCGGCGATCTCGAGTCTCAAGGGCGTCACTGGCATGCGCCGTCGGGACTGAAGCGTCACGGTATGTCGCAACTTGTCACTCACCATCATCGTATAGTCCAAGTAGCATCTGCGGTATTACTGCACAAGAGAAGGTACTCTGTGACCACCTATCGCCGTAACCAGTGTGGCTCCTACCACGCCGCACCCGCCCGAAGCCTACCGCACAGAAAGCTAAAGCTCAACCCACGAAACCCGAGCCACTGCGGCGCAGAATCAAGTGAAGGATAGGGTATCACAAACGAGTGTATGCTGCAAATGATATATCTTACTCTACAAATGTCTATGACGCAAAAACCATGTACTATGCCGTCTACCAGACCAATGTGCGAACCGACGCCTCCAACCTCCAAACCTCCGACCTGAACCGAGTGCGATACGACTGAGTGAATGTTATGCCGCGCGTCCGGCCAGATCCACCCGACTCGAGTTTCTTGACGGCGGACCACTCGGCGGACCCATACTTTGCGATCGAGGAGGGCCAGGGCCAGGTGGGCGCGCGCCAGTAGGCAGTGCATACGAGCTGGGCGGCGTATTGACACGAGGTCCTCCATTCTGTGCTGAGTACTCCATCGGCAGACGCGGGACGGGCGGTTGACCAGGAGTGACAGGCGACGGCGTGCGGCTGAGCGGCGACATGGACTGCGTGCGCGACGATACTATTCCAAGAAAAAGGGCGTCAGCGTCAGCGCTGACATCAAAGGATGCACTCGAAACACGGAAGGAGCCAAAAGCAAGATGCCGCAATGAAAAACGGAGAAAGACACGGTGCATCATACTCGGGCGGGAAGACGTAACGCGGTCTTCGGGAACGTGAACGTCAAACAAAAAAATAGCACATACGTCGTTTACTGCTCCGCTTGGACGCGAGGCCCGGTCCAGGTTGTTCGGCAAAGGATATGCTCGACGTCGGCCGCACGCCCGCGACGACGCCCGTCCACGGATCGCTAAGCGGCGCGGCGGGCGTGCTGACTGCGTCGGGCGTATTGATTCGGCGCCCCCACGCGTCCTCAGCGCCTATGACCATATGATCGTGTAAGCCCGGCGCGAGCGGGGCGGGAAGCACAATCTGGACTTGGGAGTGCCGCGCGTGGGGTGCGCCGGAAGAGCGGGAGCGCGCGCTCATGCGGGAGGGCGAGGCTGATGAGTACGACATGCGCGAGGCGCGGTGGGCTTTGCGCAGATCGTGGGTGGATTGGGAGTGCGAGTTTGATGTGACGGATGGAGAGGGCAGGGGCGAGTTGCGGTGGCTGGGCGAGTCTGCGGGCGAGTGGCCTTGGGAGTGCGAGAAGGACGAGTCTGAGCCGGAGGATTGCGGTCTTGAGCCGCCGTGGAAGTTGGGTGTCGGCGGTGCGAGCTCGTCGGTGGCGGACTCGGTCGTTGCCGCGCCGCTGCCCTGGCCGTATGAAGCGGCGGCAGGGATGAGAGACGCGCTGCTGCTGGATGCGAGAGCAGAGTCGGACGGATAGAGCAGCGCAGGAGAGGATGCCGCGAACTTGGCTTCCTCGAACCGGCTGAGCTGCAGTTCCCGATGATGAGCAAGAGCCTGAGGCGGCGGCAAGGGCGCAGACTCTTGGCGGGCACGACGATGGCGTATTGCGCGCCATAGCATCAGAGAGAAGAAGGTCGCGACGGTGCCGGCGACGGCCACGACAATGATGAACGTCGTTTGGCTGCCACCAATAGTAGGACCGCCACGACGATGCAGATAAGGAGAGGACAGAGACATGGCGGGACAAAACGAGGGACGAATTGGGAAATTAAACGAGCGGCTGGTTGGGATGATGTTTAGTTCATGGAGGAGGACGAGAGACGGCGGTCGCTGGACAACAGGCGAACGAACGTTTCGGATGACTACTGGATCAGAGTCGAATGCAATTCAAAGGCCTCGCGCGCCTGTCAACGGCATCCATCGCCCGAACACGACGACGAAGATGAGCCCCCTTCAAAGAGACTCGCTCGGAGAGCGGAGCCGTCAGTTAAGTTAGGGCGCCAGGGGCAGCGTCGGCGGCCCGGATGCTGACTTGTCGGATCCACGGCTTCGGGCCAAGAAGGTACCGCGTAGATCTCTGTGGGTCCAATATTACCCGACCTCAAGAGCGCGACGCACATCGTCGCGCAGGACAAAGCTCGACTAAAGACACCTCCGCCGAGAAGAAGCGCACGTTTGATCTGCTGTGGCACTATCTGAGAAGCCGTCCGAGTCAGCGCAGAGAAGAACGGCCGGAAAAAGAAATCGGCGCGATAAGTCGGGCACCGGCGGGAATTGAAAGATGACATCACGCGCGACCACATAACCTCATCTGGTGAGAGCCTGCTGCTCGCACACACTCAATCCAATCTCTGTACTCGACCACCACTATGACAGGACACACACCGCACCCTCCCATCCTCTACTCTTTCCCCACTGCTGGCGACCTCTCCGACGCGCTCGCGAACTTTATCATTCGCGCGCAGAAGGAGGGCCTCGATAAGCATGACAAGTTCACCCTCGCTGTGTCTGGCGGGTCTTTGCCCAAGACGCTCTCGGCGCTCGTCGGAAACCCTGCTGTAAAGTGGGACAAGTGGTATGCACCTCCGATTACCCGATCTCCTGCACAGAACTGATGTGATGATGAAATAGGCAAGTCTACTTCGCGGATGAACGTGCAGTTCCGCTCGACAACGAAGACAGCAATTACAAGCTGCTACAAGACGAACTTCTCTCCAAAGTTCCGATTCCTCCCTCGAATGTTCACCCCCTCGACCCGACTCTGCTCGACGATCTCGAAGAGCTCTCGGATGCATACGAGAAAGAGCTCATCAAGGAGTTCGCGACCAAGAACGCCGCTCGTTTCCCCGTCTTCGATCTCATCCTCCTCGGCACCGGACCGGACGGACACACCGCCTCGCTCTTCCCCGGTCACGAACTTCTGAGCGAAGATGATCGCTGGGTGGCGTATATCGAGGACAGCCCCAAGCCGCCGCCGAAGAGGATCACTCTCACTTATCCCGTCATCAACCATGCGGCGAGGGTCGCGTTTGTTACGACGGGTGAGGGCAAGAAGGAGGTTTTGAGGGAGATTCTGGATGAGCCGGAGAAGGGACTCCCTGCGGCGCGGGTGCGTCCAGCGCCGCCTGGGCAGTTGTTCTGGTTCATGGTACGTTTGATGTCGCGCGATCCGGATCTGTGAAGGTTAAACGGCTTACACTTTTGTATAGGACGACGCGGCGAGCCAGTTGATCCAGTACCCGAAGACAGAATTCAAGCTCTAAGAAGCTGGGATGGCTGGGCGATGAAGAAAGAAAAGTTGGTAGCAGCGGATCGCAGTGTATCATTAGACCTTCGGGTCATTATGCGCTCTAATATTCATAGACTTTCTCTTGTGGACTCGATCTTGTCGGTACTCTCCCATTTGAGTGTTTATACAGTCTTTCGGTTTGATCGTGCATGGCCTCGATAGGGTATGCTGCATGGTACAAATACAGATCTACTCTCATGATGTTCGGCACCGAACATGGCGTGTCATTAGCTCGGAAGACTAGTTCCCTCGCCACCCGCACTACTCTCACCCCCGCCCACACCCATTTCCGGAAACAACGTAAGAAGGACGGCATCCAGGATAAGCACGAAGAGGTGTGCATTACATGCAGAATCGCTAAGCGGCTCGAGCAACGCGTCTGCTGTAGCAAGCCGTTGCTCTGGCGGTCCGAGCAGTAATGGTGCAACGGCAGCTGCATACCAGTGATGAGTTGAGGTCGTAATCTTGAAGTAGACATGCAACACATACGGGGTATCCTGTCAACGATCCGTTGCGCAAGTAATGCTCGCATAACGGCTTGCTCCTCAGGCGTGGGATCGGGTGGCGCCTGAGCTGGGTATCCATTCGGAAAGAGTGCGCGCTTCGCGATGGATACGACGTTGACGAGGTTCGGTAATGAGAGTACGCGGGTGTACAGGATGTAAGGGAGAAAGCGATCGAGAAAGGACCCAAAGAAAGCGGAGAGCATGAATAGCAGTGTGTGTGCGGCAGTACCGGCAAAGCGTGAACCGATTGAGAACATGGTGCCCAGGAGAACGAGAGAGGGGAAAGCGAGATCCTCGTCAGAGTTGGTGGGTTGGGGCTCGGCTTTCGTAGATGATGTCCCGGTGGGTGCGACGGTGGGTATAGAGGCAGAATACGACGATGGTACGGAGTGTATCGAGCTCGATTGTGTCGTCTGCGACAAGACTGACGCGACCGGACCAGCCTTCTCTGGCTTCTCGTCCGCCTTCTCAGCGTCCGGGGTCGTCTTGCGCGTCAATGGCGGACGCGTTCGTTGTCCGTACGGTGACTCGTTGACGAGCTTCACCGTATGCTTCAACGACTTGTACGCGTGCATGATCGCCAGTCCTACTCGTGACAGAGAGTTCACGGCTCGTAGCACCAATACAATCAGCACTTGGACGCTGAACCATTTCCTCTCCTCCTCTTCCTTCTTTCCTGCTCTGGCATCCTTCGCCTCCACCGGTACGGCTGGCCCCATCAAGTCCAGCGCGAGCTTCCACAGGAACCATCCCTGCGTAATACGCGGCGCGACGCTCCGACACACGACCATCCCCACGACCTCCTTCACAATCGCCCTCTCCGTCTCTGCCTCCCAGTCCTCTGGCGGCAGTACTGCCCGCAAGACTCCATCCAGTACCGCGCGCACGTACACTCCGTCCAGAGTCCCGTCCTCACGAACACCGATATGCGCCTGCTGAGCATGAAACAGCGCCCTCGCGCTCGCCGCTCCTCCCGCAGCATACGCCGTCCCCCTCCTTGCATGCGCCGTCCGATAATCCAAATAATGCTGATTCACCAACGACGGGAGCGTCACATAAACCAGCATAGCCCAATCGGCCTGTTTAGCCCTCGCCGCGACAGCTCGTATGACATGCGTAAGAATGACCGTCAAATGCGGCAAGAACGAGCGGTCGTAACGCGTCAGGCGCGTCCACCACGGGTTCACGAACGCGCGTAGAGCCAGTGCGAGGAGGTCGTATAGTTCCGCGTCGAGGGCGGGGTCATCGAGTAGCGGAGGTAAAGGCGCTGCCGGCGGCAAGTGCGGGAAGAGAAGCCGTTTCGCGAGTGTTGGCGGCGCTGCTGCTGATGCGGCTGGCGCGGGCGAGGTGCGTGAGACAGCTGATTTGAGGGAGGGTGGTGGGAGAGAACCGCTGGGTGTTGGTTCGCGTAGCGATGGCCGGGGCGTGGAGGCCATCGCGGCCAGAGACAAGCTGGCGGGAGCACTTTCTGGGAGACGGGGACGCGGTGGCGTGATTTCTTTTACGCCCCTAACACGCGTCAAACCCATATCTGGAGCGCTTCCTGTCCTGAATTATACATGCAATGGCTGTTCTGAATGGATGGATGATAGTAGGAAAATAAATGATCGTATCGTATTATGGCAATCACAGGAACAGATGTGAGGAAATAGTAAAAGAATGACAGATATGACGATCGATAGAACGAGTGTATGGGTGACCATATCAAGCAGGTGAAGGCCCGAGGACCAAACAAGAGCGTCCACAAACAGATACTAGTTGAGAACAATGTGAAAACAAGCGTGAAGTGCGGTTGGGTGTCGTGCAAATGAGTGAACGGTCCGCTGTGCAAAGGCACCTTATCTACCACTGGCCCACGATGAAAACAAGACAAACATCACATCCTCTATGCCGCCTTCCTGTCCGATCCAGCCAGCAAACTCTCGTACAACCCCTGCGCGCTCGTCTCGTTCCGCAGTTGTATCATGTATACGATCCCTGTCCTCGCACCACGATCGCTCAGCTCAACGGCAACACCAGTCTTCCCGACGCGCTCGACGCCATCGGTGAGCACGATGGTACTGATGAGCACCGTCTTCGCCTTATCATCGGCCTCAACGACGAGCTGCTTCAGATTACCCGGCTCCTGGCGATACAGCTTGAGCTTGGCAGCACCTAGCGCCTTCCACTGCGCGTGATGCTGCTTCGCGAACACCTTGCACTTCATGCTCGCGCTGATCGTGCTCGTCACAGGTTGCTCCGGCGGCAATTGCTGACGCGCCATCTCCGGACTGCCAGGCGGACTGTCGAACGGCTGCCGCATGCTCGGATTGCGCGACAGGAAACGCTCGCTCGGCAGCGCCGCGCTGAAGCTCCCCGCCAAACTCGTCTGGCTCTGCCGACGCGGCAGGAAGCCGCCCGGACCATTCGGCATCGGCGGCGCATCCATAGCACTTGCCGGCCTCTGGTCGAATTGTGCATGGAGCGAGTGTGAGCTCTGCGCTTTACGCAATCCACCTTGGAAGCTCGGATCGCTCGGCGCACGATGCGGCACACTCGCGAAGGGAGGTGCTGGCGGCTGGGGATATCCCGCGCCATTAGGGAATGAGCCACCTATAGGCGTCGTCGGTGTACTGCGCGAGGCCATCGGATTGGGCGGTAATCCGAGCTTGTTCGGAGGGGGAGGCGGTGGGCCACCGGGTCCGTCGCCCGGTGGAGGTGGTAGCGAATCGTTGCGCTGAGGGTATCCGGGGCCAGCTCCGGGAGGTGGCCGTTGTTGCATGAATGCGCCACCAGGAGGACCAGGCGGACCTGGTGGACCATTGCGATACGGTGGCTGGCCGGGACCACCAGGTGGTAATGACGGTTGGCGCTGTGGGCCAGGACCGTTGGGCGGGCCATCGAACGGCGGTTGACCAGGGCCGCCTGGCAGGGAGGGTTGGCGCTGGACACCTGGCCCAGCTCCAGGAGGCGGACTATTGGGAAACGACGGGTTGCGTTGTAATGGCGGGCCGGGCGGTACCGGCCCATTGGATGGTGCGCGTTGCAGTGGCTGCCTACCGCCAGGCGGCCCAGGAGGAGGCGGGCCGCCCATCCCCATACCCGGCCGTGGCGGCAATCCTCCGGGTCCTCCTGGTCCCGGTCGTTGAGGAATCCCCGCGCTCGTACTCCTCGGAGGTGGAACAACTTGTCCAGGTTGGAACCCTCCAGGCGGCATGACCTGACCAGGACCGAACCCGTTACCTGGCATGATCTGACCGGGACCGAAGCCTGACCCGGGCATAACCTGACCAGGACCAAAACCGCCAGGCATAATCTGTCCTGGACCGGGCGGAGACATGCGTGGCGGGCGCCCATCATCGAACGTTGCCTGGGTGCTGCTACGCTGAGGACCACCGAGTCCGTCGATAGTCGGCTGGCGTTGCGGGCCGGGCGAGTCGGCAAAGCGGGACATGCTGTCTGCGATTGAGCGGGATCGCTCTCGATCGCTACTTTCGTCGCTCGCGGGAGAACCGAAACGCGGAGGTGAGAAGGTGCCGCTGCCTGAATGCTGGCTCATGCTCCCTCCTGGCGAAGTAACGGGTGGAGACGATATACGCGAGGGCGGTGGGCTTTGTTGAGAGCCGAGCGTTGGTACCGATTGACTTGACTGCATACTCGGGCCAGCACCCGGGCGTTGAGGGAGGCCGCCCAAAGGAGGCAGGGCTGGCATGGGATGTTTGCTCGCTGAATGCGCTGCAGAGCTCGTTGAGCATCTCGGTCATAGTATTGCATGGATGTGAACGTACTGGCAGTTGCAAACCCGATGCATTCGGTGAAATCGGCTATGAGCTGGTCGCGAACTCGCGGGTTTGCCACCTCAATGGTCAGCTTCTCCTTCTTCATCACATTCAAGTGCAATTGGTTATCTGATATTCCATCAGCTTGATCATTCGCTTTGGCACTGTCAGACATATACGCACCGTTCCCGTCCACCGGCGTGACCTTGAGGAACTTGCCGGCAAGCGGTGGGTACAACAGATACATGTCTTGCTCGCCATCCGTTGCATCGAGTTCGCACGCCAGGAATAAGTCCGAAAGCACGAAGATGCGGGCCCGCGAGTGATGTACTTCCACGCCTGTCGCTCGCGGTACGAAGGTGATCCGTGCGTCCGTGCCGCAGCGTACTTGACGCACAAAGGGAAGCGAAGGCGGCAAGAGCGACAGCTTGACTTGCTTTGGTGTCATGGTGAAAATGTCCATGCAGCGTGCGAGTGACAGCCGGCGCTCAAGCTCGGGAATTGTGATCTCCATGGGTCCGCTGCTCGGCCGGTCGACCACGCTACCCGTAGTATCCTCCGAATGCCTATTCGCGCTCGAGATGCCGCTACCTCTCGCTGAAGCACTTGTCTCGCTTCCAGTAGGACCATCACCAGCAGGGCTCAGGGGCGCAGGCGGCTTCGCTGCTGTACGCAGGTCGACCACGACCTCGTCTTCTGTGTGGAGAGGTGGAGGGGCACGTGGACCATCGCCAGGAAGCACAGTGCTTCGAGACTCCACTGTTGCAAGTAGACGCTCGAGTTTCTCAGCGGCCGCCATCAGAAGCTTGTGATCGCTCCGACCAGGCTGGGTGCCCTTGAGCAAACGACCATAGAGTTTCTTGTAGTACTTTAGGCGGGCTTTGGGAAGAAGGAAGAGCTGATCCAACGTCCATGTAGCGGGTTCTCCTGAGGGCAAAGGTGGAGGGGGCGTTGCGTCTGAGAATGCGGCTAAAAGTCCGGGCAAGCGATCATTCGAGCGCACAAGATCCCAGTCGTCGAACCCGACACAGAAACGGTCCGCATAAGACGTGTACGGGGTTTCAAGGTCATCGATCTGATCGTATGTCAGCACTATCACCAACTGAAGTGTGACTGGCCGTACCCATCGCATGAGTAAGTCACCGAGGGCCTTGGGTGAAGACGGGTTGGTACCAATCTCCTTCAGGCGCTATACCGAGGTACGGATGAGTGATGACAGAACAATGCTGACAGTATGCTCACGTACCGAGACTAGACTTCTGTTAGCCTTGTACACACTCTCAAGGCTTCGGAACATAAGATCAAGATCCTTGGGCGGCAGATTATTTCGGGACCAAGCCGAGGCTACTTTCTGTGTACCGGTATGAGTGACCAGTACTAGTGGCTTTGCTAAGAGTCGACATACTCGGATGATCCCGGTGAGCTGTTCGACGTATGTCTTTTCCGTCTCGATGAGGTCCACGAGCGGGTTCGCTTTCTTAGCACGAGTTTCGGGGAACGAAGGACTAGATGGTGATGGGCCGGGAGAAGCGTCCGGTGTCCGAGCTATGGTGACAGTTCAATGCAGTGAGCAATAAGTGGTCCACATAATGAATAAATAAACAAACCGGGTGCGAGAGTGTCGAAGGATGTGGAGGCGTCGATGGGCGGTAACATGGGCGGCAACTGTCCGCGGTCGGGCGCCTGCTCGAATTCGAGCTTTGGTGGAGGTGGTGGGGCATCATGATCGTTGACTGGCGGCGGCGCGGGGAGCTTGGAGGCCATCATCGCCAGCGACGGGCAGCCAGAGGACGTCGAAGCAGAAGGTCAAGGACAAGAGGAAGGTCTAGAGCGCACGCCATGTCTGCCGTCTTTACGCACGCTTCAGTTACGACCATGCCATCAGTTCGGTACGAACACGTTCCTTGTTCTCAACCGCCACCTCAAATCTGTCCATCTACCTTAATTCGCTCCACGTCCTCTCGTATACGTACACCCCGATCGCTGCCGCAATGCGGTCGTCCGGAATAAACATGTTCTCCAGCTCTGTGCGGCTTCCTCCCAGCGAGTACTTCGGATCGATGCTCTACTTCGTCCAGTGGCCTTCTTTGGGCGCCTAGTTATCAGGCACAAACATGCAGATCTTCTTCATCATTCGCTCGCCGTGGCCTTCCACACTCCTCAAGCAGGGCACTTCCCCGACGCGCCGACCGCCTTCTTCCGTCTTACAGCCGCGGATTCCATCAACCCCGTCTTTTTCCATGTTTGACACCCGCGCCCGATGAGTAATATATGGGGCGTCAATTGCCGATTCCCACCGTCGTCCATGGCGGCCACGGTGTCGCGCCTCGCTGTCTGCTGCTCTTCGATGGTTGGCAAGGCGGCGGTTACCGGCGCTTCGTAAAGGTGCCGCAATATCTTGGTCAATGCTAAGTGACTTCCGCGCTCTCGGTCAAGCTACCGCGCACGGACCTACAACCAACCGACGACTTGGTTGGGCACTCGACTTGCCTGCACCACCGAAACTAATACGAGAAACCAAGCTACCCTACCGGGTGAGCGTGATCGATATGCAGCCTCTGTTGGTCGTCATCTCATCGGAGAGAGCGTCGGATCCGCGGAGGATTGTTAAGCGCCTGGTTATGAAGATATATGTTATACCACGAGCCAAGGACCGACTTTACCTCACCGACTCAAGTTGTAATTATATACTTAATGGTCTATCCTTTCCATCCATGTACCCGATTCCTCGGCGGAGTCAGTACGATGCGTAAGCTTACATGCAGATACACTACCCGTGACCACCACGTGTAATCCTTTGTATCAGGCGAGTCATACATACGTCTTTGTCCGTGCGACAAGTAGGTGCACGTTGTAGAATCGCCTGCTTGCCCCCGACCATCATCGTCTGTTGTAACCCGTCCCATCTTCCGTGGAGTGCACTATGGATGAACAGTGCGTCGTGTTTCGTGTAAAAGTGGCATTTATACTGAGACCCACCTGAATATAGTGACTCAAGTAGAGACTTCTGGACCCGAATGGCGCTCGACCGAACTTCCGGGGCTCCTAGGCCAGCCGTGGGATCGGTCGAAGCCAGCGCTAGGATAGATGTCCTGGATGACGAGATCGCAGCCATCGCGTACGCGTTGGCCGCCGTCAAAACGCGTCGGAACGCCCTCGTTCGCGCAGCTGTTCTTCCCCCGGAAGTCCTCGCCCGGATCTTCGAGATTGTGCGGGATATCGAACCTATCGGTCGCAAGAGCGAAGGTTACAAGTCCTTGGGGTGGTATCGTATAACTCGGATATGCGGCCATTGGCGGCGCGCAGCAGTGCAACATGCGACTCTGTGGGGGAAGCTCACACTGGAGGTGCAACAGAGTGGTCTCTGGGAGGCCTTTCGTACTAGGGCAGGAAACGCGCCCGTCGACATTTACTTGAGCCTAGGGCATTATGAGCAGATTCAAGAGTCGCTCACGCTCGAAGCCATAAGTCGAACTATGACGGCCTTTGGCGAAGTTATCTCGCACAGCACGTCTCTCGTCCGAAGCCTCACAATAGAAGCAGACACGACACCGTTCGAATCCCGCTCCGAAGAAGGACGACTCGAGATGCATCCCTCTGCTCTTGAAGCACTTCTTCCCCTTCTTCTTCATAAGCCAGCAGACCGACTTAAACGTCTTGTCCTCCTCGCCCTCCCATCATTTGACGGGAACATCGATGCGCAGATGAACACTCTGTCTGCGCATGTTTCCAGCTTTCTCAAGCAATATGCGCCGAGCCTGGAAAACGTTATGCTTCAAGGCTTCCCCTTCCCTTGGGATGCATACAGCAAGTCGCACATCCGTCGCCTGAAGCTCGCACAGAATATAGGCGGAGGCGCCAACGGGCGATATCTGAAATATAACTTCCCCTCTATCTTAGAATACCTGCGAGAGTCCCCGCAGTTGGAAGAGCTCGACCTTGAAGTATCTCTTCCTTTTCCGCATGCCACCGCCAACGAGGAGCCGACCATCGCTCTGCCGCGTATGAAATATCTGCGCTTAGTTGGTGCCTCAGACACGCATTTCGCGCTGTGGAGACTTCTCCGTGTTCATACGGATGCCCGTTCTATCGTCGTCCTCCACGAGGTTGACAATATGTTTGACTTTCCCTCAATCAGTCATTGTCTCACAGAGCACATCCATCGCAACGAGTTTGATTACGATACTCTACAACTCTCGGCACTCAGCTTGAGAGGAGGATACGAGGGCACACCCTCCCTAATCATTGATCTGTTCGACAAGAGCAGAAAGCTCTATCGCCCCCGCGTTATCTACAGCCAGGACCGCTTTGTTGGTCTCGAAGGCTCTCACCACCCCGGGTTTCATATCGCGTTAATCGGCGTTAGCGACCATAACGCCTTCGATGCTGGAGCGTCGGATGTAGAGTCTGATCTGACGGACACGAACCTCGACCCAGCACCCTTTCACCCTCGGAGGCCGCGAACGATATTTCGCTGTGGCCCTTCCATCGTCAAGGAAGTATTATCGAGTGTCGAGATGTCGCACTTGCGGTCCCTCAAACTCTCCACACGTCTCGACATGGGCTGCCCTTGGACTGCTCGTTTCCTTCGATCCATTTTGAAAAGGGCGACCGCGTTGGAACACATTCGGCTAGATGTCTCGATGCGTGATCTTATCGTTTCTGCGGCCAATGCTCTCAAACCGAATGCGGATGGTACGTCAAGGCAGTAAACCACCCTTATATCTGACTGATCACGGACCACATACTAGCCTCTCGGCCCCCTCCCGCACCCGCGCTAAGAACACTATATGTCGAAAACGCTGTCTTCGACTGGAACGGCGGCGAACCGCAGCCTGTCATCTTTAACGAAATGCTCGAGCAGCGCTCGCAGAGGCATCTCGGCCCTCGGAAGCTGAAGCTCAGGCGCTGCAAAATGGGCAACGAGCCGTGGGCCACGCAATGGAGGGCATTGGTCGAAAAGGTCATCTGGGACGGGTATGGGACGGACGTCGTCGGGCAAGTCGGGGATGTTGAGACGAGTGACTGGGCTGCGAGCGATGAAGAGAACGTATCTCCGATGCTACCTGAGGAAGATGTGGAAGATGACTGGTGGTCCCTGTAACTGTATCAGCGCTTGCTCCGCGCACCGATGTATGGTCGTCCTTCTGAAGACGACTATTAGCGTTGTTACGATGTATGATCTCAAGCTAGTGCAAAAACCCATAGTAACAATTCGACGACCCTGTCACTCATACCCAGGCCTCTCCCGCTTGGCGCAGCGTTATCGAGATTTGCAACCTCGACAGCTCAATCATGTATAGCCATATTCGTACCGCAGCTGAGTTTCATGGGCGAGCGATGTCGCGTCAGTTTGAACATAACTTAAAACATGTTACTTGACCAAAGCCCGCGGATACGACGTGCGGATCTATCGTGCCTGGCGAAGCTGGCGAAGCATACAACGAAAGGCATGGTTGTGACACTGTCCGCGATTGATGAGCGTCGTTACAATCCCGGCTGAGTTATACACCGCCATGAAGGTGGTGGTTCACCATCAACGTGCCGGCCCGGGTCGGTCGCGGGGAAGTTCACGAGCGGCCGGCACATGCCGAACGTAGGTTGACATCAGTTTCGGCAAACGACGTCACATCAATCTCACCACCATCTTGACTTGATACGACTTGTTGAAGATGGGCTGGCAAAAGACCTTTACGTTGTCCAAACGGAGCAAGGGCTGTCATCTAGTGACCAACGAGATCATGCAGCACATCGAGCCTGGCTTGCGTGATGTTCAGGTCTTGTTCGGTCGCCCTTAGCGACAATCTGTACTCATGGGATCGCCGTGTAGGTTGGCATGCTCTTTCTCTTCATACAGCATACATCGGCCGCTCTCACAATCAACGAGAACTTTGATAGCGGTACGGATCCATACTTTGAGTCAAATCAAAATATCAATGACACTGTCATGGCGTATAATAACATCTAGATGTCCGTAGCGGTCAGTCCTATCGCGAAAGACGTCTTTGTGGTTGCCGCAGATGTTGACCTCCAGTCTACAGACATGGATATGGCCCTTGACAACATAGTCCCCGAATCACTTAATTGGGTGCACACCGACGAGGGACCGGAGTAAGCAGCTTCCTGATTGACTATACCCCAAGTATTGATAGCTCACGCCGATCCGCGCAGCGACTCCGTTTCACACACCAAAACGTCCCTCATCGGCCCGACTATTTCTATGCCCATAACGAACGGTAAACTGAACCTCGGCACCTGGCAGGGTAAGGTCGCTTTTAGCGCCGGTGCTAGGATATGAACGCTAAGCGGCCGCCCTACAACCTCTTATTACATAGGTATTTACCTTACCGAGTTCCGACACCTGCCACATAGCCGACGGATTGTGGCCACGGTCCTGTGCGTCTAGATCACTGAATCGGCAGTTGTCTAGGCTGATTCGTAGCAGGTCTTGAAGCAGAAAGGCGAGCATCAAGGGTAAAGATAGGGGAGGCTCGTATTCGTATTAGATCGCCAAGCTATTGTCTGGGTAAACCATCGAAGGAGCGCATCGCTGTGTTACAGTAGCCGATCTTACACAAGATACAATGTAAGCCATCAGGAAGCCTCGCGCTTGCAAGACTCCACCGGGATTTGTGCAGCCGCACGGGGCAGTCACAATGGACAACCGCAAACGAAAGTTCTGACGATCTGTAAACGCCTTCTACGGGCTGGTCGGCCACAGCCACTATGAAGATCTGGCACCGACAATTGAGCCAAACGTCGTTCTCGTCTTCTATCATCCCGATTCAATTCCGTCCCACTTCGCCATATGTTGAACAAGGGCCACGATCCTCTGATCGAGACGGCCGTGCTTGACAGTCCGTGTTGACCAGGCCTTCAGCTTGCCTTGAGCAGCCCCAGATATTACGGCACCGTTGCCTGCACTCTGCCCAAACGAACAGCGCCGCTGGGGTGCGATTGATGCCCAGATAGAGCATGGCAGACGCTTGTAAAAACCGAGGTCGTCGGACAAATGGCGAAGTTGACGGAAGGCACCGAAGCGTGTACGCGCGGTGTAGTATCTGGAGAACACCATTTTGGATCGCTGGCCCCTCAGCGCGCTGATGGCGGCTCAACAATAGCGATCTGCAGAAGAACCTACGGCCTGATGAGCCTAAAGAGAGGGTGACGGCCCTTTGCGGCATATGTCATGAGCTTATAGACTGCTGAGAGACGCGGAGCCATCTCGCGGGAAAGGGCGTCGATTATTGGCAGTGCCTTCAGGCGCTGTGCGACGCCCGTTGTCATCAAGGAGTTGAGAAGAACGTACAGAAACAGCAGGTACACAGCGGTTCACAGATACAGAAGCCCGGCTGGGAGGTGGCGGGCGCTCCGAAGTTCCAAGCGAAGCTAGCAGTGAAGTCTGTTGAAGACGCCGAACTGCTTTTATATAAACGCGCTCGCGTGGCGTCGGCTCCCGTACTTTCGGTGCTCACCCACATCTTGCTCTTCTCTTCCACCCTTGCCCAGACGGCATCCTTACCCTCTCGGATATGCCTAAAGCGCCTTCCTCGGGTGCAGCGAACTCTAGCGGCAGGCCTTCACTGCGCAGGAACCAGGTTTGCATTTCCCCACATCGTGCCGGGCGCGGATCTCAACCGTCGGCTTAACGCGGTGTTTCCACTTTCCAGGCATGCCTCTCCTGCCGCAAGCGTAAACTCGTGCGTTCATCATGTCCAAGTTCATCTGCGGCTGTCTGACATTGCCCAGAAATGCGACGCTCAAAGGCCCCATTGCGGGACATGTGTGAAGTACGCACTTAGTTACGAGTGGCGGCAGTCGCGTCCTGACTATCTTGAAGGCAATGGCAGACCCAGATTAGTGTCCCGCCTCCGCCTGGTTACCAGTGCGTCGCGCGTCCGTCCCCCCGAATCTCACTCTGAATCTTGCAACTAGGCACCCAGTAGAGCCACAGTGCTCGTACGACCCGGTAGAAGGCCTCCCTTTAGCGCCTGATATCGACCCCCAGGACAAGATTCGCGAATTGGAGGAACAAGTCTGTCAGTCAGCCCATGTCATGCGTTTGTAGTCAACCAGTTGACGGGTTCTTTAGCGCAACTGAAGCGCAAGCTCAAGGGCAGCAAGAATGGCCTGGATCGCGACGGTTCTGGATCGCCTAGTAGCAGCCACACTTATTCCCCGTCTCAACAACATGCCGCGCGATCCTCACCACTGTCCCCATCTTCTGGGAACGGTGGCTTGCCGTCCGATTTCAATCCTAGACCCAACGCCACAACTAGTCCTATATCTCTGCCACACGTATCTCTGGGCCTGTCGCCCATGTCCGTGGATCGGCTCATCAATGACGACAACAATGTGATGAACATAAATCGAAGCGCCCGTTCGGATTCTCTGAAATCCTTGATACATCTGGGCTGGAACCCGGAACTTCCTGAGCCGGCTACTCTCGAGCGCTAGTTTGTCTATTCCTGGCTCAGATAGACAACGTTTGCTGATGTCAACCCTCCTAGCGTCGATGTCTTCTTCAAGTGTGATCCTTGCGGATCTCGAATATTACACAGACCATCCTTCCTCGCCGCCCTTCATCTACCTCCGAAGAATCCGGACTTTCCTCATTCGGCTATTTTGCATGCTATCGTAAGTGATACGATGATGCAGTCTAAAGATCTACAACGTTCTCATCACTAATTTAGTGCGCGTCCGCGTCCCGCTGGGTCTCGAAAGAAGTCGTCGTACTCCCCGACGGGACAAGACGAGACCGCTTCGCCGAGTTTCACTCGCGCAAGACTCGAGAATACATCGACAACACTATGGCCAGCGGAGCTGACATCTTCCAAGTCATGCAGGCGTGCATTCTCCTCTCTTGGTACTTCTACTCCGAGGGGCGCTGGGTGGAGGTCTGGATCTTCGCTGGGTTTCAAGCGCGGGTCGCTGTGCCGCTCCGTCTGAACTATCAAGGGACTTTCGCGACTCACAACAGCGGGTCCCCTGGCGCTTACCTTCCGCCTCCAAAAGATCCTCTCGACCTCGAGCTGAGACGCAGGGCCTGGTGGATGACCATACTCTTTGATCGCATCGTATCAGTGGGCGGTTGGGTACACGCTCTTGATGAGAGAGACATAGGCACGGAGTTCCCACTCCGGGCCGTCGACTTCGAAGTCTATAGCGTGAATGACAGTCTTCTGTGCTCGTGTATCGATTCTCACTACAGTTCACAGGCTGCCATGGATGACAACCCTCAACACCTCTGGACGCCCAACCTATACACAGACCATCCCATTCAGTATACTGACTCCGGACTTCTACTCTTGAAGGCGATGATGCTCTTCGGCCGTGTTACGGACTTCGGAGTACGCACGAATCTGCGAAAGCCGCCTGTCGGCTTGGCCCTCGACCCATTCCGGTTGCCAGGCTTCGAGGAGCTAGACCGTCTCGTTTGCGGAGGATTTCTTGACAGTCTCCCCGGAAAGTATCATAATCCACTCCTGTATGGCGACGCAGACAGCGTCTATAGCAATGGTGGGCTGGATACAGATCTCTACATGGTTCATATGATTCCCCATGCGTAGGTGATCTCTCCATCTCGGTACGTATGGACGCTGACGGTCATTCCTTAGCGCCACGATCACTCTGCACAACCCGTATATAGACATCAAGAATGATCCTCAGGGCACCTCTGTCGTACGATGCATCAGTGCATCGGAAGCTATCTTGCAGATGCATCGCAACCTCACTTCAACAAACTACGATCTCAGCAGACTGCACCCCTTTGCGACGGTGCGTGTTTTACTCGTCGCAGATCGCGCACATGCTGACAGCCACGCAGATCTGCTGGTATCTGGCGGCCGTTGTGCAAGTACAGCTCTGCAAATACTTCATTGAACGCGGCGAGTCGGACAAGGAATACGCTACTTGGGGAGTGATCAATGTTCTCCGCTTTGCAATGTCGCATTACGGACTGAGGTCGCCTATCGGAAGTACGTCACGCTGCTCACATATCTCTTGTCTGATAAGCTGACGCTTCCCCGCTACCAGCCCGTCAGGAGAAGTTGCTACAAGGCCTGATGACGGAGATCGTACGCATGACGACGCAGCCTGACCCGCTGGACGTAACCATCCCTCTTTACCCATTCTCCCATACGACAGCATTTGCCAAGGGCGACGGTGAGAGCACAGACACCGCTCACACTGCGCCACTCCCTATCGGCTCGGACTTCCACGGAGATCATTCTCTCGGTGGAGGCATTGGACTCTCACCGTCCCACCTCGGGTTATCGTCGCACCCGCTCGGCGTCCCATTGCATTCGCAGGTGTCACCGGATATGCTCGGAACTTCGCAGCTACGGGATCTGGGCCTACACCACGACACTTCTTGGATGTCCGACATGGGACACGGTCGGCCGGGCAACAACGCGCCGTATCATTAGATCGTGTCTACGCGTTCTTGAATTGGACTCTATATCCCCCTTGTTATCTTGCATCGCATCGAACATTTTCACTTGTATACCTGGGACTGTAGACTTCGCTTTCGCTTCTGCTTCCATCACCCTGTCATTTGTTCTCGTCAGTCATTGGTCAAATCATCGCTATCATTGTATACGTGTATACTAGTTTGGAATATGTATATTTTCAATCAGTCATGGGGAGACTCAAGACCCGTATCGATATCGACCTTGCTTCTTGTCCAAGTGTCATAACATGATGGTCGCCTGGGGCAAGATTGTATTGTACTGCTGTCAGTGAAGTCCATCTATGCGACAGGGCCCACTACCAAGTTGTGAGCCTACGGCCAATGTGTATGAAGGCATTGTGCTTACTGTAATCATACACCAGGCGCTTCTCGAGCTTCTTGCCATCATCGTTGATCAAGTAGATCTTGCGCACATACCGGCGTTCACCCTGCATGTCCTCGAAGCCCCAGATCTGTCCGACTTGAGTACATACCGTACCGCCGCACAGGCACGGACACTAACCTGATCGATGACCCAGTGCTTGTCTCCGGTACTGGTAGTACGGGTCTGTATGACGCCGTGCTCAACCGCATCCGCAGTCCAGCCAGTCTTGAGAAACGGCTGCTCGAGCTCGTCCAAACGAACACGGCGAGCCTGCGCCTTGACGGGTCCGAAAAGGCCGTCGTTGGCCTTCTCGGACCAGTCGAGCGCGCGGGTCTCGGTGTTCCCATTCAGACCAGTCGCTTTCTGCGTGACCTCAAGGTGCTCAACACCGTTGGCGACAAAGTTCTTCAGGGTAATCGTAAGGGTTGCTGCACCCATCGCCTTCCGTTTCATGAAGCCGACGCCCTGCGCGGATAGGATCTCATCATAGTCAACGCCGAGCTTCTTATTCTGTCAGACACTGTCAGAAATAGTTGATCGAGAGAGTCAGATGAGTTTACCATCTGCCAGACACCAGTGTAGTTCTTCGTGGTCATGTCTGCGGGTGCGGCCATTGCGGAATGAGACGGTTCAGATAGGGGAGGATGGGAAGGTTGCGGTAGGGCAGTTTGCAGGAGTTAATGGCTGCTGAGTGAATGTCATTATATATGATGTTCTACGGAGACTGATGGCACAGCACATAGATGGCCGCTCAAGAACAAGCGAGTCGCGCATCGCGACGCGACGCGATTCTGAGACACCGCAACTCACGTGCGGGTTCCCGCGGAACCCGTTATGCCGCCTCCCGGACGCACGTCTTCGTCTCCTTCCTTGACCGACTCCTCCTCTTGAAGGGACGGACTGAGCTGAACAATCTTACCTGTACAGAGAAAGTGAAAGAGATGTCTGTACTTCCCGCTCGTTCTGGTAATCCAGGAGAACTTGCGCTGCAACCTAGCTTTTTCACGTCATCCTTATTTGTCGAGCCTCTACGCGAAGACATCTCCTCGTTGCTCTCTGCCTTCTCTGGTGCACTGCATGCCGACTCTCAAGGATTTCATCACGGAGTACCGACAGCCGTGGCTACATCATCCGCGGGATCGCCTGACGCAGGGCCAGATGGTCAACCTCCGACTTCCGCGGCTTCTCTGAATGCTGAGCCTTTTTCTGTCTTCAAACGCATCTGGGAGGAGCAAGGCTGGGCGATGCTGCATTGGAAGGCTTTTGACTCGCGTAGCAGGCATTCTTTCGTACGCGTTGTCTGCCGCTTATTCTTGGAGCGTACACTCGCGAAGGAAAGCCTGATTGACCGCGTCGGGGCGTTATTCGGCTTGTATACTTTCTTCTGCAGTCAGCCTGAGAGCTCATCTCCACCCATCCATCGAGTGAGGTACCTTGAGATTGCGACAGGTGCGGTAGTTGTCTACCATACAAACACATGAAGCTTACCCACTATCAGACCACCTTAAGGCGCTGCTCGGATTACCGACGCTTCTCCAGTTGAGCGACCGGGATGGCCCACTTGCACCATATGTGGCCCATATACTCAATGAGCTACGAAAACGGAACATCTTTCACATATTACCCGTGTCAACGTTACAACCATATCTTCCCGCCACCCTACCACGAGAGATCTTTGTCCCAGAAACCGAACCTATCGGACTTGCAGAAGAGTCCGCGGCGCAGAAGCGCCCAGGTAGACCCACGAAGAAAGACGAAGCGCGCAAGGCCCGCGCCGCGGCGACTGAGCTTGGCAAATGGATTGAAAAGACGAATCCGCCACCTGGTGCGGATCCCAATACCTCTGCGGCCATGGCTGGTCATCCGCATGATCTTCGAGCAGAATACGTCGTTCAAAAGCAAAGCCTTGTAGCCGAGTTGCTGGGCTCCGAGGAGGGCAAGGAAGCGCTGGCGAAAGCACAGAACGGCACCTTGGGCCGCCTGCGCTTGATCAACGAGCAGGCAGAGAAGCGAGGGAAAGAAGTAGGGGCCGATGGACCCCGGGGCACCATGTTGCGTCTTGAGAGAGCTATCGGCGACGTCGGGACACCGGGGAGGGAAGGTGGGATGCTCAGCCTTTTGGAGGGTGCCGGGATGCCGCAAGAGGAGGAAGGCGGGGATGTTGAGATGACAGGATGATGCGGCCGCGCGGGGCTTGCTGCGGAGATCGCTCTCCCTCCCTCGTTTGAAGCTCAGACTTGCACGCGGCTTCCATGACTTGTAGTATTAACATCGAATTTACGCACGTAGTACTATCGCATACTGGAACCACATGTCTTTTGTTCGGCAGACAAAATGAGCCGGGTTGGTCATAGCGACGGTATCCGTTCCTTGATCTCACCTAACAACGCCTTGTGAGATGGCCCAAGCGCTCCCAGGCTCACCTTCTCCCAACTCTCAAGTCCCTGTCTGGCTGAGCCGGCTTGACGTCCTCTGAACGCTCTCGATTCTCCAACTTTTGTCTTTCTTTTAGGCCTGGTCGCTCTCTTCTCCTTCTCCTGTACTCAACATGCTTCCCCCGAGGCCGAAACCGCGCTCTGCGCTCGATGCCGAACAAGCCGCTCCGCGTGCTATGCCTACACCGACATTCGCCGCGGGTGCACCACGACCGAAATATCTCAGTACTCACTCTGATTCGTCTGCATCTTCATCGTCTTCTTCTCCCTCGACGGGTTATTCTCCTGCCTCCGCACGGGCAGGCGGCTACGCACGTGCCGCATATGCTCGTCCGCCATCAGTAGCAAGCACAAACTCTACCTTCAGCACACCGTCCATCGTACGCATCATCTCCGTGTATCATCTTAACGTGGCTAAGCGTGGCACTCAACAGGGTAGTTCAGCATACCCTAAGAGGGAACATGTAAACGCCAATAGCCCAACGACTGCTAAAGTGCGTGTATGACAATTAACCAGCGCAAGCAGTATAGCTAATACATCGTGTTGACAGTACGCCTACTCTCCGGGATTCCTGTCTTCATGGGGCTCAATGGCCGATTACAAGGAGGAGGACGACTTGTTACATCGTCCTGACCCGACCCGGGACTACCAGATCGACCGAGGAGGCAGCTTCCTGACCCGCCGCGGATTCGCCAATCTTGGCTGCCTCCTCGTACTCGTCGCGGGACTGCTCGGCCTCTTTGTACTATTCCCGGCCTTGACGTTCTTCTCCAAGGTCCCCCTCAGTGCACTAGGCCTCGCCTCGCAATCAGCAGCAGCCCAGGCATCCTCACAGGTCAGAGGCACTGCGTTCGGGCGTGCGAAAGTGGACACGGCCACCCCGCTGGACGCCCACTCGCGCACAAGCTTCCATGATCCCACTCAGCAACTCCAGCTCGTCTGGAGTGACGAGTTCGAAGTCGAGGGCAGGTCGTTCTATCCTGGAGACGACCCCTTCTGGGAGGCTGTCGACTGTAGGTTTACATCCTCGAGTTCACCATCGCATAACTGACACGCTGGTGTGTAGTGAACTACTGGCAGACGGGTGACCTTGAGTGGTATGACCCGGCAGCAATCACCACTCGCAACGGAAGCCTCGAGATCACTCTCTCCATTCAACAACGGGAGAATAACCATGGCTTGATCTACCGCAGTGGCATGCTCTCGACCTGGAATAAAATGTGCTTCAGCGGCGGTCTCGTGGAGACGAGCGTCTCGCTTCCCGGCTTCAACGATATTGTCGGTCTGTGGCCAGCCGTGTGGACGATGGGAAACCTCGGTCGTGCCGGTTATGGTGGTTCGCTCGAGGGCATGTGGCCGTACTCATACGACTCGTGCGATGTTGGCACGATGCCGAACCAGACTTTCAACGGACAACCCGCCGCCGCACTCGAAGTTGGCGATCCCGCGAACGGGAACGTGCTGTCGTTCTTGCAGGGTCAGAAGCTCTCCCGTTGCACCTGTGACGGCGAGAAACACCCTGGCCCCAAGCACGACGATGGCACATACGTTGGTCGCAGTGCCCCCGAAATCGACATCATTGAGGCGACGATGGGCGGCGCACCTCTCCATGGTCAAGTCTCGCAGTCCCTCCAAGCCGCGCCATTCAACTTCAACTACACCATCAACGGCGACAATGGAGCAGCGGCTGTTGCAGACGACACCATCTCCGAGATCAACTCCTACCGCGGTGGCGTATTCCAACAGGCTGTATCTGCGCTAACCGATACGGACCAGACCGCATACGAGCTCAATGGTGCTGGATACTCCGTCTATGGTTACGAGTACAAGGGCGGGTTTGATGACGCTGTGAGGCCACTAGATCAATTCGAATAGTGCTTTTACTCACGGTACATCCACAGTACATTGCGTGGATCTCAAACAACAAGGTATCCTGGACGCTGCTATCCGAGGCCATCGGCGCGGATGAGGAAGTCGGTATCAGCGCGCGCTCGATTCCTCAAGAGCCGATGTATGTCATCGCCAACCTTGGTAGGTCACCCGCTCTGTTCCCATAAGCTGTCCTGACCTCTTTTCTCAACCAGGTCTCTCGCCGAACTTCGGTACCCCGGATTTCACGCACTTGAAGTTCCCCGCCACGATGCGTATCGATTACGTTCGCGTCTACCAGCACCCGGACCAGATCAACGTCGGGTGCTCGCCCAAGGACTTCCCGACCGAGGACTACATCAACGAGTTCATCGGCGCGTACACGAACCCGAACTTGACCACCTGGCGCGACGACTTTGGCCAGCCGTTCCCGAAGAACAGCTTCGCCGGTGAATGCTCTGCTTGAGGATGATGCTTTGTGCTTGCTTTGCTACCACATGCTACACACGAGCTTCTTGATGAAGCCGACGGACCTGCAGTGCTTTTTTGTTGTATACCTTTAGCATTCGAGCGAACTTGAGCAATCACTGCGACAGCAACATTGATACCCTCATCGCTGGACTACTTAGGCCATGCCAAGTGGATGTTCGGGTAAGATACACTGCCCATGTCATGTACTGGCAGTCCGTCTTGGTGAACCAGCTTGGGGCCTCGACTGTGACTGTCGCTGCTGAGCATACATTAAGACTAGCCCATCTATCCTCCGGACATGGTCCAGGTAATAGTCTTTCCAATCCAGGACTGAGTACCGCCGCACCTGGAGGAGAGGTCACTATATGCGCAAATGTAATCACTGAATCGTTGCTGATGCCTCACCATATGCATCTCGTTCAATATCTGCAGATATGATTTGCCCTGCATAGTGCCCTCGTGCAGGTGATGGACTAGTATTTCGTCATCACCAGGTTGCATCCCTGGTCGCATCTGTTGAGGAAACTGACTCCAAGTGCTGTGTGCCCATCGGATAAAGTCGGTCGTGCGGACAAAGTGATTCCAGTTCATCAATTGGGGCATGTTCATGTTCATGGGCATTGCATTTGGCGGCGGTGGTGGTGGCATAGAAAGGTACTGCTGGTTGAAGGACATGGGTCTTGTCGCGTGCGACGATTGCGCAACTGTGGGAAGTATTGGTATCAGATTGCTCTGCGAGTTCATAACACCTACATATATAAATGGGATCGTAAAAGGCCTTATCCTGCTGCCAGAGCAGTATTAGCGCCGGGCGACTCCAAATTTGGCGGCGGGCGCTTATATATGGCGGCGAGAGGCAAACCTGACCCCGACGACTGCCGCCGCATCAACTCGAGCCACCACTTGTTCCCACGATCGACGACGCTAGGCCGGTAAAAGAACAACGAAAGGACATCCAAGAGCAAGAGGAACAAACCGCAACTATCTACCACAAGGGCAAGAACAAGAACAAGACGAAGACGCGTGAAAGAAATCATGATCTCGAGTCCGTATTCACAACAAGGAGAGCTGACCCTGCGCCGCCACCGCCCGCTTCCGGCCCGCTGATGTACCTTCGTCCATCACAGTTGACCTCGAGGGCCCAACCGCTGAGAGCATATACGTCTGCGCGCGGAGTATGCAAGCGGGTGAGCACGCTCGTGATCTGTAACGGCTCGAGCTCGCCGCGATGCACGAGACGCCCGACCCAGTTGGGGGGCGCATTTTCACTACACACATGTCAGAGACAGATCATATCACGAGTGAAAGCGACAACGTACCCAGCAGCGCGCGGGAAATGTGATCCTGCGCTGTGCGGCGCGAGCCTCAGTACATACTTCGCTGCCTTGGTGGGCGAGAAGTTGCGCAACGCAAACCTAACACCCCGTACTGGCCCAGCTGTTTCCTCCATTTGCGCCTCAGCGCTCACGTCGGCCAGGATTGGGCACATCTCGGCATTCCACTCGCAAGTCCGTATAGCGTCTGCAATTGCCGCACGTTCACGTGTCGTCTCGGCGTACATGCTCATCGCGACCTTTGCGTTCTCTGCGCGAGTCAAGATAGCGTCGAGCGCCCCGTGCGATGCGCCGAGGATCGTCGATGCGCGGAGAAATCCGGTACGCGGTTCCGAGCCTGGGGTGGAGATTCGCCAGTGAAGTACAGCATCGAGTGCGAGAGGATGGTATAATGGAAAGATGTACGGGTGGAGGTGGGGCGGGATATGCGGGTGAATAGAGGATGCGGTGCGCGCGGCAGAGAGGCGGCGGGATTGTCGGAGCAAAGCAGCAGTACTAGAGTCGGAGAAAGACGATGCGGGCGAGGAGGACGTGTGACTGCAGAGCAAATTAAGTGCCGGTGGTGCGGTCAGGGGAACCTCTTTCCCGAATACCACAGCAGTGAGCTTCTCCTGAACGAAGGCGGTCACTTCTTCGTTCGCGCCCCGAATGCTTGACAGGACACCGAACGCCGTCCATACGACTTGGTTTGGATGCAGTTCAGCGCTGGGCGAGGGTGTCAGAGCCGAGCATGGCCACGCGGGGCTGACAGTCGACGTCTGTACGAGCTCCACCGACGTTGTGCTTGAGACGTTGCGCACAGCGAGGTCGAGTAAGAAAGCATGGTCTGTATGATGACTTGGTCGATGCTGGAGAGTGAGCTCTAGCAAGGACTCGACCTCGTATGGCCGCGTCACTCGTGTTGAGTAGAGTGTGCCGCCTTCCTCCTGAACGAAGTGACATTCAGCTCATCACAATTATCCATGCTCTGAAAGAAGGTGAACGTACCGATCTAAAAACGAAGAGCAGACATAGCTCTTTCTCGCCAACCTCCTCCGCATGCAACGTGAGCCAGAACTCTCCGCTGTCTCCGGGCTCCAGCTCGATACCATCCAGCTTCTGTACCAGATCCGCCCCCAGGAAGTTCGGCTCTCTCAGCACTTCCTCTCTCTCAACACCCTCCACACCCTCTTCAGCCCCATCAACGGTCATACGCTGATCCACGACATACACGTCCTCATCGCCCTTCACAACCCATACGTCCTTGATTCTCTCCTTTCCCACGTTCCTCAAGAACACCCTCATCCGCTTGCATTCTCCTCTCGCCAGAACCATTCTAGCATCCTCCACGAATGTCGCCGACATTCTGACTGCGCCAGCGCGTACCTCCGCACGAGGTCTGGTATCTGGCGCATACACCTTCCCCTGCCTCTGAGCGGGCGTATCCTGCAACCTCCTTCCACGCGCCGCGAGGCTTTCTCGTGCTGGTAGGAGGCCCATGAACGTGTATTTTGCTGCGAGGACATACAGCGTCCCGGGTTGTCGCGCCCGTACGGCCAGCGGTATGGCGATACTCTCTCCTGCACCCAACACGAGCTCTCCGACATTCTCCACCTCAACCTCATCAGCTCCCAGCGTCGGTCCATCACCCGTACTCCCAAGCTCAATGGTCAAATCGCTCAACGCGATCTCAACACTCAGAGGGTTTCGTATGGATAGGTCCACCCAGAAGACTTCGCCTGCTGCTGCGCCGCCCGTTGGTGCTAGTGCACCCGGAGTCCCACCGCTGTTGCTCTTCCAATAAGACCTCCACGAGTCGGCACGGGTGTCCCAGAGTTCTGAACTGCCTCCACCGCCGTCTCCGGGGAGACGGACACGGGTGTGGCGGGCTTCGATGAATGTGACTGGAAGTGTCAAGTCGGGTGGCGTGCTCTTGTCACTGGGCATGCCCTGCAGATGCTTCGGTGTGCGTGAGTCTTTGTACGCATATATCCTGGGGTGGAAGAACGGTCGCTCACCTGGAACGCCGTACGGAAATCGGCGAGCGCTTCCTTATCCATGGCGCCTCTCGCACTGCTTTCGCCCTCCCCTTCTCCAGCCACGCCCTGTGTAGCTGCACTGGCCCTCAATAAGTTCAGGAAGAATCTGACCGCTCGTGACACATCGCCAGTGGTATAGTATAGCCTTCCGAGCGCATACTCTATACCAGGCAGCACCGCGTCGAACCCTTGTATCAGGTTCTGTTCCACTCCATGTGCGTCCCAAAACGCAGGGCTCAGCTGTTTCTCGCGGGATCCTGCAGCGATGTACAGAGCGTGCGCACGCCGGAGGAAGTGGAGCGTCAAGGGCTTGATCCCACTCTTCTCGAGTCGACCGGCTGCAGCAAGGTACCATAGCGCTGCTCTGCGTAACGCGCCTCGTTTGGCAGCACACCAGCCTGCGTGAGCGAGCAAAAGAGCTGTTGGAGGCTCCTCGGCGCGAGAGGCTGCCCATACGAGCCAGCGCTCGCCGTCCAGCGAATCGCTGAGGAAGTCCTGCGGCGAGAGTCCAAGCGTCCATCGTACGGCGTATGCGAGTCCGCGGACTTGACCGGCAGCGGTCAACTCGGTCCCGGGCGCAGCGAGCGTAGTGAGCGCATGCTGCGCGTGAGCGGCACTCGCAGGGCCGGGCGCGAGGAGAAGCGGCAAGACGTCTGATCCGCCTTTGGCATCCTTTCGTACTGCGTCCCATACAGGTATTGCGGTCTTGAGATCACCGAGGATGGTCGCGAATTCTGCGAGGCGTCGTTGTTGAGGAAAGGTCGTAGGCAGTTGCGGGGGTGCCCATGTTGAGGAAGATATTGAAGTCGAGGAGGTGTGAGTGCGGGCGACGGGAGATATTGGTGTGGTGGAAACGGGTGATGCGGGGCCGGAGCCGAATAAGCGCCTTGTTGATGAGAAGAGGCGCGATGGTAGGCGCCGGGTGGAAGAGAACTACAGATGCGTTAGAATGCTGCCTCTCAGACTGAAGAGGCAACGTACATTCTCATTCCAGTCCAGCACACACTTCTCCATCCACGGTACCATACTCATGGTAACAAACTCCCGGACAAATTTGGCCGTTTGCGCAATATCGCGCTCGTCCATGCGCATCTGGCCGTCCATAAGCCCAGGAACGTCTTCACCAGCTGCCGGATCTGGTGTCGCATCATTCTGAGGAGGTGGTGGTAGACTCGGAGGTATTGGTGGCACGGCCACGGGTGGTGGCGGCGGGTCGGTCGGCAGAACGAGAGTGAGAAGATAAGTGTGCAAGCCGTATTGCTTTTTGGCGGCGTTGTACAATGCGTTCGCCCTGATATGTCAGTATGATATGATCAGAAATCATGCAATGCAGTACATACTCGTCATCGGATAAGGGCGAATCGCTCGTGTGCACTATCAGGGTGTACCGCAGATGAGTAGTATCCACCCAAGTAGGCAACTCTGGCGGTCGAGCGTGCAATTGGGACAGTGCTTGAAGGGGGTTCGCCGCATGTGTAGAGACAGCAAGTACGACTAGCCAGCCCCATTATTAGTTCCCCGTTATAAACACTTTTCATAGCCGGACTCACCGGCGACGGGATGATTCCAACCCTCCGACCTCTCAGGCGCCCTCTCTCCCTCCACACACGCCGCAAGCTCGTCCCACCACGGCGGCGGCACTACACCCTCACCATCGGGGCCAGCGCCACGCTCGTATTCCTCGATCCACGCAGCAGAGTTTCTTGCTATGCGCGCAGCAACCCAGTCGACGAACCGACCTGCACGCGCCTCTGGCTGCTCCCGCGCGTACGCTTCGAGTGCAGGTAAGGGTGCAAAGCGTAGAGCAAACTCGGGGTGCTCGATTGGTACAAGTGCCGTCGTTCGCGTTGTGACTATAATGTATGATCATCGGTACAACGCTCTTCGGCTTCGGATCGGCAAGTGCCCGCGGCAAGGGACGCGCACGCACTCTTTGGGAGTGGCGAGAAGGATTGGAGGATCCGTGCCAGAGACGGTAGTTCACGGGCATCGAGTAAGCCATCGAGGTCGTCGCTGCTTAGTACGGCTACGAGGGCACTCAGGCCCAGCGGCAGCATCGCCGCAAGTTACAAGTTCAAGTCAATGACAGCTTCGTTCAAGAGACGTCGAGATCAAAGTCGGCTTCGGCGTTCCATTCCACACGAATGTCAATATGGATGAGATCATTGATTCGATATCAAGAGCAAATGGAAATCCACATGATACTACATTATTCCGCACGAACTGCATAGTACAAATACACAATGTAAAGCAACAGCAACATCTGAGATCACGAAATCGTTCATATCGTACCCAGAGCCAAACTTGTCCCATCTAACCCAGCAAGAGCTTAGAAAAGTAGATCACCAAGAAGCAGTCCACCCGCAAGACCGCCGAGCAGACCCAGGCCGACGTTACTCCCGCCACCAAACCCGCCACCATTGTTGTAGCGCTGGTTGTAAGGCATCGGCGGCGGGCCATATCGCGGCTGACCGTAACCGCCGCCGTAACCTCCATAGCCTCCACCGTATCCGCCATATCCCTGCTGGACGTAGACGCGAGATGGGCCAGCTTGAGCGTACTGCTGTCGCTGGGCGGCCTGTTGCTGGTAGTATACCCTCTGCGCTTCCAACTGCTTCTGATACGCGGCTTCTCTCTGCTTCCTCTCCTCCGCCTTTACTCGTTCCATCTCCTTCTTGTAAGCTGCGCGCTCTTCTGCCGTTCCAATGAGATTATCCTTCATCTTGCCGAAGACTCCGCGCTTTTTCTCTTTGCCCTTGCCCTTGTTTGCAGCAGGTCCGGCGCCGAGGACGGCAGCGCTCCCGTTCGACGAGCTGCCCATGTCGTCGTTATCGCGGCCAGTGTAGCTGTGGCGGCGCTCGGGCATGTACGCAGGAGGGCTCGAGAGATCATCCCGAGCGCGGTCGGCCTCCATTTGACGGAGCATGGACTGGACCTTCTCCTTTACGTCGGGGTGTTCGTTAAGATATTGCTCGTCTTCGTATGGGTGTGTCCAGATCGAGCGAGGTGGGTTGGCTTTGGTATCAACCTATGCCGAAAGTCAGTCAGCGGTAAACATGTACGGGAGCGAGGAGACGTACGTAAAAGTAGTGCTCAGATGAGGGGTCGTACTCCTTAACCCAGCCAAACGGCAAAGGGAGTTCGTTCCCATTATTCTGAGGGGCCGGAGAACTCATGATAGCGTGTGTAGTAGTCGGATATAAGCAATAGAAGTGAGTGCTGGAGAGTGAGGGTGCGAGGTAGTGGTGGTGGTGGTGAAAGCGGTGGGAGACTCCTTATACACGGCGGGGAGCTCCGAGGACAATGAGGCACTGCCTTGGTCGCGGCACGTGTGATGTCATAAGCATGCTTACAACTTGGGCCAAAGCAGCCGCACAGCTCTGAGGCCCTCCGAGCATCCGAGTCCTCGCCGAATTCATAAGTTAGTACACTGCAGGCGCATAGCATTATGAGTAGTACAGGAGTACAGGGGCAAACTGCCGTCGGAACGCTATCGTACAGCGAAGCAATGGTGGGAAGCAAGTGAGAAGGGCGCAAAGCACATGCCAATCGTGGGACGTAGATTAATCAGTGTTCGACGTGAGATAAGATGCGTATGACATGATGGGCAATTCCAGAGATAGATGCAGAGGTGTTGTGGCACATAAATGCAGAACGAGATGGGCGGAATATACAGGCGTAAACCTAACCTCGCCGATGATCTGTCGTGACCTGGGTCTACGGGATGAGTTAGACGATCATCTCTTTGGCAACATGAACGCGCACTGACCTTTGAGAACGGTTGCCGTTGCCGTCTACTTTGCCGCGCAACCTTCCCAACACTCGCAGGACTCGACTCGCGACTGGCCGCAGGGTGTACCCAGAGATTCGGCTGAGCCCAAGCCTTATTCGAAGGCTTCTTGATCGTCGTTCCCCTGCTCGCTTCTGCTGTGGGATCCCAAGGTTCCCACTCGTACTGATTTGTCCTATCATGTGCAGCCCAACCATCGTCGGCATCGTGCGCTTGCGTAGGGTCCCATGGCGCCCAGCCGTGCTGTCCACCCGGATTGTCATCGGCAGCCCATCCCGTAATCGGTGAGGGGTCTGCGCCGTCTGGAACAGGGTCCCAAAGATCCCAGCCATTCTGTCCTGCTGAATTATCGCGCCGTGACGCGCCCAAAGGAGTTCCATTCGCCCCATTCGCCTGCTCCTTTGGGTCCCATAAGTCCCAGCCGTTCTGACCAGCAGGGTTGTCCTGGACTGGCGTTGCTCGCGATGGTCCAGCAGCGTCCCAAGCGTCCCAACTACCCTGTCCAGCCGTGTTATCCCGTGCCTTTCCTTTGCCCTTTGCCTGAGCGCTCGTCTCTCCCCATCCTGCGTCCCCCTGATCCCAAGCTCCCCACCCATTCTTCCCATCATTCGACCACTTCGCACCGTCTCCCCACCCATCGGGGGCCGGCGGCGCACCCCAATCACTATCGAGCGCCCTTTTCTCCCGCGCTCTCTCCAAATCCTCCACAAACTTGTCCATACTCTCCGGCTCCTCGCCCCTCTCGGCTCTCTCAATCCCTCTCAACCAGAATCCGACGCGTTCTCCCGCCATGTCTACCCACCCGCGGTGTTCGAGCCCCCGAAGTTGTCGTGCTTCGGGCGAGTCGCGTTCAGGTTGCACGGGGGCATCCCAAGTTGCAGCGTCTGGCTGAAGAGGACCCGACCACCACGCGGCTACGGCTGCCGAGTGCTCAGCCGTCTGTTCGTGCGCTAGAGCTTGCGTGATGTTTAAGACCGGTGGACGAGGACGACATATCTCGCACTCCCAGCCAGGCAGAGTCTTGGACTTTGAGAAGTCTACACGTAGTTGCACAGTTAATTAGTGATGAGCAAGATCAGACTGTATGAATGAGTATACACACGTTCGGCGCTAGGTTCTTGCCCGGCTTGAGCCTTAGCTTTTCGCGCACCGCGACGAGCCATGTCCGATATTCAAACAGATAGCGATGCAGATAAGGAAATATACGGATGCTGGATGATGGTGCAGAGGCCGAGAGCGGTGGCAAGAAGCAAGACTGCTCTTATAGTTATGGGCGCATGTGGTTAAGACACTCGCG